TTCCAATAGACTTCCTCATAAGTCTGGTAAGCCTGCCGCAGGGGACGCCCGCAAGGGCAAACGGTGGCACTAAACGCTCTTGCTTGGCAGCCGGGGCTGCACCAGAGGAAGCCGAGCCTCCCCCCAGGGCGACCGAGTGAACACGCACTCGTCAACCACCGCCACAAAGAACAGCGAATCGTCTTAACGAGTTCGGGCAAATCGAATCAGAGGCGTGTCCCAACCAGGAGGGTATACATCCCGTCCTGCACCAGGGAAGGCAAGATGCGGAGCAGTGTCTGCGAGGGTTGCCTAGGGGCAAACGCCTCGCCCGGCAGGCGGAACTCAGATGAGTCCGAGTGACAGGTGGGTACCGCGGCTTGGGGAATGTACTCAGCAATACGCTGCCGCACCTCCCGGAGAGCCAATGAGAAGCGGAAAGTGCCCTCCGGCTCCTCGACCTCCCCAACGTCCATAGACTTGGCACCCGAGCCCGAGAGAAGATCCGAACCCCGACCCGGTGGGAGGCGGAGCCCCAGACACCGAGGGAAGGGAAGACCCGAAGGAACTCCCCGCTCCGGCAACCAACACACCACTCGAACCCGAGACACTGGAGGAGCCGATTCTGCCCGGTCTTCCTCCTCTCTCATGGGGCGGGGCGGCGCGGCGCGGCGCAGCGCGGCGCAGGGAACGGAACCCCAGGAATCCTCAATGGACCCTGAGCCAACACCGAGAGGGGGACTTGGAGCGAACCCTCCAGAGGCAAAGGATCGACAGACACCTCCAGGCTAAGGGATTGAGCCGGGCTCAGCGATTCTTTCTCTCTTCTCTAAGTTCCCCTCCCGCAACTCCTTGTAGAAGAGGAAATCTGCGGCCCTCCGTTTCTGGGCCCGGGGGGGGAAAAGGCCATGCACAGTTCACAAACATCAGGGTTGTGGCCCACTTTCTCGAGGCAGCACAAGCACTTATCGGCTCTTGGAATGTTCTGCCTGCAGACAGAACACCCAGTAAACGCCTGAAAGCAAACACGCAAGCATGTAGCTAACAGCGGAACCAGCAGCATAAATATACACGTACAAAACATTGAAAATTACGTGAATGCGACCACGGGAAGAAATACTTGGTTAATAACGCAATATGACAACCACGTGGCACGCTAAACTTCCCGCCATGGAAAAGCAACACGTGCGTAAACCACAGGAAAGCTGGCGTAAAGTTTAATACAAAGTCACATTAATGACAAATAACAGACTGCAAAGTCTCATAAAACTGTTCTGTCAAGAACAAAGAAAGACCATACATACAGTTGAAGTCTCAGACATTATTCTTTTTTCTCACAAGAGAGGTATTCAGCAAAGCAACTCGAACACGTGTGAACGGTAGAGTGACAGCAGAAGGAATGATGATACGGGCCTAGGTGCTTACCTGGTTGGCTGCGCATGCGTAGCAGGGAGGTAACTCCATGTGATTTTTATTTATTGTACAATGTTTTTATTAAAACATTGATACAACTGTCACAGGACATTTTCAGCCGCAGAAAATGCATATATGTACCCCAAGGACGATCTCTCTGAAAAAGATTAATTTTTTAGAGTCTGGAATGAATCAATGATCATGTGGACTGACGGATGAAATGATGCACCTATCTGCCCTGAAAGAAAGAACCAAACTTAGCAATGTGGTAGATTTGTTGTGAGTACAATGTATAATACTGTACATCACAAATGTAAAACTGTTTTATTTTTATGTTGGTAGTTTCAATTCAATAACCACAGCTCAGAACACATGACAAATACTTCACAACTTAAAGTATTTATTACAAATCACACGAGTTGTGTTTATTGCTGACCTCACAGTTCTGTAAAGTGGCATGTCACCATTGTTGAATACATCAGTAACATCAGGTGCAGATGGTAATCTCAGTCCTCCATAAAGCTGACACGATGGACAACGCTGACCAACAGCTCTGTCCAAATAGCACCAGCAGTGGTAGTAGATGATGGTGGATCAACATATCAAATACACTGACTCAACTAAGATTGATCCTTTGCCAATAAAGCTGTTCCAAAATTGTTTCCACCATTTAATCAAGGAAATACAGTATCTCTGAATTTCCTGCCTATCAACATTTTCATTTTTGTTTAAGATCAACTTTCTGCATTAAATGATCATAAACGTACACATTAAATACACTAAAACACAGTGGAACATGTTGCATCTTGTCCCAAAATGAAATTATGAGTTTGGGAAAGTTATGAATAAGAAGGCAAATACGATTTCATGTGTTAAAACAAACCAAAGATAAGATTCAAACAAAAAAAGAATGGACAAGGCAGCATTTGATGTGATAGGAGAACTGAAACAATCAATACAATACAAATACTGAAATGAATCCATGCTAACTCCTTGTTGAAAACATTACAGCTTATTGGAACTTCACTCCATACCTAACTGGACCTAGTTTTTAAACATTAAAACATTAGCAGTCATTGCTGTGAATACTTACAAAACAAGCATCCTGCCCCTAGTATCTTGAATTAGTATTCTTTTATGCAGTGAGAAAAGCAATTATGACAACCTGTATCTAATCACTTCTGGCCCTACCAGACCAGTCACGTCTTATTACACCAAAGCACTGTTCTACCCCTAAATCAGGGATATCTTTTTCTCATTCCGCACTGCAGCCGATGTTCATCTTTGTTTTCAACACTTTCATTGGGATGAAGTGCTAGAAAGACAAATAACTTATACTCCCTTTCAAAGGCTGTCATGTGTTGAAGTGAAACAATACAAGTTTTTGACAACAAATCAAACAAATTATCCTCTTAAAAAGGAACACTCTTCCAGACTTAAGAGATAATTCGTAAATCATGTTTTTGAACTCGGGTCAATTTCTCAAAGTGATCCTTGTGTTCAGACAACCAAAGCTCTATACAGTCATGGAGCATTGTGAAATGGGGCCCTATTCAGTGAAACCCTGCTGGATGATGTGAAAATGAGCACACTGGGGAAAACACCATCTTTTGACAGCATTTCCCTCTACCCAAATAATACCATCTCAGTACCAGGCTCTGTTCCTCAAAGTGATCTTAGTACAAACTCCCATGCTTTAACATCCAACTACGATGATTCAATGATAAGAACCATTAGTGAAGCTGATCTCAGACCTCATGATAATGGTAGTACTATGATCATTTCATGGAACGAAGCTCTGGGAAATGCACAAACAGCTAGAACCTGGACACCTGCATCTCTGACAATAAATACCTATCTCCCTCTAAGATACAGACTGTTCTCCACTTCTAATACAACAATGCCCTTTAAGGTTTTGATTTTGACATTTCCATTTTATGTTAACCTCTTCATCACTTTGACCTCCTAATGTGGGTTGTACAACCATCAAATTCATTCATGGAAATAGATAACTGATATTTTCTTTAAGGCTAGACCAATTTTATTTCTTGTTTTACGGATCCGGTCGTATTTTTTCAAGAATAATATTAAAAAAATAGAGTTAATTTTCCCCGCTCAAAAAATAAAATCCTAATGTTTTATTGGTCAAAAATGTAAATTTACAAGAAAAGGTTTTTTTAGATTGTGTTTTGCTCCATATACCTTTCATAAATTGTTATTTTTTTGCCCTCCTGCCTTTAGGTTTTCTGAGGACAAAAAAATCTGTAAAACAAGAAATAAAATTGGTCTGGCCTAATGGAAATAAAAAGAAGTTTCAAATTGTTTATCAAAATCTCAGCCAAAGGTACACATTAAAAGCAATATTTAGGCCATAACATTTGGTTATGCTCAGTTCTATCACAAGTTAAGTAGCATGTTTATTTTTGTGCAGGAATTGTGTCTTCCTGAAATGCTGAAAATTATTACAAAGCAAATCAGTGATATTACCCCAGAAGACAGGAAACAGCATCAGGTTTTGCATAGATACAAGAACAATATATCACCACACATATGTATAGAGATTCTTCTTCTTGTCTGCTGGACCGCCGTGATGTTGCTGAAAGATTGCTAAAAGCGGCGTAAAACCAAACTCAGTCAGTCAGTCAGTTGTCTGCTGGACTTGGATTATGCAGCTCCACTGTAAGGGGAGATCACTCTGAGAACTTATCACAACACTTTGAGCAGTCACCTGATCAACTTCATCCTGATCATCCAGTGTATCAAATCTCCATTCAGTTATGACAAATACCATGAATCTCTGGAACACCATACTTTCTATAGAGTCATTGAACATATACATAAAGGTGAGAATTTATGGCTGGCAACTTCTACATTTTAAGGAACACAAAAAAAAGAAGTTGACATCCATAAATTCTTGCCTTCACCATTCTCTGTTTCGAAGTGATATCACCAGTTCCATCTCTCTTATCAAGAGCTATGCACAGAATTTACATACAACTATTCAAAACTATTTAAAAATTACATCTCGTCAGAGCAATCCCTCAATATATCCATTTGATTAAATGTAAGCAATAAACCGTTAGTCTACATAAACTATTATCAGCTGAACTTACTAGACCAAGAAATATTTTACTTGACACAGGCTCAAGACTAGTGGTGAAACATGCAGACTATTTATGATACAAGTCATGTCAGTTTATTTCAGACTGCAACTTGATTCATATTTCAATGAATGTGAGTTGAACCTTTTTTGGTGTCATTAAAACAGAACCTTGAACCACAGGGTGGGAGTTATAAGTGACGGAGTTTAGTTTGACAGCTTTTAGCCATATTCCATCAATATCACAGCAATGGACACCAGAAATGGGCTTCACACATTGTACCCAAATTGGTAATCGAACCCAGGTCTGTGGCGGGACGAGCGGACGCTTTAACCACTATGCTACCCCCACTGCCCATGGGAGTTATGATCACCTAAGAGGTAAAATCTGTACAACAGCATCAGGGTCCAGGGAACTTGTTTTGGAGTGGAGATGTAACACTGGATGATGAAGGATGGATCAGCTTATATACACACTGTCTTGTCAAGTCACCAAGCAGACATAATAGATACCTCAGATACTTCACTTGCATTTCATATCTCATACAAATGCACACATCAAATATGTTTACAAGTAAAAACGGAAATACAGGTAGTGATCAAAATTAAAACACATGACAGTCAATATTATTCATGTCAGAATGGAACCAAATAAAACTGACTGGGTAGCCAACAGCTCCTTTAACTTCCACTGTAGTCATGGTTACTGCATGACTTAATATTTCAGAGAGGTCTGTCTGTCCAAGGTCACAACATGAACCCCTTATGATATGGATCACGGACACACAACATACAGCTGTGCTATCACACAACAATAGTCGCAACACATTTCCTTCCAACACAACAGTCTACACTTATTTGTGATGCCGTGATTGATTAGGAGAAGTTGAGGTTGGCAGCTATTCGTGGACGCCGTTTCTTTCCCTGTGACGGAGGTCCACCAGCAGACTTGGGTTCAGATTTATGGGACTTGGGGTGATCAGTTCTAAGAGCTGAGTAGCTCCCTGACTGGGACTGGGAACTGTCAGTTTGTTTGTTTTCACTTCTTGAGAAACTGTCAGAGTCTCTCACTGGAGCAGCACTGTTGTCTTCATGGTATTGGGACTGGGTGTCGCGGCGTTTCTGGGGGGTCTTTTGATTCCTAGCAACCTGTAAGCAGGGAGCAGACGTGAAGTCAGTTAGAGTGAGAGCTGTTCTGAGTCACCTTAAGCAATATCCTAGCCACATCACATTGGAACTGTATCCAACTCACTTCAATCAGAAGGCATACCTTGACTCTAATGAATGAGTATGATTTTACGTGGCTTCTAGAAATATTCCACTGCAATATCACTGCAGGGAACACCAGAAATGTGTTTCACACATGTGGAGAATCAAACCCGCCTCCAGCATGGCAAGCAAAGGCTTTAACCACTAGGCTACCCCACTGCCATGTTGAACTTATAATCTAAAGAGTTTAAACCAAGCCTGCATACAACAGCGATTTATGAAGACTTACTGTACTCAGGATGATATTTGATCCAGTATTATGGAAATAGCGATGGGAGGTATTTCACTGATATTTCAGACAAAGAGAAAGACAGTTTATCTGTAAATGTTTCACAGTATTACAGTAAATGCAATGTGTAAATACAATAGTAAATACTTCTGAATTTAAGAAGAAACACAACTTCAACATTATAAACAAACAAACCAATGTACCAGTCATTTTGGAATCTTGATGGGCAAAGACCCTGTGGCTAGAATGCATTATACCGGATACCTAGCAGGGTTAGGGTTAGGTTAGGGGTTAGGGTTAGGGTAAGGGTTAGGGTTATTTTCATCTAATTTTTATATTTTTTCACCTTTCCGCGCTCGCATCACGTGACCTAATTAAATATGGCAGGCAGGTATCCAGTATAATGCATGTGTACCCACCCTGTACCCATACACTTTGTCTATACAACTATTTCAACAGGAGGATGAGTAAATGAGTTGTTTTAGGCAACAGTCAGCAATATTCCAGCTGTATCACTGAGTCTAATCCAGCCTGGGGCAGGCAAATCAGTGCTTGATATCATGACCATCATCCCAAGCTCTCTGGATGATGACATGATCTCAAGACCCATTTTTTATTGGATGAATCTTGTGGCAAACATAGGAGCTTAACAATCCTATCCTGGATCTATCCAAATTACCAAATTTTGATCCAACTGGGTTGTTACACAGGAAATAAATATTGGAGACTGTGATTTCTGAGAACAAAGTTCTTATTATATTTCAATGCCATGAGACTAATTTCTTTAACCTCTGGCAAACTAAAACTGAATGTGACCTCATGAACATATCAAGAAAGAGTTGTTAGAAGACAGCAAGTGTTCCTGATGATCACCTGAAGAGGAATGAAGGCGGGATCTGTCACCATTCCCGGCTTTCTTGATGCCTCTGAGCTGTGATAGCTTCCTCCCAACCCCATGTCAGACTGGTTACCTTGGTGATGGTTCCATGAACCACTTCCTGCATTTTGATTGGCTGGATGGTGTTGTCGTACACCTCCATGTTGGTGATGACCATGACCCTGATACCTTTGAGGTTGTGGAGGGCCTGGAAACTGGTGGCGAGGATGTCGTAGTTGAGAGTAGCCTCCCCTTGGTACAAACACTGGTCATACAAAAGGAATATTTTCACTTATATTTTCAAACAATTGTGTATTAGCACATTTTTTTAAATATTTCTGAATATTAGCAAACATGTAATCTGTAAATCTTACTTAGTGGGTTGAGTTTTTAAGCTTATTGGACTTAAAAGAAGTTTGTCTCACCCATTTCAGACCAGCCCAGCAATATCTAACTGTGGGGTTACTGTTGTAATTTCACACATGAATTCCATAATGAAAATGTGACTTTGAAAAGAAGACGTACAGCTGAGCCAATAATGAGTCCTAAGAGTGTTTCTAATGACTGTTCTTGGGGTGTCCCACATAGTTTTGAGTACCTGCGCAGGGGTCGGGGGAAACAAAGATGTGGGGGTGAGGCATCCTCTTCTGAGGGGGTCGGGCTACTTACTTTGTGCTGCACCAGGTCGAACTGGACTGAAGGCAGAGTTTGGGGAACACAGATGAGGGGGTGGGGGCATCATCATCCCTGGGGGTGGGATGTTCATGAATGGCCGAGGCTGTGTCCGGTCTAATGCTTGCTGCAATAACAATAACAGCTGATGAGACTCCTACTAATCCATCCCATTCCATCAGTGGAGGGTTCTGACTTGCTTAAAGGGGCGTCCTTTATGGTCATTCTGGACCTTCAGTCAGAAGGCAGTAACAATTACATATAAATTGCCAGGGATCAATTCCAAAATCTTTTTAGTCAGTAAATGCAGCAACGAAACAACGCTGAAATAGAAAAATTTAAATGCGAAAGCATTTTATAAAGTAAGTTGGTAAAAATTAAGAAACCTATCAATATAAATGTACATGTAAAGTTATAAACTGTAAACTTCTTGAAAATTCATCCAAAAGCTCACATGTGTAGTTTGATTATTGTTTTATTTTCAACCTACTTAACATTTTGAGAAAATAAAAAAGACAATTACTAGGATCTCCTGATTCTTTCATATTGCTACAACTAATCTGTAATGTCCAAGAATGAGGTCACCCTTATATGTTGTTTACTAGTTACTAACAATGACACTACCACTGTGCAAATCATGTATTGAAATGTTCATAAACCAAAAAATAGGAGGCTGCAAGATAATATTTATTTCTGTGTAGATTAATTGAAAAAACAAACAAACAGGCACTAGGTACTATCTGTATTACCCGTGAATATCTGGGTTAGAATATTGATCTTCAGCAACCCATGCTTGTGGTAAGAGGCGACTAATGGGATCGGGTGGTCAGGCTCGCTGACTTGGTTGACACATGTCATCGGTTCCCAATTGCGCAGATCGATGCTCATGCTGTTGATCACTGGATTGTCTGGTCCAGACTCGATTATTTACAGACCACCGCCATACAGCTGGAATATTGCTGAGTGCGGCGTAAAACTTAACACACTCACTCACTACTATCTGTATATTGTAAGTATGAAGCATTTTCCAGCATCTTAATTTCACTGAATTTCAGCTGTAATAACTACAACATTCTGACCATCAAGGATGAAAAAAAGGAAAAAAAGAAATGATAAAAGACAGTTCACTGAAATCACAATACACACAAGATGCATGCTGTCTCTGACAATCATAAAACATTACAAGTCAAAATATGTGAGCATTGCTCACTAATACCGACCGTGACTACCAACAAATAATAATGATTATCAAAAAACACAAGATGTTTGCACTGCACCTTTCCTATAAACAAAGAAGCCTTTACCCAAATCAGTAAACAATCCATGGTACAGTTATTGGTTGAACAAATGTGATGTGGGACTTTTCCAAAAAAAAACTCTAAATAGACTAAAAAAGTCTTCAAGGAGGGATGAAATTACTTGGTATTACTATATACAGTGTATGAAATAAGGCCCGTCTGACCGCCCGAGACGGGCTAGATTTTGCCGGACGGTCAAATTTTACAGCTAGCCAGCCCGATGGACGGGTGAAAAAAATTATTCAGATAACGTGTCCACTGGCACTGTCTATTTAGTATTTAAGAAGGACCGGTTAAATCTCTTCTGGGCTGGTAAGTTTTTGAAGTTACCAGCCCAGATGTCTGGCTGGGTTTTTGGCTTATTTCATACACTGCTATATACCCCCAACGTTTTCAGGTCAGGGGAAAATAAACAGTAAGTGTAAAGTTACAAAGCCTCAGCGTTGAAGAGTCAATGAAATATCTGTGTTGTTATTGATAAAAAGCATTTTTTGTAAGCATTTACGATGCTGTAATTGTATATTGACTTTATAGTTTGGCTTGTTCCAAAGCATACGGTGTTAACATGAAATACTTGGCAAAGTATGTGTAATAAACAAACATATACACACAAAGACATCACTAGAAAACAGCTTACTGTACATAAATCATGTACCGGTATTGTGATGCTTAAGCTCTTCAATGTCAGAGATGCCAACCCAAACTGTAGCACGGAAATATGTAGGACAACTTGGTCTCAAATTAGAAATTTGCCCTTCAAATTATTGAGTTTAACTACTACTAGCAATATTCTAGTGATATCACTGTGAAGTACACCTGAAATGGGACTCACACATTGTACCTATATGGGAAATCAAACTTGGGTCTTCCGCGTGATGAGCAACCACATGGCTACCCAACCATTCCTAATAATTTGTTAACATAATAGACATTACTCACAGTGTTGTTTTGCAACATTAAACATTTACACTTAACCCATGCTTGCCACAAAAGGCGACTATGCTTGTCGTAAGAGGCGACTAACAGGATCGGGTTGTCAGCCTCCCTGACTTGGTTGACACATGTCATCGGTTCCTAATTGCACAGATCGATGCTCATGCTGTTGATCACTGGATTGTCTGGTCCAGACTCGATTATTTACAGACCGCCGCCATATAGCTGGAATATTGCTGAGTGTGGCGTAAAACATAACTCACATAACCGAAACTTCCCCAAATAGTGTAAACCCTCCCATTAAGCTGAACTAATCACATAACTCGCACACCTGGCTGTTCTCTCTCTGTACTCCTCCCTCGTAACAAATAGTGAATGGTGTCAATATTTTAATGATAGTTTGTTAAACAACTTTTTCAGTTTTAGGACATAAATTCTAAAAAAAATTCACAGAGTTGGTCTGATGTTTTGATTCTGATCAGCAATTTATTGAGCATTATATGTTTATTAGTTTTCGAGTTAGATTGCAATTCACCAGTCTGCTTTTGAGCCAAACGGACTGTAAGTTTGCTGAAGCAAAGAAGGCAATCATTCCAAGCAGATAGGGTATACAGAAAATACAAAACTAAACTGATGATTAAATAGACAAACTTACTGAATTTGTTTTTGTACAAACATTCAGTTTACTTTAAAATAAAACACAGCAGTTTCTCAATATTATAATAATCCTGTCAAAATGGCAATGGTTGGCATCTCTGTAACCATGGTAACACATCTAGTGTGCAGAGATAAAACAAAAGTATCAAGCATAAAGTCAGCAGTGGTGTACAAAACTAGCAAAGATCAAAGGCAAAGTGTGAACTCACCAGAATAATTTGCCATTCAAGAGTAAACTTTTTCGCCAAAAAAAAAAAAAAAAAATTGAATTCATTTTCAATCTGTATCTAGATGAATATTCTGTCAACATATAAGCACCAAACACATATTTTGATATGTCAACAAATAACAATATATAACAACAATATATACCATATCTGTAACAGTAAGTGAACAACGAGAGTCCACTGAGAGATCACTATTTTCTACATGTTACCAAAGCTGTTGAATATTTTGCAGATAATTAATTGCAGTGTGCTAAAATATATCTGTGCATCAGATAACACACCCTGAAATTTGTACAGGTCAGAAAATAGTTTAAGTAGAAATATAAACTTATTTTTTGTTTTGGCATGTTTCCTTAACCAACTCTTGAGAAATGTGAAAGTGTAGACAAGAAAGCAGAAAACAAGTATCATTTTGGGATGGCCAAATACATTTGCTACAGCACAAAATTTTGCAGAGATGGGTACCCAGTGATTGTTTGCTATCAAGAAGTACCAGGTACTTCAGCACTGAAACACATCGACTGTCACTCTCCTACTTATTGCGGACAAATGGTGTACCCTTTTGATAAATATGCAACCAGTTTGTAGTTACTCATTCTGTTGACAGTGCACAATGAAAGGACGGTCACTTCGTATTTTCCAACTCCCTGTTACATGTGTAACACCATCTGATATGATGGATAGTGATTCATTTACACATCTAGTATTTTACTTGTCTAGTTGACCTGCACATCTGTGCATTATTGCACTCATACAGTGACATTCCTGCACATGTGCGCACGTGCATGTGTGTGAGAGTGATATTGTGTTCAAGGGACGTAACTCTGCTAAGGAAAACCTAGGCAACTATACCCTGTTGAACCCTTGAAGCATGTGCTTGCGACTCACCAGATGAAGCAATGCTATGCTTGCAGCACTCTCTGCAGCCTCCTCACGGCTGCCACACTCAGATCCTTCAAACCTGGCCCCGTTTGTCAGCATCACCATGCTAGTGTAAAGACCCTGCACAAACACACAGAGCTCCTGCTATAGCGACTGAATGGTGCATATAGTTTCATGAAGCTTTAAGTGAGTGAGTGAGTGAACAAGTGAGTTTAGTTTTATGCCGCTTTTAGCAATATTCCAGCAATATCACGGTGGGGAACACTTGAAACGGGCTTCACACACTGTACCCATGTGGGGAAGTGAACCTGGGTCTTTAATGTGAAGAGTGAATGCTTTAACCACTAGGCTACCCCACCGCCCTGAAGCTTAAAGAGAAAAGCCATGTGATATTACCACTTGGAGGAAATCCAAGACCACAGATAAACAAAGAGATAAGATAATATGTTTTAATATGTCTGACATGGCTACTTTACAATTACTTCAATCACCACCAACATCCCCTTCATGGTGATCTCACATGCATAAGTAAACTGACCTTTGCACGCTTGAAGTCATATCCTGGCGCTGAAAGTCCCAGATTCTTACACCTGCCTTCAAGGTCCAGCACTGGGTTCCTGTAACATGGGTGAGTTGGTATATTCCAATAGAGGACAACAACAGAATACCCTACCACTCGGCACCATTAGCCACTCGTCTCAATCCCAAAACCAGTAAACTCGTTTGATCTAATGGGCTCACCAAGTAACTGTCGACATACTACCACAGAATTCTTCTGAAAATAATGCAGAAAGCCAAGTTGGGGCTAGAATGTGGCAGGACAGCCCATAATGCTACGCGTGATGACATCAGAAGTAAAGTCGAACAAAAAGGCCACATCAGGGTAAATATTGTAGATTGAAACAATAAGTGAATCCATACAGTTAGGGGACAGGACCTATATTTTCGAAGCTCTCTTAGCGCTAAGATAGCCGTAAGTGCCATACATTAACATTAACTTACGACTATCTTGGCGCTAAGAGAGCTTCGAAAATATAGGCCCAGAACTCTGCACAACAAATTCTTGCAACTTAGACCACCAATGCCTCTTCAAACAATCGGTGACAAAACTTACTGACTGCAGTATTACTGCAGCAAAATTAATGAAATCCAAAGTATCAACGAAACTAGTCTACTTAGTGGACTTAGTATATATGCATATATGGCCAACAGTTAATTATGAGTGATTTGGGTTGATGAAGGAGGGAAGCCTGAATTGATCATAATGTAATTTTTAGAGTAAAATTGATATTTTATACTTATCCTGACTCATGCTCTTTTGCTTGTCTTCTTCTTCTTGCGAACATAGTGGAACACTTGTATCTCCTTAATTGAAGCTCCCTTCAATGTAAAATCACTAATTGGTACTCACCAAGAGTTGCCTCTCTTGCCCTTTTGGCGGGAACAGGTGTCGCCACCCTCTGGCCTCATGCTTCACTTTCTCCTGATTTTGCGAGCCCAACACTTGAATTTACAGGGAAATCCAAAGTGTTATGTGGGGAGGATGGGAGGGCTAACCTCATGAGTCAGGATAAGTATAAAATATCAATTTTACTCTAAAAATTACATATTTTTCCTTATCCTGACTCGTGCTCTTTTGCTTGTAGAATCCTACGGAAACGGAGGTGGGCAAAACAGAATACTTTGGATTTATAGAATTAGTGATTTATATAGATATAACTGTAATAACCCCTTACGGGAACTTCATAAAGGCATAGACTTAGGATATTTCCTCTATTATAAGCCATAGGTTATATTTTGCCATACTGGGGTATTTACAATAATAATATACTGTGATATTATCAAATAAAGATATAAAAGTGACTCTGATAGAGAAGCTATACAACTGAACATAATCATCAGTAAAAGCTTAAGGGTGAGTAGACCTAAGCTAAGTATATACATAGTGCTAGAACTCCGTAGAGTTATAAGCTAGATAATGCATGTATCAATTATGCATATTAATCTCGTAAGACTATGTGTTAACGTTCTGAGGGACTGTCAACTGCTGTCTGCGAGGACCAAGGGACCGAATGGTGAATACCTGAGGCGTCCTCGGTGGTGATATCTCTCAGATAGTGATTAGCAAACACCATGTTAGATTTCCAAAAGCATCCTTCCATAATTGTATTCAATGAACAGTTACCGTGTAGGGCGAGAGTGGAAAGCCAATGCCCTGATCTCATGGGGATTTGATGCTGTTGGAGGGTCCAGTCCTGCTGCCTTGTAGGCATGAGAAGTATGACAGTTCTTATCCATATAGATATGGTGAATGCGAGAGACTTCTGTCTGAGTTGTTGCCGACAAAGGGAATGAATAATCGTTTGAGAAATCTTAAGCCTTGTTTTGGAGCGTCGTAAAATAGATTTTGAGAGCTCTGACTGGGCATAGAGATAAGTCCAGTGTATCTTGAGATCCGAGAATCGAGGATAGTGCAGGGATGTGGAATAACCTGTCTGGTTGACCTGGTAGTTGATTTTTGGCGATGAAATCCCATCTTAGTCCCAGGTGTGCTGTGTTTTGATTGTCATCAAACTGTATCCTCTCATAATCTAGTCGTGAATTTCTGACATCCTGGCTGCTGTGGCTAGAGATAACAGGAAAAGCGTTTTCTGTGAGAGAAATTCAAAAGTTGTCGATTCCAACGGTTCATAAGCCTCACTTGTGAGGTGTTGTAGCACTATATTCAGATCCCAAGCTGGGGCGTGGAACTTCGCTTTTGGTCCTCCAATGGGAAAGCACGTAGTAAGGCCAGTAACTCTGGAGTTTTAGTCAATTTGACACCCGTTCTCATAGTAATCACAGAACTAAAGCGGCGGCAAGATATGTTGACAATGTCGAGCCTTTTAAATGTTTGTTTTGCCGAAAGTAACACAAATAATCTGCCACTTGTGGATGAGCAGCATCTCTCGCTGTAAATCCCTTATTTGCTGCGTAATTTTCAAAACTGTGCCACTTGTCGTCGTACAAGTTACGTGTAGAATTGCGTAAGGCAAGCGTGACCGCTTTTGCCGCCCTGGTAGAATATCCTCTCTTGTTTAAACACATTTTAATACAGTCCATACGTGAAGTTGGAATACTTCTGGGCTTCCGTGCACCTGTTTGGTGTGTGGATGTATTAATAGATTTGAGCGCTTGGGTAGCTCTAGTGTTGGTTGACCGATTTCTTGAATTAGAATGGGAAACCACGTTCCGGCTGGCCAAAGTGAGTTGGAGGCTCTGTGTTTGCCTGATTTTCTGTAACACTTGAGGTATTATTGCTGGCGGCGGAAACGCGTACGCATTGAGGCCTTCCCAGGATATGCTTAGAGCATCCGTTGCCCATGCTTGTGGGTCTGGGACTGGTGACACGAATGTCGGTAGCTGATTGTTGAATCTTGTGGCGAATAGATCTACTAGCGGCGCTCCTATTTGCTTGATTATCTGTGCAAATATTTCTGTATTGAGCATCCATTCTGTCGGTGACGGTTGATGGGGCCGAGAGAGTGCGTCTGCTAGTACATTCTTGGCTCGGGAATGTGACATGCTCTGACATGTAGGTTTAGATCGTGGATTAGATCGAACAGTTGAAAGCTTAAAGTCAATAGGTTCAGTGATCTCGTTGAGCCTTGTTTGTTCACATAGAACGCCACTGTCGAGTTGTCGGTATGAATCATTAAGTCGCATTCTGTAGAATGGTGCTCCAATGAAGTATGGCGTTGATTACAGCTTTCATCTCTAACATGTTTATATGGAGCTTGCTTTCTTGCTGATTCCATAACCCTGATGCCGTCCGGTTGGCGAGATGAGCTCCCCAACCTTGGGCGTGGCGTCTACATATAGATGGGTTTTGAATTCCTGCTCTGCTAAACAAATACCTTCGCGAGACATTCGACCTCCTGGTCCACCAAAGTAGATGAGGTCTGAGATGTTTTGGTAGACTGAATGGTTGTAGGTCGTCGAGATGTGCATTGATGAAGACCTGTAGCGGGCGTAACTGTAATCTGCCTCTGACTGTCATGTCTTGGGCTGATGTGAGGAGACCCAACAAGCTCTGCCATTGTCGTGAGTGGTAACGTAGAGAGTAGAGCTGGCGGAATGGTCTGTTGGATCTTGAGCCGACGGTCTTCTGAATACTGACGATACGGTTGTGATTCGTGATAAATCGAATGCCTAGGAACTGCAGATCTTGCGATGGTACTAGGTCCGACTTGAGTAAGTTTACTAACCATCCTAGCTGTGTTAGTAGCTTTATGATGTAGTTTAACTGTAGTTTGAGGCGCTGTGGATCTTGATCTACTTGTATCCCGTCGTCGAGGTAGAACGCGACTGCGTAGCCCTAGACGATGTAGATAGGTGACAATAGGTTTACGTTATCCTCGTGAATAGCCAGGGGCTGATGATATTCGAATGGGAGTACTTTCCATTGGTAATGTAGCCCGTCTAGTGTAAATCTGAGATATTTCCTGGATTCGGGATGTATCGGGATGTGTAGATATCGTCTTGCAGATCTATACTGGCCATGTAATCCATGGGGCTAGAATCATGTGCGTAACTGAGGTAGGTGTATCATGCGAAACTTTGGTGGTTTGCGTAGATAATTCCTGTTGAAAAAACTCATATTGTAAATGAGTCTGTATTCCTCCTTGGAGTTTTTCTTGGGTACTAGGAAAACTGGGGAGTAGAAGCCTGGTTCGATGTTTACTTGATCTAGTACTTCTATGGCCTGCTTGGTTATGAGTGATGTAACAGCCTCTCTTAACTTTGGTAGTTGTTGTGCCTGTAAGTCGAACTTGTGAGGGTTGACTGTCAGCGGAGGCGTGGCCTGTAGTGGGATACGAAATCCGTGTTGAAGAATGTTGGAGACATAAGGGTCTTGTAACATTCTCCAGTTCTCCCAGTGTAGTTGGAGGCGCCACCCACTTGTGACGGTTGTACTGGAGCGGCTGGGGTGGAAGACTCCAGTCGTTCGAACCTGTCTTTCAGCGTTTATAGTTGCGGGAACCTCTGGGTGTCCTGCCTCTTCCTGACCCTCCTCTATAGTTGCCATATGGGCTGACGAAAATAATCTTTCCCCTGGCTGGCTATCTTCCTATCCGTGCTTTCTGTAGTCCCGAGAACTTAGATCTCCCTGAGTATCTTTGTGAAGTCTGCCTGATGGCGCTGGCTAAGCGTGTCCATCGACTTGATCATAAGGACTTCTCTGGAGTCCTTAGTGACTTCCTTGGAGACTTTGTCTATTCCTCCGTCAAAGATGGATGGGGAAGACCACGGGCTGTATAGAGTGGAGCTGTAAAGTTCTCACCCCAGCTGCAGGAAGCGAGGAGGCCTTGACGACGAGCTAAGGTCAGCTGCTGAGACAGATGTGAGATGATCTGTAAGGAACTGCTGGTTCTTCTTTTGCATCAGTAGGGCCGAGTAGATCATCCTATCATCTTCAGAGGTCATATATACGAAATCTGGTGATAAGTGTCTCATTGATCGTTCTAGATCTATTTAGGCCAAAAACATCGCGCCTCGTCATGGTTTCTATCTGCACCAGCTTGCGATCATCAATCTTGTAGTTCTTGTTCTTAACATGGCTGATCAGCTTGTAGTTGTCATCGATGTCTTGTGCCTTCAGGAAGGGTCCATGTTGTGCGTGGAGAACTTCTTAAGCGTGAAAGTTCGGCAGATGTGGTGTCTGCACTTTCGTGGCTTTATGGAAGGCTGTATCTAGATTCTGTGGCACCGCCGCAATCCGGTCGATCGGAGGTAGGGTGACGACGTCTGCATTGTCTTCCTTCATCAGGTATGTCTGCGCTGAGTTGCCACTCTTGGACGGTGAAGATAAATCTAGGTTGTTTACCATCCAATATCTTATCTCAGCGTCTGAGAAAATGATGCCTCCATCATCTTCTGTACCAGCATCGGTGATGAGAGGTTGATGCTCTTCTGATGGTGAACGGTGTGCTGCTATCTCTATGTCGGGTGACGCTTGGGGAGACCTGACTGTAGACTTGTGTGCAGACTTGTGTGGTGACCTGCGAGGTGATCGACGTGGTGATGTACACGGAGATCGGCGTGGTGAACGGCGTGGAGATCGTCTAGGTGATCTGGCGTCTATGGGATGACCTTCGGAGATCTGCGAGGAGAATGTTGATAGCTACGCGAAGCTCTTGAGTAGTCCCTCGACGTCCTTCTGGACGATGACGATCTGTGTGACGGCCTTCGTGAAGCTTCCTCTGCGTCCGGACCTGGGGAGCGGCGCCTTGACCTCCGTGACGGCTTCCGTGATGTTTGGTGGTCTGAGTCCGCATCTGAGGATGAGGCCGAGGTCGGTGACGATCTCTCCCGTCTTCGCGAAGGCCTTCGCGAAGACTGTACATCTGGGTCCTTCGTCGAGGTGGTCTGTGACTTCCTTCTCGAAGGCTGCTTCGTCGTGGCTGCTACGCTGACTGGGGGTGCCTCTGGGGTGTCGTCTGCGTTGCTCTGGCCCTGGGCTGGCTGCTTCTCCCGTCTGTAGTGGCCCTCCATCATGGTCATGATCTGCCGCAACAGCTCGTCTGGGATGGTCTGCGATGAAGTAGTCGGCGCCCTCTCTGCGATGACAGCGGCTGAGCCCTCAGGGAAGTCGTCTGACATCAGTGTAGAGACATCAGGCTGCATGGCGATCTCTGCTGATGTCACTGTAGCTGTCACCGGCCGCTTCTTGTGGCGTACGTCAGGGATGATGATCGGCTGATCATCGTAGAGGCCCAGTTCGGCGGCTGGAACGATCTCGCTGAGAAAGTTCTTGGCGACCGTGGAGCTTCCCCTTGAGGTCGGCGCTGCCCTGGGGAGTCGAAGTCTGCGTTGAGAAGACGCGTCGAGGCCCTCTTGGACTTTAGCTGCGATGACGGACGTCTGGGGAGGCAGGGCGCTTCTTAGAGGTGGTGGACTGCATCCCACGCCTCTTCCGGCCAGGGTCTCTAGCGGAACACCAGGCGGAGAGGGTCGATCGACAGCAGCTGACTGGATGGGGAATCAGATGTATCGGCCATGTCTAACCCTTGTTTAAGTGACCTATCTGCGCGTACGTCTCAAGGCGCAAAGATATTTATGAAAAGCAGAATTAGATAGATTAATGCAGTAACTGCAACGTGAATCAAACGCACAAGGCGTAGCACAACTAGGGCATAATACATGCGGGTCAGCAACAGAAAAACGTAAACTGCAAATAGTACAGATTTTCATCAACGTAATACTAGCTGAACAATCACGAACTCACGTGAATAAACAGTAGAAATATGATTAATTATCAATGCAAATTAATGAAGGATACTAGCTATACCTCTATAGTAACCTATAAGAGGTAATAAACTAAGAAAAACCAAAGGATATAGTGTGTAAGGAGACACAGGCGCTCTCACATCCTGCTCACTGGGCGAAGAAGGAGAGAGTGAAGCATGAGGCCAGAGGGTGGCGACACCTGTTCCCGCCAAAAGGGCAAGAGAGGCAACTCTTGGTGAGTACCAATTAGTGATTTTACATTGAAGGGAGCTTCAATTAAGGAGATACAAGTGTTCCACTATGTTCGCAAGAAGAAGAAGACAAGCAAAAGAGCATGAGTCAGGATAAGGAAAAATAACATCTACCACTTTTGTGAACCTAAATTCCTTTTTGTGAACCTAAATCTCTGATGAAATCAATAAAGGCAGATTTGTCACAATCATCAATATTTAAGTAATACCTGTTACTCAGAGCATATCTCCCAAGTGCATTGGCTAACAACTTAATCATGTTGCAAAACAAGTCAAACTAGTGAAACTTGCTCATCAAAATTTCTTTAAGATGATTGTTGATACATTTTATGTTTAAATACATGAGGGTAAAGTTGTTTGCCAGAAGTAAAAAATATGAATACATTTGACGACCAAACAGACTTTTGAGGCCACCTTTAGTGAATCACAACATACAAAATTACAAGAACCACTTTTTCATTTTAACTGAAACCGTCTTATCCAATTTCTCCATCAATCTTAACACAAACTTTATTGTTGCAAAATGAGGGAGTTTAGTTTTATGCCATTCTTTAGCATTATTCCAGCAATATCACGGTGGGGGACACCAGAAATGGGCTTCACACATTGTACCCATGTGGGGAATCGAATCCAGGTCTTCGGCATGACGAGCAACGCTTTAACCACTAGGCTACCCCACCGCCCCTGTATTGCTGCAAAAGCAATGCTATGGTGAACACAATGACATGAAACAGCCACCAGAACAAGAACATAACGAGATCTACATACACCAGCCCAATCATGCATCTCGAGGGTCCATAAACAAAAATAAGTGCAATGAGCATGTAAGTCAACGTTGTGGAACAGCTTATTCCTACAAAAATGTGCAAAACCATGCAGCATGTGTACACTGCACACTGTCAATACTGACACTTTCTGTGAGCTAGCATTCAAATTTAGTCCAGAAAACATCCATTATTATTGCCTAAGCAGAAACATTCACTCTGTTGACATTGTGTACACAGTGAGAATATTAACCATGCAGCAAAACAGTTGTTCAAGTCTCCATCACTTCACTTCAAAATGCCATAAACGAAATGTAAGCAAATGTATTACTTAAAATTCCTTTGAAAATAGTATCAACAGCCCCTATTCAGTGAGTGAGTGAGTTCGGTTTTAAGCCGCTTTTAGCAATATTCCAGCAATATCAGGCAGGGGACACCATAAATGGGCTTCACAAATTGTGCCCATGTGGGGATTCGAACCCGGGTCGTCAGCGTGACGAGCGGACGCTTTAACCACTAGGCTACCCCACCGCCCCTCCCCTACTGATGCCATAGCACGTGACCATGTCTCTTTTCCCAAATTCTGAATTATCATAGTTTGGAGGCAAATAGGTAAAAAACAAAATTTGTTCTGTTTGTAGAATGCCTCTATTATTTGGTGTATTGCTTCTCCCATTGCTCACAAAATTAAATATCTAACCTCTTTCCTGGCTATCCCTGAAGTTTAAAGTAATAGCAAGTAAAACGGACGCATGCTGTCAGTGATGTGGACAAAACACATAACTTTCAAAATACTTCCACGAACATTGAAAATGTACCATTTCTATGGGACAAAAAGTGCCTGTCTGATACCTTGTCAAGATAAACTGTATACAAATCCATTTAAAGGATGCTTGAACAACTCTTTCAGTCATGCAATGTTAAAGAAAGCACAAACAAACCACAACACACCCTGTGTCTAACCTAGGTCCAGAGTCATGAGGTCGGTGGTTCACATGACCTTGACCTTGATGCTGTTTCCTTTGACCTTGCTGTTGATGTGGTCTTTGTCCCTGACCTTGTTGCTGCCAATTGTCTTGCCCCTTCTGTTGGTGTTGTTGTTGTTGTTGTTGTTGCTGTTGGTGTTCCTGTTGCTGCTGTTTGGGTTGTGGTGGAGAGGTCTCCTGTTGTTTAGCACCTACAAAATGTTTGTGTCATGAAATGGCAGGTTGGAGGATATCTAGAAAATAACTCAGAATTATTCTTCATTCTGAACTGCCTGTTTACTTTCGTTTTTAGATACAGAAGTCACACATGATGCTCAAACTGATTCACTCACATGCATTCTGAACAGCAGATCAATTTCAACTCATGTTGTCTGATTTTGACATAGAGATTAAAAGGAGACATTTTCTGAACTGAAGTAAGAAATCTGTATGCAGTGTTATAATGGGCTTAGAAATATGACCCTGCTGATAATCAAGATTAGGGTACTATTGGTAGGGATACATATTTGGTTACAGACTCAAATAAATGATTAGTGACTGAACACTGAACACTACTTCTATGGTTTTAAGGAATCAACAAAGCAGCACAATAATATTAGATACCATGATATAAGTAGCATATCTTCAGTTCATGACCTCAGACTCATATCACATCACAAAGTGCACACTTTGTTGTTACTAATGGAATTCCTACACTTAACACAGGCTTACAATAGTCATAGCACAAAAATCATCTTCACATTGGATACCTGGGCTTGGTTCACAAAGCTGGCACAGTACAACAACTGCTCTGTCTGTTTGACAAGACTGTTATGGGGTATAGGTCCTGCACTGACATCAGTAGGACTGACCTCACTAGTACACAGAGCACATCATAATTGTGAATTGCTATGATTTATATATGCATGTACAGTCGAGCACCGTTGTGTCGAACTCTGATAACTCGATATCTCGGTTTTCTCGAAAAAATATCTCGGTCCCAGCAAAATCCTTCATAACTTATCATTATTCAAACTCTTTTAACTCGATACGGATGTCTCCATATTTCAGATATCTCGATATAATTTCATGGTCCCAACAAGTAAAATTACCCTTTTAACTCGATATTTGCAAGGAAACTCGATATTCACCTACCTTTCATGGGCAAGTATCGCTCTGAACGGAGGTTGTTTCCACACGTTTAGACACGGTGTAACATGAATCAAAGGGTTCATTGAAGATATCACTTGTTTGTTATTTAATTACGATTAAGTAAGAAGGATTTAATCAGGAAGTACTCAGTGTTCAGCTAAACACTACTGATGACGGATTATAGTTTTGAATCAAAACATACTGAGAAGCGTTTTGTTTTCTTTCATAGTGATATGTGATATGCCCTGGTCGGATGTCTCGAAGTTCGGATAACTCAATATGTTTTCTTGGCCCCATAAATATCGAGACAACGGTGCTCGACTGTATTATTATCATCACTCACCATCAAACAGTTCCTGCACTGATAACTGTTTCCCATATGCTTTTGTTGGTGATGAAGTATTGGGCACACTACCTCCCTCTGGCGTTGTACTAGTGTCCGATCCGATCTTCAGCATGTGTTTCAGTGCAGAGCTACCATCCTGAGGGAAAAGAAAGAGAAAGCACAATTGCAGTTTCGCTATATTCCACCAATATTACAGCACAAATAGAGGATAACTTTGTGCCTGGCTGAAACCATTAAAGAGCAGGTCAGTGCAAATGTGAGGTACACAGGTCTCTGACCCCTACTCTACACCATTTCATTGTTTTTTGGGTTCATGATGGACTCTATCTTACTAAGTAAGAACCAGCCTATCCAGTGACTGACATCATGATAATAGAATGATATGCTATCAACCAAGTCACAGAGTCTAACCATGACAAGCAATCTATTCTCACCCAGAATCCATCCCTACAGGCGGGCAACATAACTTAGGACACAGAAAGGGAAGTGTGTTTGAGAAGTGATAAACATTATTGGGCAAACTTATGCTTGTCAACCTCTAAATTAGAAGGAGTGGGTGAGTGAGTCCAGCAATATTACGGCGGGGGACACCAGAAATGGGCTTCACACATTTTACCCATTTAGGGAATCGAACCCGGGTCTTCGGCGTGACGAGCGAACGCTTTAACCACTAGGCTACCCTAAATTAGAAGGAACACAATGCTCAGGGTATATTCTTACTCCAACATCAGAGGGTATATTTATTTAGAATGAAAGACTGATTGTGACTCCCTCACCTGTTCCGTGGCATTATTATTACTGTTGATTCCTCCTACGACCTCTTCCTCCTTCTGGGTCTTCCCGGACAACTCCAGAGAGTCCATCATGGCAATGAACTCATCTTTCTCCGCGGCTTCCTTCTGCAAGCTAGCACGATCAAACAGGGTCTGCAGATCGATCTTCTTACTGCTACCATTCTCTGATTCATTAACGCTGTCACCACGTCCACTCAGTTCTGGTTTCTTCTGGTGCCGTGTTGTAGGAGGAGTTATCTGCCCCAATGCAAGTGCTGCCTGTTGGAGTGACGGTTCTTGGATGAGGTTGCCACTTGATGGCGCTGTCTGTACTGTGCCGGCCTGCAGCTCCTTCCACATGTTGGCAAACTCTGAGTTGCTGGTTGCATCTTGGGAAGGCTACAATGATGAAATTCATTATGGTACAACAGTGAGAGAGTGAGTTTAGTTTTACGCCACACTCAGCAATATTCCAGCTATATGGCGGCGGTCTGTAAATAATCGAGTCTGGACCAGACAATCCAGTGATCAACAGCATGAGCATCGATCTACGCAATTGGGATACGATGACATGTGTCAACCAAGTCAGTGAGCCTGACCACCCGATCCCATTGCCATGGGTTACTGAAGATCAATTCTAACACGGATCTTCACGTGTTTATGGTAGAATAGGACCACATCTGATCCAGGCAAACCAGTGTCTAATGAACACAAACAATTCATCGTTTGGGAACAAAGACCAACCAGAAACCAGACTCCATCTTAAAAAGGATGGGTCTTGTTCTGTCCTTTGGCCCTATTCCACAAAGCAATCGTACCACTACAGCAATCATATCCCAGAGTTAAAGTATGCCTGTTAGGGCTATTGCTGTTTTGTGGAATCAGGTCCTGGAAAACACATTAGGTGGTCAACATAAAACACTATACAGTGAAACCTGCCAACACCGGCATCTCTCTAATCCGGCACACTGTCAAAACCGGCATAAAATTTTACAACAATATTATGATCATTAAAACATGTCTAATCCGGCCATGATGGAAAATGATTGTCACTGTCTAATCCGGACCCTGTCTAAACTGGCACTAGTTTCGGTCCAGAGGGGTGCCGGTTTAGACAGGTTTCACTGTACTTCAAACACTAAACTTCAAAAGAGAGGAAGGTATAATTCCAGAGTTACAAATCTTCCATACTTTTGTCCCTGGTAAGCTTTTACTGTGGACATGTTTTGAATGTGTAACAGCTTTGGGTTTCTCTGTTTTAGCTGAAATACATTTGTGCACAGACTGACTGAGTTTAGTTTTACGCCGCTTTTAGCAATATTCCAGCAATATCACGTCGGGGGACACCAGAAATGGGCTTAACACATTGTGCCCATGTGGGGAATCGAACCCGGGTCTTCGGCGTGACGAGCCAACGCTTTAACCACTAGGCTACCCCACCGCCCCATTTGTGCACAGAGCTTTATTGATTAAATATTGCAAACAAACGTGATGGATTTGTGCTAAATATATATCATTATGTCAAAATTTGAAATGGTTGACACTTCTGGTTAATAAGCTTTGGTTACAATCAACATGTTTGAGATCAGTACTTACTTGTGTCTTTCCTCCTGTCTGTTGAGTTCTGTTTGGTGTTCGTTTAGAAAACTGTGTTTGTGTGACTTTTGGTGTAACAAATTGGGGATTGTTGCTGGTAAACCCACCATTCTTCTGTGAAAGAAATGATAGAAATGTTTAGTAAGTTTCAATGTTCATCTTATATGTAGTAAACTTTGTCATTGTGTTATGTTCATTCATGCTTCCTTAATCAAATATCTTGACAAATACAATCACAATATTGCACCAAATCTTGTCACAGATAATGTATTGGGTGACTGACTGACTGAGTTTAGTTTTACGCTGCTTTTAGAAATATTCAAGCAATATCACGGCGGGGGACACCAGAAATGGGCTTCACACATTGTGCCCATGTGGGGAATCGAACCCGGGTCTTCGGTGTGACGAGTCAACGCTTTAACCACTAGGCTACCCCACCGCCCCTGTATTGGGTGAAATAGGGTTTAACATAGTTATTATTGTACTTGCTTACAGTAACATGCATACACATGGGTAGAAGTGACTACTTGTACAATTACAGAATATTAAATGATGGTTTTATAGAGAAACTCATTGACATACCATACCATGTCACAGTTCAACATGGAAACCCCATTCTGAAACATAAAACCGCCTCCTTGGTGTAGTGGTTAGAGCGTCTGCCCGGAGAGCGGGAAGCTTGTGGGTTCAATCCTCGACCACATCATAGCAAAAGACGTTAAAATATGGTACTTGTTGGTCCCTGCCTGGCGCTCGGCATTAATGGGTACAACAAGGACTGGTCGGCTCGGAGTCAGTATAATGTGTCTGAGTGGGTTATTCATGCTTCACTGCGGCATGGTATCTCAGTGGGCTAGCACTATAAAACCAGCTTCAGTCTGGGCTAGTACAAGCAGTCGTACATACACATACACACGCATGCACGTCGTTATATGAGCGAAATATTCTCAAGCACGACGTTAAACCCAATTTCACCTCACCTCACCTGAAACATAATACTGATTGCAAGGAAACTAATCCCCTAATCCCCGTACTGCTGATCACAACACAGGGTTACAAACAAGTACAATCTTCTCATGTCCTTCAGTGTGATCAAACCACCAATCTTCTGCTCTTCCACTACACCACAGAGGCAGTTAAATAAATTTATATCCTTTCTGTGGTTCTTTTTAGATGTAAGTCTGAAAACAAGGAATACCCATCTTGGCCTGGCCTGATCAAGTTACCAAATCACCTGTCCAAATCCTTTATTAAAACTGTCGCTCCCATTGTAGTAATTGTACTTGTCCTGCTGTTTCTGTGATGAGTCAAACTGGTCGTGTTTGTGATTGGGACGGCGATCTGCAGAGCCCCATAGCATGTGGGGCTCCTTGGCCCGTCCTCTGTGTCCCCCTGACTTTGACATGAGATCGCTGTAGCTGTGGTTGGTGTTAAGGTTGGCTCCAGAACCTTGACCCCAGCTGCTTATGGCTGGACGGAGACCTTGAGACGCCTCGTGAAGACCCCTTTCTTCTCCTTCCTCTCGCCGTGGGTCAGGTTGATCATCGCGGCTGCTGGGACGCGGTAGCCTCGGTTTGGAGAAGACCTGGAACAATACAGTCAGAAATAGAACAAGCATTGTCACTAAGGTGACATAATTCCCGACGCAAATTATCAAATCAAACTTAAAAAGTAATGAAAGTTTAAGATGAAGTTAAATGTCAACAAGCATTATCACTAAGGTGACATAATCCCCGACGCAAATTATCAAATCAAACTTAAAAAGTAATGAAAGTTTAAGATGAAGTTAAATGTCAACAAAAACATGACCAGTCAACCTCTTTTGATATCTTGCTCTTTAGTTGTTCAAACACACAAATATTTTCAAGACTGACTTTGACCTTGACATAAATATCATAGTGTATGAAATATGCAACAAGAAGACAAAGTCATCAATATCCCCCGCAATGGCAAAATACTCTTCATGATTATGTCTACGAGTTATGATTATGTCAAATATTTAGGTGTGTATATAGAAAAGTGGAAGGAGAGTATTGAAAGGTTTTTAAAGTTCTGCTCCAGAAAGCAGCACTATCACCAATTTCAGGCTAAGTCAAACTTGTTGCCATGGAAATGCAAAAAATATTTTATTCAGAATTCCAAAACTACCAAAAGGCACCAGTACACCACCAGATCTATCTATGTGCCAAGTTTGGTGAAGAAATATTGAACAGTTTTAGAGTTCTGCTCCGGAAAAGAGCAGTACCACCAATTTCAGTCTAAGTCGAACTTGTTGCCATGGAAACGCCAAAAATATTTTATTCAGAATTCCAAAACTACCAAAAGGCACAAGTACACTACCACATCTATCTATGTGCCAAGTTTGGTGAAGAAATAGTGAACAGTTTTAGAGTTCAGCTCCGGAAAAGAGCAGTACCACCAATTTCAGTCTAAGTCGAACTTGTTGCCACGGAAACGCCAAAAATAGTTTATTCAGAATTCCAAAACTACCAAAAGGCACCAGTACACCACCAGATCTATCTATGTGCCAAGTTTGGTGAAGACATATTGAACGGTTTTAGAGTTCTGCTCCGGAAAAGAGCACTACCACCAATTTCAGTCAAAGTCGAACTTGTTGCCATGGAAACGCCAAAAATATTTAATTCAGAATTCCAAAACTACCAAAAGGCACCAGTACACCACCAGATCCATGTATGTGCCAAGTTTGGTGAAGAAATAGTGAACGGTTTTAGAGTTCAGCTCCGGAAAAGAGCACTACCACCAATTTCAGTCTAAGTCGAACTTGTTGCCATGGAAACGCCAAAAATAGTTTATTCAGAATTCCAAAACTACCAAAAGGCACCAGTACACCACCAGATCTATCTATGTGCCAAGTTTGGTGAAGAAATAGTGAACAGTTTTAGAGTTCAGCTCCGGAAAAGAGCAGTACCACCAATTTCAGTCTAAGTCGAACTTGTTGCCATGGAAACGCCAAAAATAGTTTATTCAGAATTCCAAAACTACCAAAAGGCACCAGTACACCACCAGATCTATCTATGTGCCAAGTTTGGTGAAGACATATTGAACGGTTTTAGAGTTCTGCTCCGGAAAAGAGCACTACCACCAATTTCAGTCAAAGTCGAACTTGTTGCCATGGAAACGCCAAAAATATTTAATTCAAAATTCCAAAACTACCAAAAGGCACCAGTACACCACCAGATCCATGTATGTGCCAAGTTTGGTGAAGAAATAGTGCACAGTTTTAGAGTTCTGCTCCAGAAAAGACAAATGTGCACGGACGAATATGAAGTGAAATATCCAGTGAAGGAGTTCTTGGGATATCTAAGCTGACAAGGGTAAACCGTTAAAGTCCCCTGGTGACCTTGAAATGAAGGTCAAGGTCAAGGTCACCAAACCTGACTGGAACCTTTCTTATACTGTGATGAAACTAGGTGCCAAGTATGAAAAGAATCAGTCAATGGTTCTTAAGAAATTCCAGTTCATACGTACGGACATACGTATGTACGGACGGATGGACAGAGCCTAATACCAGAGACCATATAATATGGTCTCTGCTAATACTATATCCCCCGCTTTGCGCTAAACGCACGGCGGGGATAATAAGAACTATAGTCAACCTACAAAAAGCAAGAGATACCAGTGACCTATCCTGGTTGTTTACCAATTTGGTAAAACCACCAGCCTAGAAACATAGCACAAACTCGAACTAACCTGTAGAGGTTTCAGATTCTTTGAATATATTCCTCCTTGGGGTACTTATAAGCATTTAAATGTCCATTTAAATTCCCTACGACAGTTGTAACAATATTTGAATAAAATATTTACAAAACAAAAACTACGTTTTGTCTTGTGAGACCACCCTTACAGGGCCTTCCAGCCCCCTACAGCCAAGAGCAGGTAACTCTAGACCGTAACCTCGTACCTCACTTTCCATGCTGAACGAAGTCAGACAGAATCGGGAGGGGGTAGGTGAGAAGTACCCAAGGAGGAATATATTCAAAGAATCTGAAACCTCTACAGGTTAGTTCGATTCTTTTTATATATTCCTCCTTGGGGTACCTAAACATAAGACAGACTCCTAAAGGCGGATCTCAGGAAGCGGCATTCTGTCAGCTTAAACACCCTGACAAGAAGTGGAATTTCCCAAACTAATTATAGCAGAAAAGGCACACTTACCCGGTCACGTGTCACAAAGCCAATCAGGCGGGGGCATGAGCCAGGGTCAGGGTTAAGCATTATGCAAATTTGTCCAGCGAAACCTCCAAAGCTTAATACAGCATAACGAGACACACCCTCCCTCCTTCCGTAATCTACTCGGAAGTGAAGATAAGGGTCCATAATATCAAACCCAGAAGCGAAATGCGGAATATGAACAGCAAAGTTTCCAAGGGCAGTTTAGTCTAGAGCTTCTCCGGTTAGAAAGCAAGAGACATGGGAATAAAAAACCAGCACCACATAAAACCCATCACCAAGGGAAAATGTAACAAGATTTGTAAAACCAACACCAGTGTTAAAAATAGGCAGATAATGGTTCACACAATAAAAACCTCCGAAAGCTCAATCGGCTAGAGAGGTGGAACCATGCCCACTGGAGAGAACGACGACTGACGAACCGAGCAGCTCACTGGAGAGTCTGTCAAGTTGGTAATGACGGATGAAGCGTGCTGGACGTCTCCAAATAGCGAGGAGCAGATCTCCCTCAATGGGCAGGGCTGCAGCGTGAAGCTGTCGATGTAATACTGCCCTAACCGAATGAGCTTTCAACCCAACAGGCGGGATAAGCCCTGTTTTTGAGTATAACTCATATGTATGGCAGAGACAAGCCACCGAGAAATGGTCTGCTTGGTGGCGGAAGACCAGCCTGAACCCCGCCATAACAACAAAACAATTGGTTACCCTTACGGGTACCCTTGTTAGTTTGATATAAGCCTGAAGTGTCTTCTACGGACATCTAAGGCGTGAGCACGTCGTGAAGGTACCGGACAGGAAGGCTGAGTGAAAGCTGGGAGCTCAATAGAGCCGTCACATGGAAGGGACTATCCTTCTTAGGGCGGTAAAGTCTCAGGCAGCCGAATGCTAACTCTGTCTTTGTGAAAAACAGTAAACGCGGGATCGGCCAACCCGCCTGCCAGAAGTCACCGCCACAAGAAACGCCGTCTTCCACGTCAACAGCTGGAGGGAAAGAGCCGACAGATTGTGAAACAGTGGACCCCGGACAGCCAATCAAGAGCGATTGACAAGTCCCATCGGGACTAATCCGTCCGGACAACGGACGGATTCTGTGAGCGTTTGTCGAATCCCTCCAGCGAAGCCAAATTGTGTCTGCAACTGGTGCAGGAATTCCTTCGCATGGAGGCGATCCCTGATAGCGGCCAAGCCACCCACTGAATCCTGGGATTGGTGGGGGGCTCCGTTCTGGGATAGGAGGTCGGTCGAAAAGGTAATAGAACAGGAGGCTGAGCCAGAAACCTGAGAATTACGGAAACCAGCTTTGTGCCGACCAAAGGGGTGCCAGAAGCACAAGTAGCCGAGCTGGTTGTGCGGTCAGCTGCGACAGGACCCTGGAAATCAGTGGTATCGGGGGGAACGCCCACAGTACCCTGTCCGTCCAATCTAGCTGAAAGGCGTCGTTGGCTAACGCACCCGGATCCGAATCCGGGGAGCAAAACACAGGAATCTGGTTCGTCGTCACCCCAGGCGCAAACAGATCCACCTGGAAACGACCCGAACAACTGGGAGATAATCCCGAATATCTCCCGGTCGAGCATCCACTCGTGTGGGGCTAGTATACGCCGTGAGAGAGCATCTGCACGGACGTTGTCTACCCCCGGGAGATAAACAGGCAAAACCCGAATGTTGAACTGATCGCACCACAGTAGAAACTGCCACGCCTCCTGAAGGAGCGACGGAGACACTGTGCCGCCTTGCTTGAGAATGTAAGACATGGCCGTTTGATTGTCCATTTCTAGACGAACCACGCAGCCCTGCACCAACACCCGGAAGCACTCGAACACCTTGCGGACTGCTCTCAGTTCTAACACATTGATGTGTAGGCTGACCTCCCGCTCCGACCAGAGGCCGGAGGCTGAGTGCTCGCCCAGGACCCCCCCCCAACCTGTGAGGGAGGCGTCCGTCTGAACTGAGAGGGAAGGTGTCGGGGTGTCGAGGGGGATCCCCCTGGACAAATTCCCGACGTCCGTCCACCATGGCATTATGAGCATAATCTCGTAGCCCTGCGAGTGGGACCACAACTGAGCTAATGCTTGCTGAATTGGTCGCATCCTCAAACGCGCACGCCAAACCACGTCCACTGTCGCCGCCATGTTGCCGAGCAACCGAAGCCATGTTCGGGCCGACGCAACGGGGGACTGGAGGAACTGTAACACAGTCCCCGGACTTTGACGATGCGGTCCGGAGCAAGGGAAACAATCCCTAGCGCCGTGTTGAATCTGGCTCCCAAGAATATCAGATCCTGCGTCGGAACGAGGTCTGATTTCTTGAGATTGATAATCCAGCCCAGTGACACCAGAGTATCCAGCGCACAGTGTGGAGGCTCTGCTTAACTGAGGCCCTAAGGCCAGTAAAGCCAATGCGTCCAGATGCGGGTGACAACACCTGCCCGAGACCTGGCTAACTGAGCTGGGATTAGCATAAGTTTGGTGAACACCCTTGGCGCCGTGGAGATGCGAGCGGGAGCCTTGAAACTGGTAGCACGTCCGTCGAAGGAGAAGCGGAGAGGTACTTCTTGAATTGAGGGTGCATTGGAACATGGAGGTATCGTCTTTGAGATCGATTGGCGTAAGCCAATCCCCTGTCACCGGCGGAGGAGATCACTGACCTGAGTGTCTCCATCCTGAAAGACGGCACCTCCAGTAATTTGTTCAGCCCTCTGAGATTCAGAATGGGTCTGAACCCTCCGTCCTTTTGGTCCGCGAGGAAGTAGGTGGAATAAAACCCCTCTTCTGGCTGACTCACAGGAACCACCTCGATGGCCGCCTTGGTCAGTAAAGACTGAACCTCGGCACGGAGGACTTCCGCCTTGTCGCGGGGGTTGGCACAGGCGTGTGCGAACCCGGAGAAGGACGGAGGATCGGCGCCTCCACTGTGGCAAATGGCCATCCCTGGCGTGGACAGGACCCAGGGATTTGAGGTGGCTGCCTCCCACTCCCGGAGGAATAGGGACAGCCGGCCGCCCGACAGGGGCGTGTGGCAAGAGGCAGTGCACCCCACACCGTCGGCAAGTCTCCGCTTGCGTGAGTGGGGGCAACAAGGGCTCTGGGGAATGAATCAGTGGGAAGCGGGGCTGGCTTCCCTTGCCCCGAAAAGACTGCTGCGCTGGAGCAGGCTTGCCCCTGCCTCTCGTCGCCTGCTCCGCCTGGACTGCAAAGGGGCAGCCCACTAACAACATCCTTCGCCCGAGGCAGAAGGGTAAGCGGGCATAGCGGGAGGGAGGCGATGGCGAGGCCGGAGGGCTGCTCCAACAAAGGCTTTGAGTCCTTAAAGGTAGAGACAGCCTCCAGCGGCCTCCCTTACCACCTGCAAGGCCCCAGGGAACAGGGAAGATCCCATGGTATTGGGCAATGACAGTAGAGCTTGCTGTGTGGCTGGCGAATACCGCCGCCACAGACAGCCACAGGCGGCGCAAGCCCATGACGGCACCCATCATCTGGCTGGCACAGCACGAATGCTGTCCCGGCCAGATCGCGAGTCTCACGTCCGTTAACTGCCGAGGCGAGCACACGACTCCGATGAATCGGCACCGCCAGCGCTGGGCCACCAGCTGTCCCTGCAAGCGCCCGACAGGTAGGCTGAATGGACTGCTACTTTAAGTTGCTGGGCAGCGCACGGTAACATTCTTGAATGACGGGTAGGCAGACTTCAGCGGCAGTGGCGTACTAGCGAGGAAAAGGGGAGGCCTGCCCTGCCTGGCGAGGCCAGGGAAGGCGAAGACGACCCTCCTAGCGTGACTGAGGCAAAGGCGCTTTTCGTCCACCACTGGTGGTTCGAAGAGCGTCTCCGCACCCTAACTGGTACCGCCGGCCCGACTTCAGGCAAATCAAAGCGAAGCGAGTACCAGCCAGGAGCTGGATTCACCACCTCACTGACCAGTGAGGGGAGAATGCGTAAGCGTGCCTCTGCGACCTGGTTAGGTCGCGAGCGCCCGGAGCCGAAACTCCAGCGGGGTCGGGTGCGGGGCGGGAACAGCCACCTCGCGGCAGGACTTCGGCGATCTTATCCCGAACCTGCCGCGGGGACGAGGCAAAGGAGTACGGCACTCCACCTCCGATTCCACCGTCCCTTCTTCCTCCTCCTCCCATATCGACCTCGGCAGAATCCTCGCCGCCATAATCTCAGACTCCTGAGAGAGCCGAGGAGGCGCCAGAGGCAGGACCAGAAAAACTCATAAGGTCAAGAGGAGCCAGGGGAAAAACATACCGCCCTGCGGGAGGAACCAGCGCCAGGTCGCCCGAGTCGCCCGAGGCGAACCTGCGCAACAGGCTTCCCGGGCAACCCGACTGGCTGCGGGTGCCGAGGTATCCCGAACTGGTCGGCGCCTAGGCGACCGCCAGTCGGGACACCAGGCAATGACAGGGGCAACCCTGTATCGCCCGGCACCAGGCACCTGTGACAGACCAGTGCATAAAGCCAGGTGCGTCACCAGGCGCCGAGGGCATGCCTTCACCAGGGCCGAAGCCAGGATCAAGCCGCCCGGGGAGGCGTTCTCGAGCGGGCTCGGGCGCAGCCAACCCCAGATGTGTCAGCCCGCCTCCGGCGACGGCCGGCGCTGAGCTCCTTACGGAACCCCGCTAACGCCCGTATCAATCAGGGACTTGACTGACGACATCTGCTCCTGGAAAAAAGCGGTTAACGAATCAACAGGAACACTTTTACAGGTGCTGAATCAAGAGGGGTGGCGGGGGTACAGAGACGAGAAGCAGTAGGAGATGCAGAAGGGGCATGAGTGCGTGAAAGATCGAAGCCGCCTTAGTCGCCTTAGCTTTCTTGGGAGCCCGGCTCCGGCGTGGGAAGCGGCTCCGTGGACCCCTTTTTTCACTATGGGAGCTTGGGCCGGGGGATCCTGTGCCCAGAGATCGCCCCGCCCGAAGCAGGTTGCTGTACAAACAGCGTGTCTATCCGCCTGCGCCCGAATGGTTTGGGCGAGAACATGGCACATGCCGCACACCCCTCTTCCTCATGTTCCTTCTGCACTAAACAGCGTAAGCGAACCTCGTGGGTATCCCGTGCGGGGAATTGCAGCAAGGCACGAAGTACAGGGTTTAAACTGCAACAAGTAAAACCTGTGCAGCAATCTACCCTATACCCACATACAAATACATGTAAAAGGCGCGATGGGCTGACACAACTAATCACGACAAACGTGGCATGCAGTTGACAACCTAGTACACACTGCAGCATAACTAACAATTCACGTTTTTTAGCGTAATATAGAAAATGCGAGCAGTAGACATCATGCCCTACGCATACAAAGATACAAATAAAAAACCACTAAAACCACCTGTAACATTGAAAAACCACATGGGAAACCAATGAACAGGAAGGCTAGCGAAGGGACCTGTCCGCCATCTTGACACGCACTAGCGAGCCGACCGCGACAGGTACCAAGTTACAACGAGAAATTATGAATGAAAAATTCAGAAAAACCTCCAATTCGCCCATGCAGGGAAAAAAGAGAACCATACATACAGTTGCCGTTTCTGAAACACTCATAACTCTCTTAGTCGCAAGGAAAAACCTTCTGGTATGGACCCACGTCTTGTCGGTACAACGACAGCATGGAAAGTGAGGTACGAGGTTACGGTCTAGAGTTACCTGCTCTTGGCTGTAGGGGGCCGGAAGGCCCTGTAAGGGTGGTCTCACAAGACAAAACGTAGTTTTTGTTTTGTAAATATTTTATTCAAATATTGTTACAACTGTCGTAGGGAATTTAAATGGACATTTAAATGCTTATAAGTACCCCAAGGAGGAATATATAAAAAAGAATCCTGGTTCAAACCCATGACCATATGTCTAGTCTTCATTAACTACCTGGGTACCTGCCACCGCTATTACCCACCTAGCCTGGCTGCCTGCTCTAGGTCATGAGAGTTGCCTACAAAATGTCTGATTAAGAATATTTAGACACACGGATAAATAACAATGTCTATGTCTACTATTAATTAACTACCAGGATACATCCCACCCCCCACCCCACCCCTTTATTATCCCGCTATAGGGCATAAGGGTTGGGTACAAAACGCCTGATTAAGACAGAATTGGCAAGAACATTTAAAAACACAGATAAGAGACCTGATGTATGTACTGAAGTTGAATGAATCTATATCTTTGGTATGCATTGTCGGAAGTAAATGCCAACAAAGGAAACTGGTAACCGTAGAGTTTTATTGTTATTGTTATTAAACAATATATATGACTAACATGGATACAGGTAGTCTTGTTGGTACCTAGGTAATACTCAGGACGTACCTGACCCAAGTACCTGAGTTACCTGTCCATGGCCACATTCCACAGAGTCATCTTTTCACTTAGGTGACCATAACTCCTGTATTTCACAATAAGCTAACATTCACTGTAGCACTCAGATATCTTTGTGGAATGGAAGGTGGGAAGTTACTCTGCACAGCAAAATGTGGTTCCAAAGACAGCTGACTTACTAGCACCCTCGTAGGTGCATGCTAAATTGCCCTCCTAAAGCTGAAGCCTTCCCCTAGCCTAAACGTCATGGTTTAACCAACACACAGTGCTCCTGCAGCCTACCTGACATTGATTCCTCCGATAAATTCAGCATCAAACACCACATCATACAGCGTGTCGCTCTCCTTCTCATCAGGGTGGATGCCGACAACCGTCCCCCGCAATCCAAGGGGGACGGGGTATCCCAGCTTCACAGCTACCACCCGGTCGTACAGCCAGTAGGTGGCAGTCTGGTCCGGCACCAAGGGGCCTTGGTTGATGAGAGGCTAAAAACACATCTGAGCATGAAACTGATTCCAAATACTTTTGTACGACTGAAAAGTGTCTGTGTGCATGTATGTTGTGCATGGCACACTTCGCAGTATTCCAGCTATACTACAGCAGCCTGAAAATCAACATGTCTAGACCTGACAATCCAGTGATCAACATTGGGACCAGCACTTTCTAACATATAACAATCAAGATGTTTATGATCATTGTGATCAAACTGGGAACTTCTCACGAACACACAAGACATTTATGACATTGTATTGCTCGGACAAATGACCAATTGGTTCCAGATTATTAACATCACATTAAGTCACTTATACTTACTCTGAACAACAAATGAGGTTTCACTTGCATCTTGACTTTCTTCTGTTTCCTCCTGTTTTCCTCCTGAAAGAAAAAGACAGACTTAAACAATCATCTACAACAGAGGAATGTGTCGTACGCCACTTCAACATTAACCTACAATCATCTACAACAGAGGAATGTGGCGTCCGCCACTTCAACATTCACCTACAACCATCAACAACAGAGGAATGTGTCGTACACCACTTCAACATTCACCTACAACCATCAACAACACAGGAATGTGTCGTATGCCACTTCAACATTCACCTACAACCATCAACAACAGAGGAATGTGTCGTACACCACTTCAACATTCACCTACAACCATAACAACACAGGAATGTGTCGTATGCCACTTCAACATTCACCTACAACCATCAACAACACAGGAATGTGTTCACCACTTCACATTCACCTACATATAACAACAGAGGAATGTGTCGTACACCACTTCAACATTCACCTACAACCATCAACAACACAGGAATGTGTCATATGCCACTTCAACATTCACCTACAACCATAACAACAGAGGAGGATGTGTCATATGCCACTTCAACCACTTCAACATTCACCTACAACCATCAACATCAACAACAGGAATGTGCCAGACGCCACTGTTCACCTACAACCATCAACAACACAGGAATGTGTCAACATTCACCTACAACACTTCAACATTCACCTACAACCATCAACAACAGAGGAATGTGTCCAACATCACCTACAACCATAACAACAGAGGAATGTGTCATACACCACTTCAACATTCACCTACAACCATAACAGAGGAATGTGTCGTACACCACTTCAACATTCACCTACAACCATAACAGAGGAATGTGTCGTACACCACTTCAACATTCACCTACAACCATCAACAACAGAGGAATGTGTCGTACGCCACTTCAACATTCACCTACAACCATCAACAACAGAGGAATGTGGTACACAACCACTTCAACATTCACCTACAACCATCAACAACAGAGGAATGTGTGACACCCACTTCAACATTCACCTACAACCATCAACAACAGAGGAATGTATGCGTACACCACTTCAACATTCACCTACAACCATCAACAACAGAGGAATGTGTGGTACGCCACTTCAACATTCACCTACAAACATCAACAACAGAGGAATGTGTGGTACACCACTTCAACATTCACCTACAACCATCAACAACAGAGGAATGTGTGGTACACCACTTCAACATTCACCTACAACCATCAACAACAGAGGAATGTGTGGTGCATGCTTCAACATTCACCTACAACCATCAACAACAGAGGAATGTGTGTAGTGCCCACTTCAACATTCACCTACAACCATCAACAACAGAGGAATGTGTCAGTGCACCCACTTCAACATTCACCTACAACCATCAACAACAGAGGAATGTGGCCAGTGCGCCACTTCAACATTCACCTACAACCATCAACAACAGAGGAATGTGTCATATGCCACTTCAACATTCACCTACAACCATCAACAACAGAGGAATGTGTGCGTTCATGCCACTTCAACATTCACCTACAACCATCAACAACAGAGGAATGTGTCGTACACCACTTCAACATTCACCTACAACCATCAACAACAGAGGAATGTGGTCGACGCCACTTCAACATTCACCTACAACCATCAACAACAGAGGAATGTGTCGTACGCCACTTCAACATTCACCTACAACCATCAACAACAGAGGAATGTGTGGTACGCCACTTCAACATTCACCTACAACCATCAACAACAGAGGAATGTGTCGTACACCACTTCAACATTCACCTACAACCATCAACAACAGAGGAGATGTCGTTCACTACAACCACCTCAACCATCAACAACAGAGGAATGTGTCGTACACCACTTCAACATTCACCTACAACCATCAACAACAGCAGGAATGTGTGGTAGTAGCCGCCACTTCAACATTCACCTACAACCATCAACAACAGAGGAATGTGTCCTACGCCACTTCAACATTCACCTACAACCATCAACAACAGAGGAATGTGTCATACGCCACTTCAACATTCACCTACAACCATCAACAACACAGGAATGTGTCGTACACCACTTCAACATTCACCTACAACCATCAACAACAGAGGAATGTGTTCAGCATGCTACACTTCAACATTCACCTACAACCATCACCATCAACAACAGAGAATGTGTCGTTATTAAGCACCGCTTCAGCATTCACCTACAACCACACCTACACTTCAACATTCACCTACAACCATCAACAACACAGAGGAATGTGTAGGTGCACCACTTCAACATTCACCTACAACCATCAACAACAGAGGAATGTGTCAGACAGCAACATTCACCTACAACCATCAACAACAGAGGTTGTTAGTCGCTTCAACATTCACCTACAACCATAACAACAGAGTGCAAGTGGCTTTGTTACAGCTTTAGTGATCACTTAAAATGTATTGAAGTTTTCCTTATATAATGGGTGGAAGGCACACACACAACACTCACATTAACTCTGTCCACCTCCTCTTCTATTGCCTTGACCACGCCCTCTTCCAAGATGTCTGCCCCAGTGGACAAAGGCTTGACATTATTGCACGGCAGGTTCCTCACAAAGTCTATCATGTGCTTCAGCTTGTATTCACTGGAAGGAAAGGTGAACATATAGAAATCTCAAAAGATATTAGGAATACTCAATTTTACTGTTTCACAATTCTATACTGTTATCTATATTGTACTTTGATAAACTCAATCTTTTAATCCAGTCAAGCCGGACGTTGGTATTTATTAACTCATTTGTGTGGAAAAAAATCATTCTCTTCAATTTGACACAAATAAAACATGTCTGAAGCCAATTTATTCTGCAAGGTGCCGATTTGGGGTGCAGAGCTGCATGTTTCGGTTTCAGAATTGATTCGTCCATGCACTAAAGTGCGACGTCACACTCAGAAAGAATTTCATGCATGATTTTGTTTGTTCAAGTATGGATTAATGGCAATGGAATTTAACATTCAAAACTATATTTTGCTGCATCAAGAAGGTCCTGGGTATCTGGCTTGTTTCAATTACACAACACCTTAATAGCCAAATAGCCTCTCTTCATTCAGGGTTTATGCAAAATTTCAGCAACACATTTTCAGTGTTATTTAGTGGCCATGTTTAGGCTCTCTCGTAAAAAACATGTGAGATAAAATGTCATAAATCAGCAATATTTCAGCATGTATATTATGGCAACTGCTTAATCACCCAGAAAAGCAAGTGATTGAGCAAACGTATAGCATGAACACCATTATAGTGAGTGAGTTGGGTTTTACGCCGCTTTTAGCAATATTCCAACAATATCACGGCAAGGGACACCAGAATTGGCCTCACACCATTGTACCCATGTTGGGAATTGAACTCCAGCTTTCAGCATGACGAGCATTCGCTTTAACCACTAGGCTACTCCACCGCCCCTATCTCACTATACCTATTAAAAGATCGGTAGTATGATTTGGGAGAAAAAACAAAACAAAAGGATGTCTCATATATTTATTTTCTGATTTATGACAAAGTAGAAATATTGTAATGCACAAGACCCGCATGTTCCTGAGATGTTGTCTCACATAAACAAAACAACAAAGATTCTGTCTTATAACCCTGTTATGACAGTCATGGCAACATTTGTTCAAGGTTCAGTTTATTGAAGCAACACTCAAAATCCTTTCAAAGAGGGTGGTATTTGTATGGTAAATGAAATGTCTGCCACACAAAAGTGATCTCGCTTATAATGCCTGTAATCCATACACAAAATCATCCAAAACTACTTCATCAATTTCTGAGAGGTCACACATATAATTATAATATGATAAATAATACAATATCAAACAACAGTGATTCATTCAGGATGCTAACCTGTTTCCATTTTCTTAAATTCAGATGTAGTGTATTTTATTGGTATCAGTGAAGCATATTCTAAACTTAGCCTTGCTTGGCAATTTGTCATGATATTTATACAGACATCTGGTGGAAAAATGCCACTAAGTTTTAGAGTATAAATTGTTGAACCATGGGCGGATCCAGGAATTTTGAAAGGGTGGGGGTTCAGGGGTTCAGGGGTTCAAACCCAATGTGGTCTTAAGTCATTTTTGGGGGTGGGGGTGGGGTTGTTTGTTGTTGTTCAAACCCCCTGAACCCCAACACCCCACCCTCCCCTTGGATCCGTCCATGGTTCAACGATGTCATATACTTTGGCCAGTGTTGTGACACTGTTTGCAGAAAACAGGATACGGAAACAAAACCAATTTCTCGAACATTAATCCCCGTCATATGTTATGTTTATCAAAACTATTCATGGCCAATAACCACAGACTAGCATCACAGTGACTGACATAGGCAAACATGATTCCCATTCAAGCACCCTGCAAAAATGTTGAGGGAAAAATTCTTTGATCACAAAAATATATTCACAGACACACACTCAAGTGCACTCACGCACACACACACACGCACACACACACACACATCTTGGCAACTCTATCACAGCAGTAGTTGGTGGTCACAATATATTGAAATACATTTAAAACGGTGTAAAATGTGAACACATTGCCAGTCTTTCTGGTATAGTATTTGATAGTCACTTTAAAGGTACAAAGAACTATCAATGCAGATACAATCTCTCATATTAAACAAAGGAACAGATATTTCAAACATGCTTGACAAAGATTTGGTGTCCATTATCAAATAACTTCACTTGTTAATGGTCTTCCAAACATCCTTTTGATTGTTTGTTTTTGTAACTGGCCACCACAGGCACTTGTCTGAGCTGGAATGTTGTACATGAAACATTCAGCATCGCTCACAAATCACCATAACATCTATCACCATGGCTAGAATGGCAGTGAACAGGAATCTGATAGAATGAGATAGATCTCCATACTCATTCTAGAGTCTCATTTGGTTGTATGATTCCCAGGGAGCTGAGAATGATATTGGAGTGCACACTGCCCCAAAGACTGGGGTAATATCAGTGTTGTACCTTCAATAAGTAAGTGAGTTTAGTTTTATTCTGCTTTTAGCAATATTCCAGCAATATCACAGAGGGGCTTCACACATTATACCCATGTGGGGAATCAAACCCAGATCTTAATCATGACAAGCTAATGCTTTAACCACTAGGCTATCCAACCCCCCGTTGTACCTTAAGCAATGATTTGGAAAATGGAATGTTTGCACACTACACTGACTTGAATTTTAAGTATTTCTCTGAACAAACAGGACAAACCCTGAATCTCACTTCAGTATCCTGGAGTCAGGACCTATCTGACATGGGCTCACAGGTCTACCTGACCTACCTGACACAATCCCTGATGGGAGCCTAGCTACCTATTCCTATAATGAAGAGCTCCAGTGGTAAGACATGACACAGACAGGAGGAGACAACCCCTCTTGTTCCTGAAGTTCACATGAGCTGGAACCTTCCTCAGTCCTCGCAATGGTGTATGTCTGACAAAGCTTGAGTAGTGTTTCTCCTTCCTGACATGGTACTGGAGACTGAAAATAAATTTGAATAAACTGCATGTATAAGGTTGAAAACGTATCCTTTCAACATATGTAAATACAAAAGACATCTGGTACTGACTGTACCTTCTGGTCAAATCACCTTCTTAGTGTGAAATACAGTATTACTAAAGTTTGTGTCAAAAACATTTGATCCTGCAGGAAATATAATTTGGCGACTTTCAAGAACTTTAAAACAGAAACAAATATGATGGTCAATAGTGCCTTTACATTGATGTTTTATTATCATCTCACTCATCAAAGTTACAGCTACATCATGGTGGACAGTAAATTATCAAAATATAGACCAGACGAGTGAGTGAGTGAGTGTGGTTTTACGCTGCTTTTAGCAATATTCCTGCAATATCACGGCAGGGGACACCAGAAATGAGCTTCACACATTGCACCCATGTGGGGAATCAAACCCGGGTCTTCGGCGTGACGAGTGAACGCTTTAACCACTAGGCTACCCCACCGCCCCTAAACAAGATAAATCAGTGTATAGTATCTTTAGTGTCCCATGTCAGCAGGGATATGCAGTCAGCTACTCCATAAGCTTGACCACTCTTTTTCAGATGTTTGAAAAGAAAAGTTTTACAGACATACCAGGAGAGCGTATCTATTGAGCTAAATATATATAATCATCATTGGGCAAAGGTTATCTGTTAGACAGACAAACACAGCACAATTTTAGGAAGCAAAACAAGTGTTATTTCAGCTTGCACTGCTAATCTTCCCAAACATTGTCATTGGTACATGACTAAAATGATCGTAAATCACATACTTTGACATTACAAGTTGTTCACTGGTCTCGAGGGGGACATGGGCTGATGTACCCTAGGGGGAACATAAAGAAACATTGAGGGTACATCAACCCATGGGCCCCGAGGGACCAGTGAACAACGTATTTATCTTACCGAACACCTCAATGGTAATTTTCAACTGTTTGAAGCACGGGTATCGGATCATAGCATGGAGTACCAGACGACAAGAAAAACAAATTTAGAGTTATCTCCCTTCCATCGATTTGCATTCATAAAACATCGGTAATTTCCGTAAATCATACATGATTCAATGTTATTCGAGATAAAGAATTACTACTATGAAGTACCAAATGAGTTCGGCATTCCCAGCGGGGTACATTGAAATGTTACTCGCTTGTAAGCAGGGTACATTGAAAAGAATAGAAGAGCGCTCAGCCAATCAGAAAACGACATTTATGTGTGAGGCAAGATAAAGACTTATGACTATCGTAGTGCCGCAAACCCTTTGTGAAAAGGGGAGTGATCTTTATCTTATCATCTCTTGCAAGAAGCATGCACACTTGTGACTTATTCTGAATCCTCAAAAGGTTAACAAACACATACCAGCTGCTATGAGTTTGACGGAATGGTATCCATGTGTGCTGTCTCTTCCCACTCACAGACAAAATGCTGTGAGCATTTGCAGCAGATCTGTTGGATGTCCTCCTCAAAGTGCCTCTCCTCATGGATGGAATGATCTCACCCTCTACACTTGTCTGCTTGCTTATGCAGCTTTGAAATAACACAAAGAAAGCCCAGTCATCTCCGATCTGTCACAGTGGCAGTGCTGATGTCAATGTTGGGCAAACATTTTGTGTTGAAGAAAAAGCTAAGCGAGAAATGAACCGAAAAATGGAGAAAATATACTAAAGGATCATGAAGTTAAGGATCATGAATCATTTTTGCAACTGAAACATTTAAATGAACTCCATGTTCACTACAAAAAAGAACATACTTAAAAATATTTATGATCCCTAACTTTCTTGCTCAGTATATATTCTGACGTTGGCGAATATCGCGGTTTGTGGACATCATTCACAACCTGCTATAGCAGGTACTTTGAGCCTACCACAAGTCATACCGGTACACCCATTCTGTGCCTGGCAGCTAACAGCTATGTATTGAGTCAGACCGCCAGCAGTTATGTTTACAAACAAGTGACTACTGTACTGCAGCAAATTTATATATTTTGTTTACCAGTTTAGTTTTTTTTAACTAACATGTAAATGGCATAGTGACAATGCAAGGGGCAGAAATCCAGTAATTAGCATTTTTCACTTTTTACTCTATGGGACTCATTATGGGCATACACAAGACCAATACAGCAAAGTCAATACAGCAAAGTCAATACAACAAAGTCAATACAACTGGGCAAGATTTACAACAATCCTGGAATGCCCTCTGGTGGCGAAGATGAACCTGAAGGGAGGGAGCTTCAGTGCCTACCTGTTGGGAGGAAATATCTCTTCCTCTGACATCAGATCTCCTCCTCCTCCACCCGCTGACAACACTTGCATCACCTCGTGGAATCTGACAACATATCAGTTGTTTACACCTTGGAATTTCATAGGTAAATCCTTATTATGTGACAAAAGACCATATAATCCACCTTGATTCCTGCAACAATCACTGACTGTATTTTAGAGATGTAACATTAAGGTGGGATCACAATACTGTACCAATCCCAATACTATACTGTAACATAGTACTCTCATTGTTTTAGTTGATATTCTTCTTGTTGCAGGTGATTCATAACCCTTAATCATAATTTTGGAGTGAGTGAGTGAGTGAGTGTGGTTTGATGCAGCTTTTAGCAATATTCCAGCAACATCATGGCAGGGAACACCAGAAATGGGCTTCACATATTGTACCCATGTGTGGAATCGAACCCAGGTCTTCAGCATGACAAGCCAATGCTTTAACCACTAGGCTACCCCACCGCCCCCATAATTTAATCGCCATAAGATCAACATAAAATACTGTAAGGTAGAACATGTAGGTGAGAGAGCACTGTGTGTTTCACACAGCCAACAGGAATATACTAGAGAATCTGCATAAGCTGGTCATTAATTAGTGTCTGTTAATATCCAACAGTTCAAAAATACACAACAAAACATGCAATGTTTTTTATGTCTACAGGAGTTGATGATTTGGATCTGAGGCCTCATATCACAATATAACATAAAATGCAACTCTGTATTGTTACACCATTACTGTACAGTCAGAGTTATGTTCAGCACTGGACATTTCTTATACTCAGTCTTACTTGTCAATGTAGTCTCGAACCAGCTCAAAGGTAGCTTGAGAGTAGGTCCACCGATCATCCAATTTCCTGGTATAGCCAGGCAGTTCCTGGTTCCTCTTGGTGTGCTTCAGGTTCAAACCCACGTTGATTTTGTTGGCCTTGGGGTTGTCCCTGCTGCCTTGGATGACGAGGATAGAGCCAGTGAGACGGGACAAGAACAGCCCTGATATGCCGAGCCGCTGAGCGATCATATAACCAGGCATGTAATTTGTCTCCAGTGACTGGAAATATAAATGTCACAGCATGGTGATGGTACCCAAGCAAGTGAAACATACACCAGGGCAGTGTTTGCCATACTTTAATTTGCCAGTTGGCCATCACGGTCTGCTGCCGCCTGCAGGTTTTAAAATCTGCAGACCCTGAAGTCTGCAGGCCCATTTTGTTAAAGTCAAACTCATAAAAACAAAATAGACTACACTGTATAGTTTCATACTGTTTCTACAAAATCAATTAGCGAAGCCAATGGCGCAGAGAGACGTTTTCATTTGTTGAAGACTGGTGTTGACAATGCTATGCGCAAAGCGCTGAAAGTCCAGGAAGTGAAAGTGTAAGTAATCGTAACATGATGGATCATGGATGATTCCCGAATGTTAATAAACAAGATAATTAAGGGAAAGATTCCAGTTGAAATAACTCCAATAAATGACAGATAATATACTGAAGGCCACAAGGGCCGGCAAATATTTGAAACTGCCGGCCCGATACAATAACAACCGGCGCTGGGCTTCCAGGTCCGATGATTATTTCAAACGCTGCACCAGGGCCACGTTCAACTAAAAGATGTAGCAAATGGCTGGGACAAAACATTTTGTAATATCCATCAATTCGTTCTGATCATGTTTGTTTTATATGTAGTTAACTGTACCTGCAGTATCGCAAGAGGTTGGATATAATCAATTCTGGAACAAGCCAATCAGTGACAGAAAGCATCCACACCAAGGAGGCATGATGACACAAAAGGAACTATCTCACTGAACTCTCTGATCTGACTCCCTTATCATAGGTCACAGGGGACCAACTTTACTCCAGAGAACAGCTGTGCTTACCAATATGGCCCCGACTACGCATCTCTGATTGTATATGACAGTTTCTGTGTGTCTGGGTGAGTGTGACTGAGTCAGGTTTCATGCCACTTTCAGCAACATTCCAGCAATATCATTTGTGGAGGACACCCTAAATTTGCTTCACACATTGTACCCATGTGGGGAATCAAACCTGAGCTTTTGGCATGACGAGTGAACACATTAACCACGGGGCTACTAAACCTCCACCATGTAACTGGAGGCTTGCAGTTTATTTTCAGTGGTATGTGTACCATTAATGTGGAGTTATGCCCCTTTGAAGTGTGAGTATTCTGTCAAGCACAAGGCAATATGGTGCAATGACCAGGTGCCATGTTTATATGTTAGTCAAAATGGTGTGATGACTGTGAAATTCTTTCACAGAACTAAGTGTATTACAATATGAGTGTCTACATGAACATAATGACTGTTTTTGGATGGAAGTGAAAACTCAACTTTTGTCATACTCTGTATATCAAGGACATGTGTTGAATAAAGCATGACAATTATGGTGCTCACCTCTTGTCTCCGCATGACATTTGTCATGTCTGGCTCAACCGGAACACCAACATTCATCCGAACTCTACCATCTTCCACATCTAGGACCTGAACACAGAACATATCATGTCTTCATGCTTATTCAACTATGATTTGACAAAATAGGTGACATGGCTCGACAATGAAAATACAGAATACATAAATTTCAATAAAATGTTGCTGTCATGGTGGCAATTCAGACAAGCATTGTCACTAAGGTGACATAATCCCCCGCCGCAAATTATCAAACCAAACTTTATAAAGTAATGAAAGTTTAAGATGAAGTGTTCAAACACACACATATTTTCAAGACTGACTTTGACCTTGACATGAATGTCATAGTGTATGAAATATGCAAAAAAAGAAATTAAAGAAAGAGCTTATTGAAAAACATTCAAGGGAAGTCTTGAAAGTCTATGAAGAAAATCCAGTGAAATGTTCTTGAACTATCTTGCTGACAATTCAGGTTAACATGCTGAAATCTTCAAAGTGTCGTCGTGACCCTGAAATTCATGTGAAGGTCACCAAAATTGAATGAGCCCTGGACCTTCCCTAGATGACACTTGGTGTCAAATATGAAGAAAATCCAGTGAATATTTTTTGTGATATCTTGCTGACTATCTTAACATGCAATTTAACACACTGAAATCTTCAAAGTGTCTCTGTGACCTTGAAAAGTATGTGAAGGTCACCAAAATTGACTGGGCCCTGCACCTTCCCTAGATAAAGCTTGGTGTTAAATATGAAGAAAATCCAGGGAACGGTTCTTGAGATAGCTTAACATGCAGGTAAAATGTCCCCTTGTGACCTTGAAATGAAGGTCAAGGTCACCAAACCTGACTTGGACCTTTCTCATACTGTGATGAACCTAGGTACCAAATATGAAAAGAATCTAGTGAACGGTTCTTAACATAATTCCAATTCGTACGTATGGACGGACGGAGCCTAATACTAAAATCCAAATCAAACCTCTGGAACAAAATCAGATGTCATCTTTCAGGGGAACAAGCTTTAGCGCCATTACCTCAGTTTTTGTATTTTCCAATATGGCTACTGGCAATCATATTCAGATCAAAGTGTCCTGGACAAACCTGGTATTGTTCAAGGAGTCAATTATTCAGAGGAAGATTTGACCAATTGTTCTTGTTTTGTACCTGGGTGTCATTGCATAAAACAACCTTAGCATTATGACTGTCATAAGTCTGTGCTAAGGTATTAGAATTAGGATCGTCTCAGACCTAAAATCACTTAGGACAACAGCACCCTTAACATAAAAAAGCTCAGAAAAGTTGATACTCCCTGAAACAGTTCCAAACAATAACAGAGTAGTTCTTAATCCCTGAGGAAGCAATTGTGTCATTTATAGGTTGATAATCTCAAAACAAAACAAAGTATACTTCTATTATGTCCAAAGATTGACTTCCTACCTCTCCTTGGCAGCCATAGTGTGGATGACCAATCATGAACACTGATGTTTCTGGGGAAAACAGCTGCTCTAGTGTGCGGAACTGCTGGAAGTCGGGATCATGGATGGCAATGTCCTGAAGAAAATAGTTTGATAGTTTGATACCCTAGGATGTGGAATGCCGTTTGTATCATGGCATGTGAGCTTATCATTGGAGGAAAGTCTGAAGTGATGCACATCTCAAATGTTTATCAATTCAGTGAAACCATGAACACTGTGAGGTGCTGTCAAACCTAGAAATGTTTTCAAAGAAAATCTGGATTCCAACCCACAGTCATGAATTCTGGTGTACCAAGGGACACAACTCTGCACCCTGCTGCTCTTAGACAACTGGGCCGAGATTTTCGAAGCTCTCTTAGCGCTAAGATAGTCGTAAGTGCCATACAATAACATTAACTTACGACTATCTTAGCGATAAGAAAGCTTCGAAATCTAGGCCCTGGTCCACCCATGCCCCAACATAAGAAATATGCTGAGTGAGTGAGTTAAGTTTTACCCCACACTCAGCAATATCCTAGCTATATGGCGGCAGTCTGTAGATAATCGAGTCTGATAGACAATCCAGTGATCAAGAGCATGAGCATCGATCCGTGCAATTGGGATATGATGACATATGTCAACCAAGCCAGCGAGCCTGACCACCCGATCCTGTTAATTGCCTGTTACGACAAGCATGGGTTACTGAAGATCAGTTCTAATGCGGATTTTCACAGGTTAAGAAATATGGAAGATCACGTACCTTGACAGTAGCCTGCAGAGCATATGGGACTGGACGGACACAGAACTGTTTCTCCAAAGTTATCTTCCCATGGGACCCACACACATACCTTCACAAAACAACAGAAGAAAACACTTGAAGAGAACATCACAATAACAATATCAATATCTCTGTTAATCCTATCATCATCAGGTGAATTATATGAAAGCAAAGATGCTTAAGATAACCAATTTCTAATCTTGGAAGTCGATGCAGGCCACAAGGAAACACAATGCGAGTTGTGCCATTTCAAGTAAAATCTAAGTATCATATCATTTCACAGACTGATTGTCATTCAAAATACAAGGGAATCCGATCAAAACATTATAAGATGATGGACATACAAGATCACTATACAAGTTTCTGTATTGCAGGTTAATACTGCACTAAGCAGCAAAATTCCAACTGTATCACAGCTGAGTCTGAACCAGGGTTCCAATCCACAAAGCGTTGATAACGTTACGACCTGTCGTATCTCTATGGTTTACCACACGCTTACGAATGTCGTAGCGCTACAAACATTTTGTGGATCGGGATCCAGACAACTAGTGATTGGTATTATGATCAATGTACAGTGACACGCAATCCACAAAACCTGACCACCGGATCGAATGAGTCCCCATGGAGACAATTGGTGATTGGTATTATGATCAATGCCCCACACTGTCAATGTACAGTGACATGCAATACACAATACCTGACCACTGGATCGAATGAGTCCCCATGGAGACAAATATAGGTTACCAAGGAATCTAATACGCACATTTGTATTTGACGACATGTACTCACCTGCGGCCCGTCATGGGCAGGGCATGCAGTAGGATGTTGATATATCTAACAAGAAGACAAAGTCATCAATATCCCCCGTAATGGCAAAATACTCTTCATGATTATGTCTACGAGGTATGATTATGTCAAATATTTAGGTGTGAAGGAGAGTATTGAAAGGTTTTTAAAGTTCTGCTCCAGAAAGGAGCACTATCACCAATTCCAAAACTACCAAAAAGGAACCAGTACACCACTAGACTAATCTATGTGTCAAGTTTGGTGAAGAAATAGTGAACGGTTTTAGAATTTAGCTCCGGAAAAGTGCACTACCACCAATTTCAGGCTAACTCAACTTGTTGCCATGGAAAAGCCAAAAATATTTTATTCAAAATTTCAAAACTACCAAAAGGCACCAGTACACCACCAGATCTATCTATGTGTCCAGTTTGGTGAAGAAATAGTGAACGGTTTTAGAGTTCTGCTCCGGAAAAGAGCACTACCACCAATTTCAGGCTAAGTCAACTTGTTGCCATGGAAACGCCAAAAATATTTTATTCACAATTCCAAAACTACCAAAAGGCACCAGTACACCACCAGACCAATCTATGTGCCAAGTTTAGTGAAGAAAAAGTGAACGGTTTTAGAGTTCACCTCGGAAAAGAGCACAACCACCAATTTCAGGCTAAGTCAAATTTGTTGCCATGGTGCCATGGAAATGCCAAAAATATTTTATTCAGAATTCCAAAACTACCAAAAGGCACCAGTACACCACCTGATCTATCTATGTGCCAAGTTTGGTGAAGAAATAGTGAACGGTTTTAGAGTTCTGCTCCGGAAAGGAGCACAACCACCAATTTCAGGCTAAGTCGAACTTGTTGCTATGGAAACGCCAAAAATGTTTTATTCAGAATTCCAAAACTACCAAAAGGCACCAGTACACCACCAGATCTATGTATGTGCCAAGTTTGGTAAAGAAATAGTGAACGGTTTTAGAGTTCTGCTCCGGAAAAGTGCACTACCACCAATTTCAGGCTAAGTCAAACTTGTTGCCACAGAAACGCCAAAAATATTTTATTCAGAAATCCAAAACTACCAAAAGGCACCAGTACACCACCAGATCTATGTATGTGCCAAGTTTGGTGAAGAAATAGTTAACGGTTTTAGAGTTCTGCTCCGGAAAAGTGCACTACCACCAATTTCAGGCTAAGTCGAACTTTTTGCCATGGAAACGCCAAAAATGTTTTATTCAGAATCCCAAAACTACCAAAAGGCACCAGTACACCACCAGATCTATCTATGTGCCAAGTTTGGTGAAGAAATATTGAACAGTTTTAGAGTTCTGCTCCGGAAAAGACAAATGTGCACGGACGGATGGACGGACGGACAGACGGACGCATGCACGCGCGCACGCACGCACGGACGGACGGAGTCCATTTTAATACCCCCGCAAACGCGGCTATGGGGATAAACTTAAAGAAATCAAGGGCATATCAAGGCCTTCAGAGAACTGATCACTCTAACCCTCACAAACTCTGTTGGCAAACAAAATGCACTATTCTAGTGTGAATTTGATAATTCTATCACTTAACTGGAAGAACTAGTTTCCACACACTAATGAAAACGTAACATTCTGAATGCCAAAAGGAGACTCGAGATCACTTTTCCTGTGATTGTTCTCTGTTGGGTGTTTGAATACTGATAAGGACTCATTTGCATAACTAATGATAAGCACCTTCCAACTTCATTTAAACTGATATTGACCTCTGTGGTCAAGAGGATATGGCATTTCACAAGACAGAAGAGGGTCGGTGGTTTGATCCAGGGCCAGTCCATACCAAAGATGTTCAAAGATGGTAATTATTGTCGCCCTGCCTCTCACCACAGGATATAGATGCATCTATTCCTCCACTAGTTGTCAACTCACCTCTCCTTGATGGACCCTGCCTCTGATCTCCAAACAGCAGATTCATCTTTTTGTAGATCGCGGCGTATTTTCTCCAATGATGGCTTCTTTCCCTTCTCTCCCTTACGCTCTAATAACTTGTAACTGAAATTTAACACCAATTTCATCTGATTTTTATTTTGCACCCATACAGATCTGTTACATAACAATGAAAACAATCATAAATTGGAAATCGTCATACACCAAAATTCCAGTGATACAAAAGGAGGTCTGCCAATACTCTCAACCAATATTTTATGAAAGTATTTTGAAGGCAAACCAATCCACAATGAGCAAAATGGAAAGAAATCTAATATTTCAATATTTTAACAATGATCTGCCTATAAAAAACTGGAAGACATGCCATTACAATCCTTAAAAAAAGTCAGTGACAACAGTTTTCAGTGGATGTTTTGTGAAATATACATTCTTTTTCTATCTCTTTATTGGGGCCTTTCTATAATGCATATGATTTAGGAGTGAGTGAGTGAGTTACGTTTTACGCCGCTTTTAGTAATATTCCAACAATTCCCGGTGGGGACATTGGGAACTAGGCTCAACACGTTGTACCAACGTGGGGAATTGAACCTGGGTCTTCAGCATGACAAGCAAACGCCTCAACCACTATTTGTCACCATTATCATGACTCTTCAAGGATATACTGGCATAAGCATGTTAAGGATTGCTACACTTCACAGCAAGATCAATGTGAAAGAGAACTTCACTGATGTCAATACATCTCAAGTAGCAGTGGAAGCCTTTAGATTTCAGCTGAAACAGGTGTCATGCTTCTCCTCCACTCACCTGGTCTCTCCATCTGACACTTCAATGACCTTGGCCTCGTGCAGGTGTGGCCATCCCACATAGACGCTGTTGCCCAGGTAAATATGTGACGCCTCCTCTATCGGCTACAACAGCAATAACAGTACAAAACATCACCAAGGCAGCAAAATTAATCTTTAACATATTTAAAATATTTTCCAAAAATGTTTAATCATCACAGGCATGTGTAAAACAATATGAACAATTTTCACTTTTTGACATTTTTCACCATATTCTGGATTTTGTTGGTGAGTGAGCAAGTGAGTGATGTGAACAGTATTACCGTACATCATTGCATATAGTACGACCCCACATATAAGACAGCCCCCCTACTTCTCAGCCTCCTCATTTCAGGTACGAAAAAACGTGCCTTAGATGTGGCAATATACAGCACATTTATATCACAGATAATTGATAGAAAAAGACAGAGAAGAGCAAATACTAGTATGCTATTGACAGACTGATAATAATCACAGAATATCAACAGTTAATGCTTTCAATGGAGTTGAGGGCTTTACAGACTATCAACAGCACAGCCTGGTTCAGACTTGATTCATTACAGACTGTGTCAAGCTGGAATACATTCTCTCACCTACAGCATACACCAAACAACACCAGGTATTCATGCCATCAATCACCAGACTATAATCAGTCTGGTTCAGACTTGATTCACTACAGACTGTGTCAAGCTGGAATACATTCTCTCACCTACAGCTTACACCAAACAACACCAGGTACTCATGCCATCAATCACCAGACTATAATCAGTCTGGTTCAGACTTAATTCATTACAGACTGTGTCAAGCTGGAATACATTCTCTCACCTACAGCTTACACCAAACAACAACAGGTACTCATGCCATCAATCACCAGACTATAATCAGTCTGGTTCAGACTTAATTCATTACAGACTGTGTCAAGCTGGAATACATTCTCTCACCTACAGCTTACACCAAACAACAACAGGTACTCATGCCATCAATCACCAGACTATAATCAGTCTGGTTCAGACTTAATTCATTACAGACTGTGTCAAGCTGGAATACATTCTCTCACCTACAGCTTACACCAAACAACAACAGGTACTCATGCCATCAATCACCAGACTATAATCAGTCTGGTTCAGACTTAATTCATTACAGACTGTGTCAAGCTGGAATACATTCTCTCACCTACAGCTTACACCAAACAACACCAGGTACTCATGCCATCAATCACCAGACTATAATCAGTCTGGTTCAGACTTAATTCATTACAGACTGTGTCAAGCTGGAATACATTCTCTCACCTACAGCTTACACCAAACAACAACAGGTACTCATGCCATCAATCACCAGACTATAATCAGTCTGGTTCAGACTTAATTCATTACAGACTGTGTCAAGCTGGAATACATTCTCTCACCTACAGCTTACACCAAACAAATCACCAGGTACTCATGCCATCAATCACCAGACTATAATCAGTCTGGTTCAGACTTAATTCATTACAGACTGTGTCAAGCTGGAATACATTCTCTCACCTACAGCTTACACCAAACAACAACAGGTACTCATGCCATCAATCACCAGACTATAATCAGTCTGGTTCAGACTTAATTCATTACAGACTGTGTCAAGCTGGAATACATTCTCTCACCTACAGCTTACACCAAACAACACCAGGTACTCATGCCATCAATCACCAGACTATAATCAGTCTGGTTCAGACTTAATTCATTACAGACTGTGTCAAGCTGGAATACATTCTCTCACCTACAGCTTACACCAAACAACACAACAGGTACTCATGCCATCAATCACCAGACTATAATCAGCCTGGTTCAGACTTAATTCATTACAGACTGTGTCAAGCTGGAATACATTCTCTCACCTACAGCTTACACCAAACAACACCAGGTACTCATGCCATCAATCACCAGACTATAATCAGTCTGGTTCAGACTTAATTCATTACAGACTGTGTCAAGCTGGAATACATTCTCTCACCTACAGCATACACCAAACAACACCAGGTACTCATGCCATCAATCACCAGACTATAATCAGTCTGGTCCAGACTTGATTCATTACAGACTGTGTCAAGCTGGAATACATTCTCTCACCTACAGCTTACACCAAACAACACCAGGTACTCATGCCATCAATCACTGGACTATAATCAGTCTGGTTCAGACTTAATTCATTACAGACTGTGTCAAGCTGGAATACATTCTCTCACCTACAGCTTACACCAAACAACAACAGGTACTCATGCCATCAATCACCAGACTATAATCAGTCTGGTTCAGACTTAATTCATTACAGACTGTGTCAAGCTGGAATACATTCTCTCACCTACAGCTTACACCAAACAACACCAGGTACTCATGCCATCAATCACCAGACTATAATCAGTCTGGTTCAGACTTGATTCATTACAGACTGTGTCAAGCTGGAATACATTCTCTCACCTACAGCTTACACCAAACAACACCAGGTACTCATGCCATCAATCACCAGACTATAATCAGTCTGGTTCAGACTTAATTCATTACAGACTGTGTCAAGCTGGAATACATTCTCTCACCTACAGCTTACACCAAACAACAACAGGTACTCATGCCATCAATCACCAGACTATAATCAGTCTGGTTCAGACTTAATTCATTACAGACTGTGTCAAGCTGGAATACATTCTCTCACCTACAGCTTACACCAAACAACACCAGGTACTCATGCCATCAATCACCAGACTATAATCAGTCTGGTTCAGACTTAATTCATTACAGACTGTGTCAAGCTGGAATACATTCTCTCACCTACAGCTTACACCAAACAACACCAGGTACTCATGCCATCAATCACCAGACTATAATCAGTCTGGTTCAGACTTAATTCATTACAGACTGTGTCAAGCTGGAATACATTCTCTCACCTACAGCTTACACCAAACAACAACAGGTACTCATGCCATCAATCACCAGACTATAATCAGCCTGGTTCAGACTTAATTCATTACAGACTGTGTCAAGCTGGAATACATTCTCTCACCTACAGCTTACACCAAACAACAACAGGTACTCATGCCATCAATCACCAGACTATAATCAGTCTGGTTCAGACTTAATTCATTACAGACTGTGTCAAGCTGGAATACATTCTCTCACCTACAGCTTACACCAAACAACAACAGGTACTCATGCCATCAATCACCAGACTATAATCATTCTGGTTCAGACTTAATTCATTACAGACTGTGTCAAGCTGGAATACATTCTCTCACCTACAGCTTACACATTCATGCCATCAATCACCAGACTATGTCAGTCTGGTTGAATTCACAGACTTGTCTCTCACCTACAGCATACACAATCAAACAAATCAGCCTGGTTCAGACTTGATTAACAGGTACTCTATGCCATCAATCACCCAGACTATAATCAGTCTGGTTCAGACTAATTCATTACAGACTGTTCTTATGCAGTCACTCACCATGTTAAGGTCTTCGCTCTGTGTGATGGTGAGGATCATGTTTTCTCCACGACTGTTCATCTGAAAGACCTTGACTCCCTCCTTCTTCAGTACAGCCTGCAGACCCAAACCAACACATCAACAATAACATGTTATATTTGGGATTAGACTTTTTCAGTAAAGTACTGACTCTTGTATTTTTGCTGTTTTGAGTCCCATCAGGTATTCGAGCCCGAAACCATCAAAGCCAGGCACCGACGCGCCAGCCCAGAAAGTCAGCCACCTATCCAAATCACCCACAGCAGCTTCCACAAAATGAAAATCAGACAACTGGTAGTGTAGGCGAGGGACTTTGTGTGCCCCTCTGATGAATGTAAATTGGTATGGCTCCCCCAGCCGAAAGCTATGAATACACAATGCCATTTAGAGTGAGTGAGTGAGTATGGTTTTATGACGCTTTTAGCAATATTCCAGCAACATCATGGCGGGGTACACCAGAAATGACCTTCACACATTGTGCCCATGTGGGGAATCGAATCTGGGTCTTCGCGTGACGAGCCAACGCTTAAACCATTTGCCTACCCCACCGCCCTCCAATGCCATTAGAAAGTGGTCAAATGTAACATGTTATATTTGGGAAATCACACACATAAACTATATGAAACTATCAGCATTACATCAGGAGTGGAAATAACTTTCAAATCGATAGTGTACTCCGGTACAGTAGCACATGTAAAGTCACTTGCCCTGATAATTTTTCCACTATACCAACCATTTTCTTGCTGATTTTTCAAATGAACAACATAATTAACATTGGAAAGTCAACTGGACACCTGTACAGTGTGATATACAAATTTGCTTGCCCGACAAAAAAAACCACTCGGACCTCAGGCAATGGGTTATTTCCACCCCTGTACATCAACATTATCAAATGTATGGTTTAATGGATCATAGGTAAGTGGTGGCGTTATGCTTGCTATGTGTGACACAATCACCAGAACAAAGGGATTTTCACAATAACATGGTCCAGACTGGCAAGGTTGCGTTGTCTTTTCAACACATTTTCATAAGGAAAGGTAATACACATGGGTTTCTGATTGCCAAACACAACAACATCAGAGTGTTCAATGTGTAAGAAAGTAGGTGACTCACTAGTGTTTGAGTTGAAACAGTACAGTTCAATGGTACTCACCGAGTGTTTGATGTGGAAGAAAGTAGGTGACTCACTAGTGTTTGATTTGAAAGAGTACAGTTCAATGGTACTCACCGAGTGTTTGATGTGGAAGAAAGTAGGTGACTCACTAGTGTTTGATTTGAAACAGTACAGTTCAATGGTACTCACCGAGTGTTTGATGTGGAAGAAAGTAGGTGACTCACTAGTGTTTGATTTGAAAGAGTACAGTTCAATGGTACTCACCGAGTGTTTTGATGTGGAAGAAAGTAGGTGACTCACTAGTGTTTGATTTGAAACAGTACAGTTCAATGGTACTCACCGAGTGTTTGATGTGGAAGAAAGTAGGTGACTCACTAGTGTTTGAGTTGAAACAGTACAGTTCAATGGTACTCACCGAGTGTTTGATGTGGAAGAAAGTAGGTGACTCACTAGTGTTTGATTTGAAACAGTACAGTTCAATGGTACTCACCGAGTGTTTGATGTGGAAGAAAGTAGGTGACTCACTAGTGTTTGATTTGAAACAGTACAGTTCAATGGTACTCACCGAGTGTTTGATGTGGAAGAAAGTAGGTGACTCACTAGTGTTTGATTTGAAAGAGTACAGTTCAATGGTACTCACCGAGTGTTTGATGTGGAAGAAAGTAGGTGACTCACTAGTGTTTGATTTGAAAGAGTACAGTTCAATGGTACTCACCGAAAGTGTTTGATGTGGAAGAAAGTAGGTGACTCACTAGTGTTTGAGTTGAAACAGTACAGTTCAATGGTACTCACCGAGTGTTTGATGTGGAAGAAAGTAGGTGACTCACTAGTGTTTGATTTGAAACAGTACAGTTCAATGGTACTCACCGAGTGTGTTTGATGTGGAAGAAAGTAGGTGACTCACTAGTGTTTGAGTTGAAACAGTACAGTTCAATGGTACTCACCGAGTGTTTGATGTGGAAGAAAGTAGGTGACTCACTAGTGTTTGAGTTGAAACAGTACAGTTCAATGGTACTCACCGAGTGTTTGATGTGGAAGAAAGTAGGTGACTCACTAGTGTTTGATTTGAAACAGTACAGTTCAATGGTACTCACCGAAAGTGTTTGATGTGGAAGAAAGTAGGTGACTCACTAGTGTTTGATTTGAAACAGTACAGTTCAATGGTACTCACCGAGTGTTTGATGTGGAAGAAAGTAGGTGACTCACTAGTGTTTGAGTTGAAACAGTACAGTTCAATGGTACTCACCGAGTGTTTGATGTGGAAGAAAGTAGGTGACTCACTAGTGTTTGAGTTGAAACAGTACAGTTCAATGGTACTCACCGAGTGTTTGATGTGGAAGAAAGTAGGTGACTCACTAGTGTTTGATTTGAAACAGTACAGTTCAATGGTACTCACCGAGTGTTTGATGTGGAAGAAAGTAGGTGACTCACTAGTGTTTGATTTGAAAGAGTACAGTTCAATGGTACTCACGAGTGTTTGATGTGGAAGAAAGTAGGTGACTCACTAGTGTTTGAGTTGAAACAGTACAGTTCAATGGTACTCACCGAGTGTTTGATGTGGAAGAAAGTAGGTGACTCACTAGTGTTTGATTTGAAACAGTACAGTTCAATGGTACTCACCGAGTGTTTGATGTGGAAGAAAGTAGGTGACTCACTAGTGTTTGAGTTGAAACAGTACAGTTCAATGGTACTCACCGAGTGTTTGATGTGGAAGAAAGTAGGTGACTCACTAGTGTTTGAGTTGAAACAGTACAGTTCAATGGTACTCACCGAGTGTTTGATGTGGAAGAAAGTAGGTGACTCACTAGTGTTTGATTTGAAAGAGTACAGTTCAATGGTACTCACCGAGTGTTTGATGTGGAAGAAAGTAGGTGACTCACTAGTGTTTGATTTGAAAGAGTACAGTTCAATGGTACTCACCGAGTGTTTGATGTGGAAGAAAGTAGGTGACTCACTAGTGTTTGATTTGAAACAGTACAGTTCAATGGTACTCACCGAGAGTGTTTGATGTGGAAGAAAGTAGGTGACTCACTAGTGTTTGATTTGAAAGAGTACAGTTCAATGGTACTCACCGAAAGTGTTTGATGTGGAAGAAAGTAGGTGACTCACTAGTGTTTGATTTGAAACAGTACAGTTCAATGGTACTCACCGAGTGTTTGATGTGGAAGAAAGTAGGTGACTCACTAGTGTTTGAGTTGAAACAGTACAGTTCAATGGTACTCACCGAGTGTTTGATGTGGAAGAAAGTAGGTGACTCACTAGTGTTTGAGTTGAAACAGTACAGTTCAATGGTACTCACCGAGTGTTTGATGTGGAAGAAAGTAGGTGACTCACTAGTGTTTGAGTTGAAACAGTACAGTTCAATGGTACTCACCGAAAGTGTTTGATGTGGAAGAAAGTAGGTGACTCACTAGTGTTTGAGTTGAAACAGTACAGTTCAATGGTACTCACCGAGTGTTTGATGTGGAAGAAAGTAGGTGACTCACTAGTGTTTGATTTGAAAGAGTACAGTTCAATGGTACTCACCGAGTGTTTGATGTGGAAGAAAGTAGGTGACCCACTAGTGTTTGATTTGAAACAGTACAGTTCAATGGTACTCACCGAGTGTTTGATGTGGAAGAGTGTTGGGAACCCAGGGAAGTACACATCTAGTCGCACCTCAGGCAGCACACCCTTCTTCAACTTGTTACCATCCACTCTGTATAACTCCAGGGGAATCTCCTCCTGTCTGTGAACACAACCACACCAGTTATCACCCTTCAGTGGAGGTGGAACTCTCAACAGCTTCATACTGATATCAAGACATTCTCTCAATAGCTTACCAAATGTAACCCTAGAGAGTGAACCTAACAAACTGAGAACTGATAGAGCAAACAATTACCTATTATCAATCATTCAACACGGGATTAGAGTGAGTGAGTATGGTTTTACGACGCTTTTAGCACTATTCCAGCAATATCATGGCGGGTGATACCAAAAATGGGCTTCACACATTGTACCCATGTGGAGTCTTCAGGGTGACGAGCGAAAGCTTTAACCACGAGGTTACCCCACTGACCCCATTGGATTAGAGAATAATTTAAGACAATAAGTGTTGACAATTGTTCCATACCTTGTGTGATTGACATTTATGTCAGGGAATATGCCTGGGAGACGAGACAAGTATGGCTCTTGTCGTTCCTCATCATACACAAACACTGTACTGGGACCATGTTTGTTTCTTGCACTCTCTGCTTTGGTCATAGAGTCATACTTGGGCTGCATTGTTTCCAACAACCGCTCCTGAAGTTGAAAACAAAATGAAAATTAGGCTGAATTTTACTCTTGAGGACAGACTGAAAAGAGCATAATACTGACTGACTGAGTTTGGTTTTACGCTGCTTTTAGCAATATTCCAGCAACATCACGGCGGGGCACACCAGAAATGGGCTTCACACATTGTACCCATGTGGGGATTCGAACACGGGTCTTCGGCGTGATGAGCCAACGCTTTAACCATTAGGCTAGCCCACCGCCCCTGACTGAAAAGAGCATAATATGCAAAAGTGGTTGATATTTGAGGAGAATAATTCATTTCGGATATCCTGACATGAACAATAACATGTCAAGATGCAAACTGATTAAAAGGGAAAATGGCATCGTATAAGCTGTTGAGATACATTTCTTTTCAAACCCAAACACTGCAAGCGGAAAACAAAACTGTGTTAATCCACTAAACACCAATCAATCCCCTTTTTGCCATTAGCTCTGAATAGAAACAATGATCACAAAGCCGTAAGTAATTCTTCCAGTAAAACAAAACCACAGGTCAATATTGTCTGCAGTAATGAAACAAAATCTGTATTTGGCTGTGAATAAATCAGACAAACGGTTACAGTGGAGGACTCTGATCACCTTACCTCTTTAATAAAAGGTATGAGAACTACAGCCTCCCAGTCCTGCTGCTTGCCATTGAGATCTGTCTTGAAGTTGACTGGGTAGAAGTCGATGATAGGGGAAGTATCCATGGTCATCAGGCCCTGTTAACACACAAGCAGAGTGAGTGAGTGAGTGAGTGAGTGAGTGAGTGAGTGAGTGAGTGAGTGAGTGAGTGAGTGAGTGAGTGAGTGAGTGAGCCATTGAGTGAGTGGGTCAGTGAGAGAGTGTGGTCTTACGCCGCTTTTAGCAGTATTCCAGTAACATCACAGCAGGGGACACCAGAAATGGGCTTCACACATTGTACCCATGTGGCACAAGCACATAGAGGATGTCAACATAGACTATAGGCTTAAGAGAGCAAATATAGTTTGAGTTAAATAACATAATTATTAGAATATGTTGAGTGAGTGAATATTGCTTGAATTAAATCATGTGAATATTAGTCTGCGGAATGAGAGAACGATGTTTCAGTCACATCTTGAAAGTAAATATTAGAGGCTGTAGAGTGAGAGTTAGTAGAGTCAGTGAAACATTATTCAGTCTTCATAAGGGACCATTCATAATTTATGTCTAGGGGGTGATGATGATTTTAAGGGGTGTCACCCCTTTTGTTCTGGGGAGGTACATGACATGCAGGGGGGGGGGGGCACTTACTTTGTACAAAATTTTTAGGGGGGGTCAGATTGTACATGCTTCTCCATAAAAATCATCATCACCCCCCTAGCCATAAATAATGGGCAGTCCCTAATACACAAAGTACCAAGTAACAGCCTGACCACTGATCCTTATCGATCAGCTCTCATAAGCAAAGCTCACTGAGGACCATTTTGATTCTGAAATCCCAATTGGGTATATGACTGCACTCACCCTGAATGCTTCTGGTAGAAGGTCCTTGCTAGCAGCTGGCAGAACAGCCATGAGTTGCTGGAACGGCAGGAAGGGTTTCCCCAGATGGAACTCCATCTTCATGTCACTGAAGTCCTTCACATCACTGATGTATGGTGCATAGTGGTGGGGGTAGAACCTGTGGTCACACACAAGGGAGTTAATATGCAATGAAAGTTATTGACCACACTGGTACAGCCTGTGACTTTAGCCAGTAGCCCAAGTCTTGTAACATTCTGTTCTGTATCACAGCATTATGAATTAATCCAGATAATTCATGAGACACAGAAGAAATGTAAAGTTACAAGTAGATCTCTTTTTAAACTAGTGTTGGGAATTGGTTTCAATCTCATAATTGATGATTGGTTCATTACAACCGATAAATCATCGAAAATAATTGGTTAGCGTCATTTATCAAATTTTCCTGGTTATGTTTGTTAATGCACAAAAGATAAAGAAAAAAACATGTAGTTCTTTCGTTTTCTTTGCAAAATGCACAAATTGCATTTGCAAATTTCACATATCTAAAGGATGACTAGCATGTTAGGAACATGAATTTCACGGAGTCTTTAAAATAAATTCAATCATGAATTGGAAGAGCTTGTAGTGCTAATGAAATCTAACAGACAAAACCAACCTTGTGAAAATATTGTTATTGCAAACAAGTGTTCCAAAATTGATTGTGTTCGATTATGAGAAAACATGATCGATTGCTTGGTCGTTTTGTTATTGCGACCAATCTTCGATTATTTCAATTAATCGGACCACCACTATTGTAAACACGCATTTTATTTGTGAACATAACCAACCAACAGCTGAAAGAGCATCACCAGTGCCCTGCAGCAGTATATTCAATAAAACAAAAAGAACAGAGACAATCTTGAAACACTCATGATTGTTCATAAGCTTACATACCAGCTCCAAGATGGCACGCCTTCAAAGTAGTAGAGGAGGATCCACTGTATGGCTGTCACATACCCCCGAGCCTGGTCTTGTAGCACTTCACTGCAACAGAAATGATGAGTGAGTGAGTGAGTGAGTGAGTGAGTGAGTGAGTGAGTGAGTGAGTGAGTGAGTGAGTGAGTGAGTGAGTGAGTGAGTGAGTGAGTTGGGTTTTATGCCGATTTTAGCAATATTCCAGCAATATCACGGCGGGGGACGCCAAAAATGGGCTTCACACATTGTACCCATGTGGGGAATCGAACCAGGGCCTTTTGTGTGACGAGCGAATGCTTTAACCACTAGGCTACCCCACCACCCATGATGATATATGAATGTCCTACAACCAAATGCATTGCGCCTATGTGGAGAATCAAACCTGGACTTTCGCATGGTGATACAGTAGATTCTGTAGGGTCTAATTAAGAGAAGATTGTCTTCAGTTGAGAGCCGTTAAGGTCTCGAGAGAGCCAAGAGAGATTGGAATGAACTAGACTCAAGCTCGCTCTGGTAACACAGCATATCAGGATTATGAAAGAATGAATGCATTCATAAATGATTCATTAGGTCTAATCAGAGATCTATTATATGGTCTCTGGTCTAATCCTGTTAGCAGATTCATATTCAGTTATCAAATAATTAATTTTTTCAAATATCCTAGCAGCATAGGCTGCACTGTGTAGGGAATCGAGCCCTTGCTTTCTGCAATACAAGAGAATGATTTAACACTAGGCTACCCTGTCACAACATTAAACTGTGGGGCTGTACTTACGGTGTGACAGTATGGTAGTCCAGTTTGTCCATGTAATAGTTGCGTTTGTGCTGTCTAAACTCAGCAGCAAATGTGTCGACATCATCATCAGACAGATCTGACAGAGTTGTCTCCTCTGTTGGCTCTGTGAATGTGTCAGCACCTACAATTACACAGTTCAAGGAAATATACTGAGGGAAAAAAATAAGGGATCACATGAAAGCACAAGTGTTCCTTTATTTGTTTCCAGGTTTCTTCACAAGCTGTGCGTTACAACGCTTGTGAAGAAACCTGGAAAAAAATAAAGGAACACGTGTGCTTTCATATGATCCCTTATTTTCTTCCCTCAGTATATATTCATCCACACAGGTAAGTAATATCAATCAAAATGATCAGTCTTTGGAGTTAGTGAGTTTAGTTTCACGCTGCTTTTAGCAATATCCCAGCAATATCACGGTGGGACAAACATAATATGGGTTTGACACATTGAGCTCATATGGGGAATTGAACACAGGTCTTCGGCATGATGAGCAAACACCTTAACCACTAGGCTACCCCACCGCCCAGAGTCAATGTAAGTTTATAATCATGAAATGACTGTCATAAAAAGCCAATAGCCAAATTTTTATATGTTCCAACTCAAACTCAAGGGCCAATTCAAGGCCCACCCAACCATACCCACGTGGGTGAACATTGTTATGGAAGTGCAATCAACTTGAAAGCAGTGTAAAAAAAATTCTCACACAATGTCAACTCACCAGAATCAGACAGACTTGGATCAAACTCATCTACCACACCCTCCAGTGCAGCAAATGGATTTGTATCGTTGAAAGACTGTAACACCAAAACGATACATGTAAGCATGACAAGAAACGATGACAACTTGGGGAACTAAAGTCCAACACTGTTGTCAAGCTGATGTGTCAAACGTACAGTTGTCTTGAAGTAAAAGCTTGGTCATGGCATTTCCCTTACATCTTGTGGTTGTGGCAAACCTCAAGTAACTTATCTACATAGCTCCCTTTAACTCACACCAGTGTTTGACAGTCCTCCCGTTTACACTGGTTAAATAGTATGTTCTTGATGAACGATTTTTCACAATAAGAGTGAGTGAGTGAGTTGGGTTTTATGCTGCTTTTAGCAATATTCCAGCAATATCATGGTGGGGGACACCAGAATTCACAATAAGAAATGGCATATTTGCATAAAACATAAAAGTCACCTTTTTTCTCTCTTTTTTCCGCTCATTCTCCTCCTGTGCGGCTTTGGCGGCTGCTTCATTGACATGTTTCTTTCCTAGCTTGCTCTCCATCCACTTCATGTCCGTAAACTGATCACTGAACTTCTCAATGTCAAACTGAAAGGTCAGTTACTATACAGTCAGTTTCAAGTACAAGAGCGAGTGAGTTTAGTTTTACATCACTTTCAGCAATATTCCAGCAATATCACGGCGGGGGGACACCAGAAATGGGCTTCACACATAGTACCCATGTGGGGAATTGAACCCGGGTCTTCGGCGTGATGAGCGAACGCTTTAACCACTAAGCTACCCTGCCACCCTACAGTTCTTAAATGTTTAATACTAATGTTAAAACCTATGAACATAAGAGTGGTGCTGACAAATCTTTAAACACAACCAGAGAGATCTGGGAATCAAATCAGGTTTCTGAACATCGGAGAAGCTAAGATGATGGAGAGAGTTATCCAGGATTTGTGCACAGGATAACAAACTAAGAACATGTTAAAATCAAAGGAACAAACTTACCTTTGCCAGAGCCTCAAGATACTTCTCAAATCTTTTCAAATTCAAATGACCACCCTCATTCAAATAACCTGTGTAAACAACATTATGAATGTTTCACAAAGGCAACAGACTGAACACAATAACATCATGGAGTTGAAACATGACAAGAAACATAGATTAAAAAATGTTTTCAAGTTTTTGTAAGAACAGAAGCCACTGCCAAGATTCTATAATATTACTAAAACATAATGGGGAACCTAAACACATTCTCAGTCTCATGATACTAACTGTGGACTGCAAAAACAAATCTATATACAAAGTCACTTGTTTGTCTTCACGTATATTACAATCCATATTTTCTCCAGCTACATTACTAAGAAATTGACAAGCACCTTTGTTTCATATGTTCAATGATATGACCATGATAACTTCAGGTTGTGGGAAATGCATTAAAATCGGTATGCTTAAAATCTGATGATCGGAAAAGGGAAAGCATATCTTGCGCCACTGGCTACACTGACCCCCATACAATGATAAAGTGAGGTGTTCCTGCTGAACATACCATCGAGTGATGGCAGCACCTCTTCATATGTCCGCCACAGATACGGCAATGCATCATGGTTGATGTGTAGGTTAGGCAGATGTGGGATGAAGTCATTGCCCACCAGGAATCCCATCAGAATCCAGTCATCTATAATGCCCTCTACGTCATAAGGAAATGGCAGTTTCTTTTTCTGAAAATGTGAAAGATGAATTAGAAATTTTTGACAGTCAGTACCTTTGTCAAAACCTGGGAGTTAGTAAATGGTGTTCAAAATCACATTCAGTAATGTTTCAGCTGTGTGATCAGGTGATGGTGATGTCAGTGATGGTGTTAAACATGGTGATGCCAGTGATGGTGTTAAACATGGTGGTGTCAGTGATGGTGTTAAACATGGTGGTGTCAGTGATGGTGTTAAACATCACTGTCAGCAATATTCCAGCTGTGTGATCAGGTGATGGTGATGTCAGTGATGGTGTTAAACATGGTGATGTCAGTGATGGTGTTAAACATGGTGGTGTCAGTGATGGTGTTAAACATGGTGATGTCAGTGATGGTGTTAAACATTGTGATGTCAGTGATGGTGTTAAACATCACTGTCAGCAATATTCCAGCTTTTGATCAGGTGATGGTGATGTTAGTGATGGTGTTAAACATCACTGTCAGCAATATTCCAGCTTTTGATCAGGTGATGGTGATGTTAGTGATGGTGTTAAACATCACTGTCAGCAATGTTCCAGCTTTTGATCAGGTGATGGTGATGTAAGTGATGGTGTTAAACATCACTGTCAGCAATATTCCAGCTTTGATCAGGTGATGGTGATGTTAGTGATGGTGTTAAACATCACTGTCAGCAATGTTCCAGCTTTTGATCAGGTGATGTAAGTGATGGTGTTAAACATCACTGTCAGCAATATTCCAGCTTTTGATCAGGTGATGGTGATGTTAGTGATGGTGTTAAACATCACTGTCAGCAATATTCCAGCTTTGATCAGGTGATGGTGATGTTAGTGATGGTGTTAAACATCACTGTCAGCAATGTTCCAGCTTTTGATCAGGTGATGGTGATGTAAGTGATGGTGTTAAACATCACTGTCAGCAATATTCCAGCTTTTGATCAGGTGATGGTGATGTAAGTGATGGTGTTAAACATCACTGTCAGCAATATTCCAGCTTTTGATCAGGTGATGGTGATGTTAGTGATGGTGTTAAACATCACTGTCAGCAATGTTCCAGCTTTTGATCAGGTGATGTAAGTGATGGTGTTAAACATCACTGTCAGCAATATTCCAGCTTTTGATCAGGTGATGGTGATGTAAGTGATGGTGTTAAACATCACTGTCAGCAATATTCCAGCTTTTGATCAGGTGATGGTGATGTAAGTGATGGTGTTAAACATCACTGTCAGCAATATTCCAGCTTTTGATCAGGTGATGGTGATGTAAGTGACGGTGTTAACATCACTGTCAGCAATGTTCCAGCTCTGTGATCAGATGATGGTGGTGTCAGTGATGGTGTTAAATATGGTGGTGTCAGTGATGGTGTTAAACATGGTGGTGTCAGTGATGGTGTTAAACATCACTGTCAGCAATGTTCCAGTTCTGTGATCAGGTGATGATGGTGATCAGGTGATTCACAATTATGACATTCACAAAGACATACACAAAATAAATAAATTTCCCTATATTATGGAGTGAGTGAGTGAGTGAGTATGGTTTTACGCCGCTTTTGAGCAATATTCCAGCAATATCACGGTGGGGGACACCAGAAATCGGCTTCACACATTGTACCCATGTGGGGAATCGAACCCGGGTCTTCGGCGTGACGAGCGAACGCTTTAACCACTAGGCTACCCCACCGCCCCTCCTATATTATGGAATAGACAGCAAATTTCAATATTCCTGTAATGGCCACACCTTGATTGGTGGGAGCGTTGTTACCACTGGTGTAACAAAGGTGTTGCAAGCTGGTAACAACTGTTATACTCTCCGTCAAGTCATACACTGCCACCATCCAACCCTTTCCATGCTTAAAAGTTTGTTCCTTGGACAATTTCCAGTAGAATTTATGACTATATCTGGACCTAAGTATGAAATGATCACAAACAAAACAGGGCTGAAATACATTAAACCATCACCACTTACTCTTAGTGCAGAGAACTCATAATCTAGATATTCCCTGAGCAGAGACAGATGGAGGAGATGGAAGGTTGTTTCTTCAGGTGTTGATGGCCTGGAGAAAAGGTACAAGATACTATAACAATGTTGCACTAACAAATAGTGACACGTGGAGCAATGAGTTCAGTGGAGTGATTTGGTTGGTTGGTTGGTTTGTTGTTTAACGCCACACTCAGCAATATCCCAGCTACATCGCAGTGGTCTGATCCACTGATCAACAGTATGAGCATCAACCTACGCAACTGGGATACAATGACGTGTGTCATCCAAGCGAGTCTGACCACCTGATCCTGTCAGTCAAGCATGTTACAACAAGCATGGGTTGGTTAAGATCAATTCTAACCCATATCTTCACAGGTCATCAATGGATTGAATATTCATTTGTCGGGAGGTGAGATAAAACTGTGTGTTTAAGGTTACTCCACTCATATAGTGATGGTCAGTGCGCTTGTAATGGTGCGGACTTGTGCCGTTTTTATACTGTTTTCCCACAGAGATGCTGAGATGCAGAATACTGACTCTAAATGTACTAGTTTTTGGTTTTTACTCAAAATGCCTGGTAGGGTAATGACAAGGACATTCCTTTTACATGTTTTTCATTATGTCCTTGTTAAAATAACACAACATTGATTATGCAATTTACGTGTATTTTGGTGATGATTTGTGGCTCACATGAAATGAACACAATAATCTAAACAGGAAAATATTGAAAGGTACCAGTGATATGGTTACTGTTACTATCTCACCTCTTGTTCCTCTCTCTCTTTCCGCCAAATCGGACTTCTTCGCGGAGGAGAGAGAAATGAGGTTCATGTGTTGCCAAACCCAGTACGATCTGAAATAGAAATTACCGGTCAGAATTCTACAATGGCTGTTCACATCTTAAGTTAAAACTGTAGAGTCTGGACCAGACAATCCAGCAATCAACAGCATGAGCATCGATCTATGCAGTTGGGATACCTTGACATGTGTCAACCAAGTCAGCGAGTCGACCACCCGATCCCGTTTGTCGCCTCTTACGACAAGCATGGGTTGCTTAAGACCAATTCTAACCTGGATCTTCATTGGTTGGGACCATGTGCATAAGGACACAGGAATAAATAAGATTTGACAAAGACTGGAATGTATTATATAATGAACAGTAATGAACACAGAAACAGTGAGTGAGTGAGTTTAGTTTTGCGCCGCTTTTAGCAATATTCCAGCAATATCAGAATATTGGGGGACATCAGAAATGGGCTTCACACATTGTACCCATGTGGGGACTTGAATCTGGGTATTCAGAGTGATGAGCGAACGCTTTAACCACTAGGCTACCCCAACGCCTTGAACACAGAAAGAAGACTTTTACCAATTTAACCTGAAAACAATGGCATGGTACTTTCAGACCAAGAATCATAATTGGGAAAAAATCTGGGATTCCATACCAAGACCAGCAGTTCCTGGCAACACCAAAGGAAGCAACTGCACAGAAGAAAGTAGAATTCATTACATCCGATAAAGACAGTTATGCGTGGTGGTGTGTGGTCCCGTGCATAAAGTGCAGGTCATAAATCAGTTGAAGTTAAGTAACGTTGAGCCGGAGAATTCTTGGATAGGTGACCGTGTTTGGCAGCTTGACTCCTGAGAGATTCTCGGACTTCAGTCCTGCCCCACAACGAAGCACATGAGATACATGTGGTCTCACCTTAGGCAAGTGAGTTTGTTCAAAATTGCCTCTGTTAACCCAGCAGAAAATGGGTACCTGGTGGGATAAGTCATGTGACAATAACCTTCTAGCGCCTAACAGGCAGTTGGGTTATCTGGGGTAATAATGTGTTAGCGCTTTGAGCATACACAAGTGTGTGGAAATAGGCACTTTATAAATGGCCATTGTTATCATTATTTATGCCAGATATACTTAAATGTTTGAGAATCAGCTTTGTGTCTCCTGGACACATAAAAATATCCCTATGAAAAGTTTAGCACTACACAAATGACAACTTACAAGATCAGCATCCAGGCCATAAAGACAGTGGCGTGTGTTAGGGTCATAACCTGGCTGTGACTTTTCATAACGGATGAAGTCCATGACCTTGTGTTCTCCCTCCCCAGGGGTCTGAAATATCACAAACAAATAATTAGAACAAGGAGTAGTTTCAAAACTAAACACAATTTGGAGGTATTTTTCTTGCATTTTGTCATTAAAGAATGGATAACATAGAGCACTTTTGGTTGCAATATATGTAATGTCAAGTAAAATTTACAAACTCATGGTTCAACAAAGTGAGGGAGGTTCTCTTTGAATGTATCTTTTTTCAGTATTTCAGTAACATCATTATCATTAGCTTAATACAGGTGGAAATCCCAAAGTGCTGCAAATATTGGTAGAATATTCAAAGCTACATATTCTTTTTCAGAAGTCCTCCTTGGGGTACATATAAGCATATAAGCATTTAAATGTCCATTTTAAATCCTATGACAGTTGTAACAATATTTTATTAGAAATATTTACAAAACCAAAAAATCGTTTTTGTCTTGTGAGACCACCCCTACAGGACCCCAAAGGGCCCCCCTACAGCCAAGAGCAGGTAACTTTCGCTGTCTATACTTCGTACCTCACTTTTCATGCTGTCGTTCTGTTGAGCTGACGTGCGTGGTGTTCGTTAGAGTTTATCTCTCCTATTGACTATGATGAGTTTCTCAAACTGTATGTATGGTTTCTTTCTTTACGCAGTTAGATGGACTTCATATATTGATATTCTCATTCATCATTTGTTGTAACTTGCGCCTTGGGGCTCTGTTTTCCTGCCATGTGGCAGGCAAAATGGCGGACCACGCAGTTGTGGCTTCCTTTCTACATGTTACTGTAAGCTTGTAGTAGGGAGTTCATATACGAGGGGCGTTCATTAAAGATTTCCCCTGAACCACTTGCAGTGGACTTAGTGGAACAAAACTTGGCACAGTTATTAGTCCTTCTCTACATAGCAGCCACCAAGAGTTACACACTTCTCCTATCATTTTATGCAACTATGAAGACCTTGCTTGAAAAGGTCAGTAGGTTGTGTATCAAACCATGACTTGACTTCCGAAAACAGTGTTTCATCATCTGGGAAGCGTGTTCCTTTCGAAAATGACTTCATAGTTAGAAAGTTTGCCTGGTTTTCTTGGCACATGTCCAAAAGAGCCTTTGAGCAACTGACTCATTTCTGCTTCTGGAAAGGTGTGAGCAACCTGGGAATCCATCGTGCAGACACCTTATGCATGTGCAAATTGTCATGAATGATTTTTTCCACAGACCCTACACAGAACTTGATATCATGTGCTAATTGGCAAACAGTTATACAGCGATCTTCCAAAATGGCAGTCTATACTTGACGGACAGTGTCTTTATCAATGGCTGAAAGAGGTCGACCAGGAATGGAGCAGTTTTTCACACATTTCCGACCACATTTAAACTGGCGATGCCAGTGTTTAACTACGTCATACGATGGGGCATCCTCCCCATAAGTTGCTTTAATTTCATCAAAGGTCTCTTTTGGCATGCCTTTCAAGTACAAAAACTTGAAAGGCTGCTCGGTATTCAACTGGCTCCAAATATTTGGGTGCAAGAACCCCCAAAAAACACATAAGAAGAAATCTTCCTCCCCCTCGTCCTCCACATTATCCGATGTGGGGGTGAGGTGAGCGAAGGTGGCGGATTCTACTCCAATCCCTGCACCTACTGTTCCTTCTGCTTATACTTCGCAAGCACTGCCCGCAACAATTCCTGCCCCCACTGCACCTTTAACATTTGATATGATATCAAATTTGTTGCAGCAACAGATGACCTCGGTCAAATTGCTAGTCTAAGACGCGATGTCTGGTATCAGTCAGGAGATTGGCGTCTGTCTGAGTTCTGGTGGTGGCGCCGGGGCATCTGTCAGGGACCCTCCCAACCTGAGCCTAGGCTCCGGTGTGAGACATGCCTCCGGGGGGGAGTCTCGGCTTGGGGGACGTCCTTTCCTCGGCTACCGTTTCTGGCCCGAGCTTCGGCTTTGAGTCAGGTTCTCAGCCTGGCTCCGACAACTACGGTTCTGTCGGTCACAGCTGTAGTCATGGGTCCACCAAGTGTGCCGGCGTTGCCGGTCACCTCGGTGTCTGTGCTACCGGTTGCGCTACTGGCAAATCCTGTTACGTCAGGCTCTTCCCTCGAGTCTCGGCGTCATCTTTTAGGTATGAGCCATGGGTCGATCCTCTTTCTAAATACTCTTTCTCTCTCTTTGGCACCTCTTCCGACCCTCTCTAGAAGGATCGCAAGGAGGAAGCCATGGAGGAGGAGGGTAGGGAGGGGTGGGGAGAGCAAACTTTTCGCTTCGGCTCGCCCCTGCGGCATTATTGCTTCAGTCCTGCCTCAGGTGGTACTCCCGTCAGACGACCCCGACCCCGCTGAGTTTCGTCCCCCTGGGGCGCTCCGTCTAGGACGCCCAAGACCCGTTTCTGCATCCTCCCCTCTTTCCTGGTGGAGGTGGTTAACCCCCTCCTTCTCGGTACTCGTGCGCGATTCGACCTGCCCAACCTCAATTGCCGATTTCTGAGGGGGGAGGAGGGGCTTTATAATCCCCCTGAGGTGGACAACTGCGTGTTCGCGTCTGTCGCAATGGGTGGATCTTCTGGCCATTCTTTAGGTTCGGCAAAGTAGGGTCGACGGCTGCCATCCTTTGCCGCCAATGCCCAAGCACTGAAATCGGTATACCAGTTGTTCAAAGAACAATACCGGAACGTCGTTCAGTGGCTCAAAGTGGTCGTCACTCAGCCTACCTCTCAGCCCTTCAGAGGCAGCTGGTGGACATGAGCAGGGGGCAGATGACTTTTCATCCACCACTTTGGCTAAGCAGCTTACAAAGGTGCACTCTCATTTGGCGTGCAATGCCATCCGGTCATCAGCATGTCAAATGATGAGTGCGGTTATGGGCCTCCTGTGACTTTTGCTATCTGTGGCTCTCTACTCTCTGGCAACGCAACAGGCTCTACTGTCTCTGCCGTACCGGATGGGTGATACCCTGTTTCCGGGCGCAGCAACGGTAGTCCAGGAGGCCGCAGAGGTCAATAATTCTTTCAAAGATTCTAAGCCCTTGCTTGAACAACCCTCTACTTCTCGTGTGTGGCCCTCAGTCCTTACCTCGGCATATCCTTCCTTGCAGTCACGCAGAGGTAAGGGTAAGGGCAAAGGCAAGGGCAAGGCCTCGCAATCACAGCAGCCTTTTCCGAGGAAAGGGAAGTCAGCCCCAACTTCCCAGTAAATCTACCTCGGGTGCCCTCAGAGGACCCAGTGCAAGCAGTCGGAGCACTGCCAACCACTGGGATCCATTGCCTTTAGCCCGACGTCCCTGTCCTCTCTTCCTTCCAGAATGGGAGAAGGTCAGCACAATTCTATGGGTCCTGTCCACACTCAGGGACGGCCACATGCCACAGTGGAAGTGAGCCCCCCCCACTTCTTCTCTGGGATCTGATGCACTAAGGTGCTAGCCATCGAGGTGGTTCCGACGGGACAGGAGAATGTGGGATTTTATTCCACTTATTTCCTGGTCACCGAAAAGGATGGAGGGTTCAGACCGATTCTAAATCTCAAAGGGCTGAACGATATGATACAGGTACCGACCTTCAAGATGGAGACACTACGTCAATCGACCTCAAGGACGCGTACCTTTATGCACCCCGAGTTCAGGAAATCCCTCTGGTGTTCCTTCGACAGGAGGTGCTATCAGTTTCGTGTACTCCCCTTCGGCATCTCCATGGCGCCAAGGGTTTTCACCTAACTAATGTTAATACCGGCGCAGATTGCCAGGTCACAGGGCAGGTGTTGTCAACCTTACCTGGACGACTGGCTACTCAGAGTGCTTCCCACTCACTTGAGTCGAGATGTGACATTTTCAGTGATCAGTATTCTCACCAAGTTGGGTTGGATTATCAATCTCAAGAAATCAGAGCTGGTTCTGACCACGGATCTGGTCATCTTGGGAGCGAGATTCGAGAGGCATGGTCTCTCTGTCTCCCGACCGCATCACCAAAGTTCAGGGGGTTGTTTTACAATTCCTCGAGTCCCCAAGGGCCTCAGCACAGACTTGGCTCCAGTTGCTTGGTAACATGGTGGCAACGGTGGACACAGTTTGGCGTGTGCATCTGAGGATGCGACCTATACAGCATTCTTTGTTGTCTCACTCACACACTTACACGATGCGGTGGTGGACTGACATCAGGAATATGGCCAGGAGAGTCTCCTTGGTTATCCTGACGCCCACGCTCTCGATTCAAACAGATGCCTCCCTCACAGGATGGGGCGGGGTTCTGGCCGAACTTCAAGTATCAGGCCTTTGTTCAGAGAATGAGGCGAGCCTGAACATCAATGTGCTTGAATCGAGAGTAGTCCCGATGGTATTCAAACGCTTTCTAGTGCAGGTTCGGGAGCCTTCTGGTTCATCTCGAGATAGACAACCAGGCGGTGATGACCTACATCCTGAAGCAAAGCGCTACGGTGTCTCCGTCACTCCTGCGGGAGGCATGGCAGTTTCTGCTATGGTGCGACCAGTTTGACATTCGGGTGATGCCTGTTTATCTCACGGGACAGACAATGTCAGTACAGATGCTCTCTCTTGGCGTATACTAGCCCCCCACGAGTGAATGCTCAATCGGGAGATATTCGGGATTATCTGCCAGTTGTTCGTGTCATTCCAGGTGGATCTGTTTGCCTCTGGGGTGACAAATCAGATTCCGGTGTTTTGCTCTCGGATACCGGATCCGAGGGCCATCGCCTCCGATGCCTTCCAGCTCGATTGGATGGACAGGGTGTTATGGGCGTTCCAGCCAATCCCCCTGATTTCCAAGGTCCTATCGCAGCTTGCCACCCAACCAGCTCGACTACTTGTGCTTCTTGCACCCCTTTGGTCGGCCAAAAGCTGGTTTCCGGGTAACCATCAGGTATGCCTCCTGTACTGGATTCCCAGGATTCAGTGGGTGGCTTGGCCACTGTCCGGAATCGCCTCCAAGCGAACGGGACTCCTGCACCAGTTGCAGACACAATTCTGGCTTCGTGAACGGATTCGATAAACGTTCAGTACGAGGATAGATGGGCCTGTTATGCACGCTGGTGTGGAAACAAGGGAATTCTCAATCCCTTACAGTCTTGGTTAGAGGCCGGCCTATCCGCGTCTACTGTCCAAGGCTACTCCACGGCAATCTCTGCCTTCCACATACCTGCCGACGGTGTTCTCTTAGGACAACACCCTCTGGTACAGCACTTCTTAGCAGGCGTAGACAGAATCCGTCTGACTGTCCGGCAGATTAGTCCCCCATGGAACTTGTCAACCGTTCCTGATTATATGTCCGGTCCTCTCTTTTTCGATCTGTCGGCTCTCTCCCTCAAATTCTTAAGCTGGAAGGCAGCCTTTATTGTCGCGGTAACATCTGGCAGACGGGTCGGAGACATTCACGTAACGTCTGCCGATCCGGAGTTAACTGTTTTCCATAAGGATAGAGTCAGTATTCGCTTGCCAGACTCTTATCGTCCTAAGATTGCAGACGCCTTTCATGTAACAGCGCCTATTGAGCTCCCAGCTTTCACGCAGCCTTCATCGTCCGGTACCTCTCTTCGATGTGCTCACGTCTTAGATGTCAGTAAGACTCTCAAGGCTCATATCAAACGCGCAGCTGACATCCGTAAGGATAAACAGCTGTTCTGCTTATGGCAGTGGTAAGGCTGGCCTTCAGGCGAACAAGCAAACCATCTCAAGGTGGCTTGTCTCTGCCATTTGTATGAGCTACATTCATAAGGGTCTAACTCCTCCTGATGGTTTGAAAGTAATGAAAGCTCATTCGGTTAGGGCAGTGGCCACTTATGCAGCGTATGCAGCGCCACTGCCCATTGAGGAGATCTGCTCTGTGGCCGAGAGTATGCGTTCATCCGTCATTACCAGCTGGACAAACACTCACGTGAACGTGCTCGGTTTGGCCAGTAAGTTCTCCACAGTGGGCAGAGTCGTAACTCTTTAGCCGAGTGAGCTGCACTTAGTGGCGTCAGGTTTTTTATCGTCCTCCCAGTTTTATCGGTGGGACTCTTAGTGGTGGTAATTTCCCGTGTTATTAGCTTTTAAGCGTTTTACTCTCTCTTATACCTCTCGCCACGCTTCGCTGGTTCGGGTTATTAAGGTCGGGAATTATTTTGAGATGCCCCTTACATTCCTTTCCATTGTAACGGTTGGGAGGTGGGGTTTATGTCATACTTACTTTGAGCCAATCGAAATATAAGCCTGTGCTCTCTATTTCCTGCCCAAGCCACGCCCCTGCCTGGTTGACAACAGCGGTCAGGTGACTAGGTAAGTGTGGTTTTCTATCTCCATCTTGGTTGTAGATTTAACTCCACCACAGGTTTAGTTGTTGCCAGACAGAATGCCACTCCCAAATCAAAATCTTTGGGAGTCTGTCTTATGCTTATATGTACCCAAAGGAGGTATTCTTCTCAAAAAGAATCGTACAAACCTGTAGAGGTTACTGATTCTTTGAAGAAAGTCCTCCTTGGGGTACGGCCGCCCACCTCCCCACATTCTGTCTGATACGTTCAGCATGAAAAGTGAGGTACCATATGCCATTTAATATCATACATCTACTTAAAACGGTAAAAGGGAATAGATATTACTATGAAACTCTTATACAAACTCAGTGTATACGTAATCAACACTTTCCAAAATGGGAATTGATATTTGGAGAAACAATACTGGAACCCGATAGACAAAAATATAACATGATTCCAACTAAATGCCTGCAAATTCCTAAACAGCAATGGTTTCAATATCAAATTCTTCATCATATCTTACCAACAAATTCATTACTCTTTACAATGGGATACGCAGACAGCAATTTATGTGGTTATTGTAATAATCAAAGCGAAACAACTGATCATCTGTTCTGGTATTGCAAACACGTGAGTTCCATCTGGACACAATTTGAAAAATGGGTCAATCAGAAAGACGATTTATCCAATAAACTAAACAAGAAAGATATACTTCTTGGCTCGCTGCTACCAAATTTTGGATCAATAAATCTTTTAATAATTGTATGCAAACAATTTATCTTCAAAAATAAAACATATAAAAAAACAATGAATTTTGAAATGATCCAGGAAGAACTCACAAGCTTTTATTTCTTTATGAAATACACAGCAAAACTGTACGGACATCTTAACCAATTTACTAAGTTCTGGTCATCTTGTCACCTATTGTTAATATAGAAAATTATATACATGTGCAACTGTGTACAAATGCAACACAAATAAAGAAATTATAAAATAAAAGAGAAAAAAGAAAGAAATGAAACTAACACCCCGCCCCAGGTGACCAGAAGCTCAAATAAACAAAAATGTGTACATACTGTAGAAACCCAAAATACCATGACAAATTTATGACAATCTATTTTTGTAAATACTGTAATAAGATAACTGAAATTGCCGACAACTGTATATAATGGTATATAACCACTAAATGTCTGACTGCAAAAAAGAAAAATACATAAAAAAAATATCTGAAGGTACGAGGTAGACAGCGACAGTTACTTGCTCTTGGCTGTAGGGGGGCCTTTTGGGGTCCTGTAGGGGTGGTCTCACCAGACAAAAACCTCTACAGGTTTGTACGAATAACACCAGACAATCCATGGCTTTAAGGACTAGAAACTTTCTTGCACTCAGTGCAACCTTAGGCAATAACCTTGTTGCACAAGACAAAAACAGGTTGCACATGCTGCTCTATACAAAATAACATATAATGCTAGAGTTTGGACCAGACAATGCAACATCATGAGCATGGATCTACGCAATAGGGATAAGATGACATGTGTCAGTGAAGTCAACAAGCCTGACCACTTGATCCTTCACACATTGTACCCATGTGGAGAATCGAACCTGGGCCTTTGACGAGCGAACACTTTAACCACTAGGCTACCCCACCGCCCCTGATTCAACTGAGAACTTACCTCATGACCAGACAAGTAAACCTCGGGCCCCTGCCACAAAGGGTCTGTTGAAATTTTCTGCACCACAAAATACTTCAGTTGTTCCTGTAGTCGAACCATGAACTCTGTTCCTGCAATCGAGGGACAACCACTTCATCTTGTCAGTATATCATGTCATAAATGTTTAGGAGTGAGTGAGTTTAGTTTAATGACGTTTTCAGCAATATTCCAACAATATCACGACGGGGTAACGAAATAAATGGGCTTCACACATGTTACCCATAGGGGGAATCAAACCCGGGCCTTTGACATGACTGGATGCCTTAACCACTAGGCTACCCCACCACCCCGCTCTGGGAGTTAAGAATGAATGGATGGGTACAGATTAGGGGTGGCTATTGAGGGAGAAAGAATTATTTCTATTGCAATAGTTTTTTCTCTCCTTGAATTGTCTCATTTGAAGGCATTTCCCAAATGAATGTATAGTATATATGAAATAAAAACAAGCTGAAGTAGTTTCAGTCTCTTTTAACAACTGACAAACTTGAAACCCAGATCAAGTAAACAGTCAAGTTTGTTGAAGAGGCAAGAGGGGCGGATAACTCTAAATCAAAGTGAACAAATCTGGTACTTCCTGTATATTGCGCAGGAATTCAGTGTCTATTTTACTTTTCAGATGAAGTGGGCCCTGGGCCCATGGGTAATGAAACTAGTGGGACATTTGCCATCATGGGTCATCAGAAATAAACAAGGGACACAATTTATTCACTCAGTAATTTCAACGAGTTTATCATTCAAATTACAGCTGTTCAGTTGTTTTATTTAACTGTTAATATATTCAAATTATGAGATTACCATTTAAGTTATTATGTTGTAATTTATATCTCAGTGACAGTCTTTTTTCATTTTAAATTAGTAGACTTATTTTGACTTTCACAGAACAAAACCCATGGATATAAAGCTTGCCATTTTGTTTGGAAAGAACGTGACATGAATTTCTGAATTACAATTGCCATCATTTGACCCCAAAACTGTTCCCTAATCTTCTTTGTCACTTTTATTTCTTTTTGTTTGGAAAAAATGAAAGTATTTGCGACTGTCGCTTCAGAGCAGCATTTTTCCCACTGTAGTTTGATTAAAAAAACTACCTTCAATATTAAGTTAACGCACTTCGATATAGAAATTGACTGCTTAGGGGCGCAACTCTTATGTATAGACACAGCATGACTTGAATAAGCTATGTAATGTCAGCTCCATGCATTGATTTAGGCTTCGCACTGGATGTTGGACAGTGTACAAAGTGCTGTGAGGATTACGAATGCCAATTGATCACTAGAAAATGTGACAAGTAGAAAATATTGGGAAGTTTGGCAGGGTATGCAGGCTTATACATGATTGTTACGAGTCATTTTATTTTTATGGTACGCCAACCGGACCCACCATGTCAAGGAATAGTGCGCCATTTTTTACTACTATGCATCAATGGCTCAAGGGCGTGGTCTCAAATAGACTCTGCACAATTATCAACGGAAATCAATTACCGGTACTAAACTATCGATAGTCACACAAACTATCAATGCATCAATAGTTTTTGTTTCTACCATCGATTAATTGCTATCAGGGACTCAACAATTGCAATCCATTGATAGTTTGATGCATCATTACAGCTCTAGTACAGATCCTCTCACTGGGGAACAAAGAGACCACACTTGTGCAGAAATGTCTCAAAATGTACAACATTTTAATGTATAATATAATATAAACAGCAAACATCTAAGTCAAATAAGTTGAGAATGTTTTTATGCCCCTCTAACATTATCCCAGGACCATGCCAGGAATGTAACAGTGAGAGACACTGAGGTCTGCACAAATTTGTAGGAATGGGAGGAGTGAGTGAGTGAGTTTGGTTTTATGCTTCTTTTAGCAATATTCCAGCAATATCACGGCAGGGGACACCAGAAATAGGCTTCACACATTGTGCCCATGTGGGGGAATCAAACCCAGGTCTTCAGCGTTGGCGTGATGAGTGAAAGCTTTAACCACTCAGCTACCCCACAGCCCAGGAATGTAAAGAACCAAACCCTGTGCTTTACCCTCTGTGCTACTCCCCTGCCTTGACCAAGTCATCTAACATACCTGGGGTGATACAGTTAGAGTCAAATCTCTTCTCAGTTGGTAAAACCTCTCCTTTTTCCTGTGCCTTCTTTATCAAGTCTTCAGCTTCCCGAGCTGATCTGAAAAGGAAGAAAACAGACATTTACAATATTACTGAAAAGATTATTTCAGTTTTTACTGACTGACTGACTATGGTTTTACGCCGCACTCAGCAATATTCCAACTATATGACGGCGGTCAGTAAATAATCGAGCCTGGATCAGAAAATCCAGTGATCAACAGTATGAGCATCGATCTATGCAATTGGCATATGATGACATGCGTCAATCAAGTCAGCAAATCTGACCACCCGATCCTGATAGTCGCCTCTTACGACAAGCATGGGTTGCTGAAGATAAATTCTAACCCGGATCTTCATGGGTCTGTACTTAGGAAGGAACACATCACCATTAAATATTCACTAGCCACGTTATAGCTACTCGAGCTGCAGGCCAGCAGGCAGGTGGCTACTTGTGAATGGACAAATTTGTGGAGAAACAGATAGCCATGTCTGAACAAGAGTAAGTGAGTGAGTATGGTTTAACGTCGCTTTTAGCAACATTCCAGCAATATCATCACGGCAGGGGGACACCAGCAATGGGCTTCACACATTGTACCCATGTGGGGAATCGAACCCGGGGCTTTAACCACTAGGCTACCCCACCGTCCCGTCTGAACAAGAACATACTATGAACCAGCATCACAGTAGCAGAAAAGACATCGCACAGGCTTGGAGAACGCATGGCTTGAAAAGTGTATCCACTGAATATGTATCAACAATGTGTGTACATGTGGCATATTTACCTGAATCGTCGACCACGCTGTTGGTTCATCTTTGCCCGAGGAGCAACACCATCAACAGCCATATAGAAAACTTTCCTTGGTTTTATGATGCGAAACAAAAACTGAAAAGAATCATGTCAGATGACTGTTTTGGGAGGTTTTTTTATTATTAACATCAGATCTACATTTGTTAATTAGTATGCTGACATTAGCATCAATTTGTGCAGTTAGGATATGAAGAAATGATTCTGTGAGTCTGACCAAGCGATCCCGTAAGTCATTTTTACAAGCAAGGGTTGCTAAAGAGCAATTCTAACCTGTTTCTTTACAGGACAAGATTTCATGACTGAATGAGTGAATGTTGAGTGAGTGAGTTTAGTTTTACGCAGCACTCAGCAATAGTCCAGCTATATGGCGGCAGTTGTAAATAATCAAGCCTAGACCAGACAATCCAGTGATCAACAGCATGAGCATCAATCTGCACAATTGGGAACCGAGGACATGTGTCAACAAAGTCAGCGACCCTGACCACCCGATCCCGTTAGTCGCCTCCTTTGACAAGCATGGGTTACTGAAGATCAATATTCTAATATTCAGCTAGTTGCAGCTTCTCTCATGATAACATTACTCTCTTTCAGAAGATGTGCTTTCCATTATCAACATGCATAATAAAAATATCCCTATATGTTGGTTATGCTACAAATAATTTTCACATGTTTTCGCATTTTATGCTAAAATGATTATTAGTAATATTACAGCATACTAAAGTAAACAAGAAGTACTATAGAAGACAGTCCTTACCTCAATGTAATGAAAGATGTCAGAGAATATTTTCTCTTCTGTGATTCTGAAATGTGGGTTGTCATCTTCTGGATGTGAACAAATATGTATGATGCCGTTCATGTCCAGGTACAGGTTATCAAACTCAGGAATCTAAACACAGAAACAATCAGGTCTTTTAAGGACAGTGGTCAGTGGTTGTAAATTCCAGCATCCCATACGGAATTTGAACCCAAACTCTAATCATGAGGCACCTATTCATCAGCACAGGCAGTTATCCAAACCTCTCAGCCACCACGACTGACATGTATAAACTGTCACAGCTCCCATGGCTGACTCGATGAATACGCAATGCTTTTTAGAAAGTGGTTACATGTACTTTTATTATATGTGGGATTACACTTTTTCAGAAAAATACAGACTCTAGTACCTTTCGCGGTTGAGTCACTGACTTTGTGTGATGGTAATCAGGTGTCTCCGTCTGAGTTTGTGGGTGTAACATCCAGATGGTATACAACCCCAAAAAGAAGACTACCACCTTCACAATAGGTAACGATAGTAACTATAAGGATGGTTTTTTAGCTGCCCTTGCATATACTGGGGCATGAAAACATGTTTTGGGAATATATATTAAAAGTGTTCTGTTACGAAAAAGTGCCCTAAAGTGCTGATGTTCAAGGTAAGCTGCATTTATATACAGTGGAAGCTGTCAAAACCAGCAGCTGTCCAATCTGGCAAGTTGTCAACACTAGGGCTGTGCAATATTACCGGTAAACCAGTATATACCGGTACAGTATCTCGCGATACGATTATCATGATATGGTTCAGGTTCTGCAATATAATGGGCCATCCAGAAATAGCTCCCTTTGAATTATCTGCCCTTGATTATCACAGCAACAAAATGTGCTCTATAGCTACCAAATATACACTTATTTCTCTTGGTTTCATGTAACATTTTTATAAGTAGCTCCAAAAGTGCCAAATATTCTACCAAATGTTTTATGTTTTGTTTACTTGAATGATTTCATATGTGACGTTTTGGAGGAATTAAGTGGCCTCAAATGGACCAACTTTTAAGAAAAGCAAGATCTATGGATGTCAATTTATTGTTGTGAATAAAACGACGTTTCGAAGTGTATGTTCGCTCCTAAATCGAGTCATGAAGGAGCAAGCATACATTCAGAAACTTTGTGCTATTCACAATAAAGAAGGGGAGATCCATAAACCTTGCTTTTCTTATGCATGCCATTTCTAAATGCCCTTAAAAGATATGACCAATCAGAACCTCTGGCTCTAAGTGACCATTTTGCTTGTTTTATAATAGGACATATGTTATCAATTTATCATAACAGCCATAGTCTTATAAATATTGTAGGACTGACTGACTGACTGAGTGAAGAATCTTACTAATATATTGTCACATGAGATTTTAAGCTCAAGTAGTTCACCTAAATCATGTTTTTGTTTTCATTTTGCAATAGCTCATGTTAACATGTTTGTATTGGAGTTGAATCTGAATGAATCACTCACATACAGTAACAATAATTACATACTGCTTTGAAGTGCATTCTGTTCAAGAAAACAACGCTGATAATGAAAACCATGTTATACTATTAAATTTATCATAACGTTCCCACAACTTTGTTGCAATACAGTACGTCAATTAAATATTCTACATTAAGGCTCTATATCATTCATCTGTAAACCATTGGCATACAACCATACACAATGGGGACGGGGAGCCTGAAAGTATGGTGTAACAGCAACTAAGAAGACGATGTCACACACAGAGAGCTATTATGAATTAATGATGTACACACTTGGGCAGAAACCTTCCAATCAAATATCACAATATGTCTTGCAATATCTCTTAAATTATTGCAATATATCGCAATATGAGAATCAGGGCAACATCTTGCCCTAGTCAACACTGGCATAAAATCTCAGTCCCGTCTGTGGCTAGTACATTTATCATCATTTAAAAGCTCTGCAATCCAGCAGCTGTCAATTTTTTGACAGTGCCTTTGCCTAAGCGCCGCCTCTGAGCAAAGTTGTTGGAAAAGGCGCTATATAAATACTAACTTTATTATTATTATTATTTATAATTCCGGATATCAGTATGAAATGAGCCACCCGTAAATGTGTTTATACAGTGATCAGTGCTGTCTAATCCGGCACGTGGCAAGGTGTCAGCCACATGTGTATTGTCACCAATTAATCCTGCGTTGAAATAACAAGGGATTATGAACAAATCGCTCTCGAATCATCAATAGAGAAGAAACAAATGAGTTGATTTATCATGTTTATGTTACTAATAAAACTGAATATGAGCTCATTTCTAGTCGTAGGCAACCGTGTCACGTTGTCTAAACCGGTTTATTTCTTCAGTCCCGACGAGTGCCAGTTTAGACAGCTTCCACTGTACAAGCTTTCAGGATGGTGACCAACATTCATTCTGACTAAAAATATAGGTGTGTCAATGTGTTGTTGCTGTTTGATGAGTAACATTTGTCCTAATTTCATGGACCTAAAACTGATACCTTGTGTACCTTTATCATATTGTGTCACACTCTTGTCTAATATCCACACATATTGATACTGTTCCACAAATGTTCAAATAACATGGATTGGCCACGATAAAACGTTTCGCCAGTCCTGAGTACAGGTTACCATTCAGTATTTGTGTCAGCCATACAAAATCCACTTAATATCTTTAAAGCTTAACAGTTTGTGTTAGAGTTTTAGACTTTTTGCACTATACTTGTTACACTCTCTCTGACCTCTCTGATTGCAAAGTGATGAAACGTAATGTTTTGTTATGTGGCTTAAAATAAACGAAGACCAACAGTGTAAAATGACAGGTCACTAGCAAACATTGTTCATTCATTCAGAAAGCATTGGGAGTACTGCACTTTACAGCCAGTCCTTGGGACTGAGTGAGTGAGTGAGTTTAGTTTTACGCCGCACTCAGCAATATTCCAGCTATATGGCGGCGGTCTGTAAATAATCGAGTCTGGACCAGACAATCCAGTGATCAACAGCATGAGCATCGATCTGCGCAATTGGGAACCGATGACATGTGTCAACCAAGTCAGCGAAACTGACCACCCGATCCCGTTAGTCGCCTCTTACGACAAGATAGTCGCCTTTTTATGGCAAGCACATGGGTTGCTGAAGACCTATTCTACCCCCGGATCTTCACGGGTCCCTTGGGACTGAGAGTCACACAAATTACCAGTCCATGGTTAAAAAATCAACGGTAAATAAATGGCAAATAATGATAATCACGAACCAGAGGCCCAGATAAGCTGCATATTCAGGTAAAATACACATGTAAACTTTCCAATTACGCATTGAAAAATAATTGTTGCGTACCAATTACGCATTTAAAATGTTAGATACGCAAGAAGTTTAAAACAAATGCGTACGGAATATATTTATAAAAATCGCTTGCGTAATGAAAAAGACATCAATTGCTATCAAGTTGTACTGTTAGTACAGGACAAGTGCTGTACTGTCCATTTAGGATGAGGGAGTTTTTATGAACTCATTTCCATTATATTTAAGTTGGTTTTGATTAGGTATGACATAGTCATAAAGAAGAACATACCTGCTTAGTAAACTTACCCAGTCACATAATACTTAGGTGAGTAAAATGACTGAAATACGCACATATTTGAAAGCAGTGGGTAACGGCAAATTAAATACCCAGTCAACATTCATAATACCCACTCCAAAAAAATACAGTGGGTACAGTACCCACATAAGCTAAATCTTATCTGGAGCTCTGACGAACACTAATTTTAATGGGCACATTCTGGAATTAATGTACCTACAGTTTCCCAAGTTTCTATATTTTCAGGTTCGATTTCAGGCCACCATGCCTTGTCCTAACACAGTGACTTGAATTATACCCAAACTCTATTATCATGGCATGTGAAAACATTGGGAAAGTAAAATACTAAAAATACCATGCCCTATGTTGGCTGTTTACATATGCAAATTACGTCAACAAATGAATTTATTTCAGTGGGATCTCATGGCTAATCATAGCTTAAGCAAAGTATTCATCTTTGCTGTAAGTTCTGGAATTTTGTGAACCTGGTTTGAATCCTATCACCATTGCATCTTGCATGAGTCAAACATACTTCATCAAGAGAATCCTGTGACAACTATCAGGTCATCTGCATATTTACCATCCAAATAAAATAACCGGAAGTGACGTGGTAATATAAATGTTTGATAGTGTTATATGCTTGTACTGCGTGTTATAGTAAAAACAATAGCAATACCATGATAACAGAGAGTTGCTTCAAATCTTCAATTCAAATGAGGCTATCGTTTGTGACATTTATGAAAATAATTAAAGCATTGGGAGTACTGCACTTTACCGTGTGCACTTTTTCAGTTTAATTAACGCTGCTGGGGCTTGAACACGCTTCGCCGGATTACTGACTTCGTTAATTAGTGACGTAATTGGCGGACGCTCTACCTGGGGACCATGAGCACCATCACAGTTAATGAGTGCTCGTTTAACGGGTCATTTCGGCAGAAATGAAGCAGACTGACTGACAGAGTTAGGTTTTACGCCGCTATTAGCAATATTCCAGCAACATCACGGCAGGGGACACCAGAAATGGGCTTCACACATTGTACCCATATGGGGATTCGAACCCGGGTCTTCGGCGTGACGAGCCAACGCTTTAACCACTAGGCTACCCCACCGACCCCCGAAGTGAGGCGGAAGTGCGAGAAATGAAAACAAACCACTGCGCATGCGCAATGGTTTGTTTAGATTTCTCACGCTCCCGCCCCACTGTGCCATGCACTTCCCATTTATTTTTTTCGCGCCATTATTTCTTGGACTGTACTGACGAGTACCGGATGGTTTGAAATGTGTTTCAATTGGATATAATAGGATTATACTGCCCTAAGGTAAAATCAAACCCAAAATAAGAATCGGAAAGGGTCCCTAACCCTACCCCTCTCCCAACCCTAACCCTAAGGATCGGAAAGGGTGCCATACCCGAACCCTAACCCTAAGGATCAGAAAGAAAGGGTGCTAACCCCTAACCCAAGGATCGTAAAGGGTGCCTAACTCTTAGGTTAGCTCTATAGTGCGATAATTCCCCCGCAGCGAAGCAGTGAGGGCTGCGCCCGGTAAAGTGCATTCTAGCCAAAGCATTATTTATGACATAACTGAAGATTAAACATAAGTCAACTCTAAATATATGTAAAATGCCAAAATTTAGTTCACATTCATAATCCCCACGTAGACAACATAGACTACTGCGATAAGATACTGCTTTTCATAACATACACCGACGTAAATAAATTACTCACTGTCAGTAACAATTGTCAATGAAAAAATGTCAATCTGACCACGAGAGATAACTTTGATGGGGTTAAAGGACGCTGATATGCAGCTTCTATTTCGGGGCAATTGTCATCACATATGAGTACCTAAATCAAAATGATTCTCTGTTGTGCAACACCTCCCCTGAAAGCACCCTATCATCCTAACATATACATTCATATTTCAAGTATATTGGTGAACAAACAGATTTTATATCATAGATTTATAACCGAGTATTTATTCTTTACCATCGTGACATCATACAAGCTAGCTTCATTTAAATAAATATGCTTAACGCTTTCATAACTGACGTCGCCTGCTACTGATAGGCTGCTTACTTGGAACTCTTTGACAGTTTCGCTGAGACAAGGATAACGCTCGCTCATCCATCTGTAAAACTTTGGGACACCCATGTTGCTGACTTGATCTCTGTTGCAACAAGAACAACAGAAAATGCTGTGAGATAACTAAAACGTTGGCACAAGTTGTTTGTAAACAATATAACAAATGCTACAGTCAGGTTAACATTTTCACTTCTAAAGTCTCGTCCCTCACAAAGTCTCGCAGATGAGTCTGGGTACTATACTTCTACAACTAGTTATCATTTAAATCAACTATGGTTCTTATATGACGATTGATATCAACATTTTGAGGGTTCTATGTATTTTTTTAAATTGTAATTATTGAAGATTATTTGTAATTTTTATAATATTACAGGTATTCACTTGATTTAGAATTTATTTAAAGTTATATTTCAATTACACATATCTTACTAGTAAGTTGTGAAACGACTGTAAGATTAATGTTAACTATCTTCCAGGCAGAAGAGTATTTTACTTCCGGTTTTGTCGGCGAGCACGAACATCATCGAAAATGGAATTTGCTATGAGCTTGGTCCCCGAGAGTATTAAGTCACTCCCTGTGTACATGGTAAGAGAAACAATTTCCATTTGAGCGAATGTTTGGAATCTTGTTTAAGACGAAGAAAATTTTAAAATATCAGATGCAAGAGAACATGCCATATGGTCTATTCTCAGAAGCAAGAAACACGTCATCCCATTCTTCAATATTACCATATCCTGAAATTCAGGTAAAACATTATGATTTTGAACAGTAGCCAGCGAAGGTCACTGTCACACAGTTTACCAGACAGTTGATAAATAAATGCAATTTCACTTATATTGCAAAGTTCACATTTATATATTACACATGCAACTGTTTTTGTTTGTTAAATGGACAGTAATAAGCGAGCTGGAGCACTCTTTTATCTATTGTTATAGTTTTTGATAAAAGTTTACTGTGTAAGTCATGTTGTAGAATCACATTTCTTGAACATTGTGTTTGATAGTTCCACCCTTTCTGTAAGTAAATGCAATGCAAAACAAGGTGACAGATGTTCTTGCAGCCAGCTTAACCACCTCTGTTGATCATACTAAAGTTCACTGTCTTGTGGAACAATATATGTGATTGAACTAAGTGTTTGATAATGTTATTGACAATATACACTTGCATTCTCATGTATGAAGAGGAACACTTTTCTGGATAGACAACTTCTTTATTGCAATTTGCAATAGATGTGACGTTTCAATGTAGATGCTAACACCCTTATCAAGCAAGTGATGCACAACATTAAGCACAAGGAGAATGTATACATGAAGGGTATTTGGGTTCATACAACTGAAGAGGTTGATGTACAGTATGTTGACATTAGTGATGCAGATTGACCCTTCTTAGTAAACTTATGTAAGCTTAGAATCCTGCTCTTCATGGTTGGTATAGCATCATGGTATTGAAAAACATCATAACCCTAAGCACTGTATGATGTAAATCTGTTGAACTGATGGTGGTGTGTGGTCTTGTGCATAGAGGTCAGGTCACAAATCAGTTGAAGTTAGCAACTAGGCACAGCAACTGAGCACAGCTCCCAACTAGTCGGGAAACAGCAGACGCTGTTCCACCAGCCGTTTGTCACCCCTCGATGTGAAGCATAAAAATAGAACAATGCATGATAGTTTCTTAAACAACTTTTTCCGTGATCGATTATAAAACATCAGATGTCCCTATATTAGATGATAAGACATTTATCAGAGTGTTACACAGACTTCCAAAACTGTGGGTCCAGAGGACCCGCTGAAGTTAATCTCAACATGCCTGAGGGTCCTGTAAAAAAATTAAAGCAATGAAACACGTTTATATTTGTAATAAAGAATTAGGTAAATAGTAAAACAATGAGTGTTATTGTTTGTCATTCAGATCCAACATGATCGTTTTTCCTAATCCATTGTATGTTTTTGTGCTTTCTGGACATATTTTAGTGTCATGTTAACTCCTGAATTATAGACTTAACATGATTGAAAAATGCAATTCTAACTCAAATTTTGTCCTCGTTCAATACTGTTTACTTGAAAATATAACTAAACTATATATATTTTCATTGTGTTTTTGAAGGGCAGTTAAAGATGACTTGTACACATTGCTTGATAAAGAAATTAAAGGTGTCACAAGTGTGCATTCTAACATTTGAACATAATGAATTATGTCATGAAGAGATATATTTGTTTTCAGGATTTTGATGGACAGCGTCGGGCAGAGAAAACATTCCAGATCATCATTGTACTGTTTGGGGTAAGTAATCTGCTGTTATGATGTTATCAACACAGTCAAAATACATGAAAATGTTATGCAGAATTGCATCCCTCACTTGTGCAAAGGTCCAATGGGTTCAGATAAAGAATCTGCCCTGGTTACGATACTAAAGTGATCAGCGTGATGCTTTGGCTCATTGGTTTCAAATGGGTGGTAATGGTGGCCTAGTCATCATGCAGTGCCTGAAACCTGTGATGATGTGTTCGAATCCATGTTCACTTCTGGCTTTCCTCACATATTAAACTGACACCGATATACATGTAACAAGAATACTTAAGCAACAAGTTCACTCTCTTATTCACTCAAAGAATCGTGAGGTCTAAATTTTTTTTTGAAATTCCAATTACCTGACCGACCCTTAAAATTTGTCCTTATCCTGACTCATGCTCTTTTGCTTGTCTTCTTCTTCTTGCGAACATAGTGGAACACTTGTATCTCCCTAATTGAAGCTCCCTTCAATGTAAAATCACTAATTAGTACTCACCAAGAGTTGCCTCCCGCTTCATAAATGCGCGGGAAAGGAGGCGCCACCTCTTCCCTCATGCTTCACTCTCTCCTTCTTCGCCCAGTGTGCAGGATGTGAGAGCGCGCCTGTGTCTCCCTACACACTATATCCTTTGATTATTCTTAGTTAGTTACCTCTTGTAGTCATCTATAGAGGTTTAGCTAGTATCCTTCAACAATTATGTATTGATATTTATTCATATTTCTGCTGTTTATTCACGGGATTCCGTGATTGTTCAGCAGTTTACGTTGATGAAAATCTGTACTGTTTGTAGGTTACGTTTTTCTGCTGCTGATCCGCATTTAATATGCCCTAGCTGCACTGCACCATGTGCATTTTCTTCACGTTGCAGTTACTGTAATAATTTGTCTAACTCTGCGTTTAACAAATATTATCTTTGCGTCTTGAGACACGCAGCAGATAAGTCACGTAAACAGAGCCTAGCCATGGCTGATACATCGGAACCCCTAGCCAGTCAACTGCTGTCGGACGACCCCCTCCCGTCTGGTGTTCCGCTAGAGTTACCCTCAGAGGAGAGGCGTGGGACGCAGTCCGCCATCTCCATGAAGCGTCCTGCATCCCCAGATATCCTGTCGTCGCAGCCAAAGACTAAGAGGGCTTCTACTTCATCACAACGCAGACTTCGTACCCCCAGGGCAGCGTCTACCTCCAAGGGGAAACCAACGAAGTCTACTAGGACTTTCTCAGCCGAGATTGTTCCCGCCACAGAACTGGGCCTGTATGATGATCAGCCGATCATCATACCTGATGTACGTCACAAGAAACGACCGGTGTCGGCAACAGTGACGTCAGCGCAGATCTACACGCAGCCTGATGTACCAACGCTGATGTCTGACGATCTTCCTGAGGGTCCCGTCGCTACCAACGCAGATAGGGCACCACCTACATCTTCGCAGACCGTCCCAGATGACCTGGTTCTTCACATTATGAAGATGATGGAAGTCCGATATGGACTGGAGAGACAACCAGCCCAGAGCCTGAACCTTCGCGAAGGCTCCAACGTAGACGTCACCCCAGAGGGACCCCCCGTCAACGAAGGGGCTGCTATCAAGTCATTGCTGGGGAACCCACCTGCGCGAAGGACGTCACAGCCCACCTCTGCGAAGGACCCAGATGTTCAGCCTTCGCGCTAAGGACAGCTAGATTGTCACCTGCCTCGGACTCCGATGATCAACACTCACGAAGAGGTTCGCGAAGGAAGATCCTCTCATCCCCGGACTCTGACTCGGACCCCCAGCCTTTGCGAAGGTCAAGTCGTCACTCCCCAGGACCGGACTCAGATGAAGCTTCGCGAAGGGCACCAATTACAGGCTCCAAGTCATCTTCGTCTACAAGGTCATCGAGGGATTCCCTAAGAGGTTCGCGAATCTATCAACGTTCACCACATAGATCTCCACGAAGGTCACCATATAGACGCAGCTCGCCAGGCCGTTCTCCACGACAATCTCTTCGCCAGTCTCCACGTCGATCACCTCGTCGTTCACCTCGCCGATCTCCTCACAGGTCACCACGTCGATCTCCTCGCAGGTCATCACACCGTTCGCCTCACAAGTCTTCACGGAAGTCCCCAGACAGGTCTCCATTGACGTCAGCCTGCACAGCTGTAGAAGTATACAGGTCTCCACCTCAGTCACCATCGGAAGAGCATCAACCTCTTATTAGCGATCCTGTTACAGAAGATGATGGAGGCATCATATTCTCCGACGCAGAAATACGCTACTGGATGGTTAACAACCTGGACCTAGCTTTACCTTCCAAGAACGGTAACCCGGCCCACACTTATCTCATGAGGGAGGACAATGCAGACACCATCACCCTACCTCCGATCGACCTGATAGCAACGGTCTCCCAGAATCTGGACACAGCCTTCCATAAAGCCACTAAAGCCCAGGCGCCGCTCTTACCACAGTGCAACGCCAAAAAGTTCTCAACCCATAATATGGACCCATTTTTCAAGGCACAAGAAATTGATGATAACTTCAAAGTAATCAACGATGCCAAGAATAAGACCTACAAGATAGACGACCGCAAGCTAGTTCAGATCGAAACGATGACAAGGAGAATGTTCTTTGGCCTTAACAGATCAAGAACGATTAATGAAACTCTCATCACCAGATTTCGAGATTCTACATCAGAAGATGACAGAATGATTTACTCAGCCCTCCTTATGCAGTAGAAGGACCAGCAGTTCTTAACGGATCATCTTACATCAGTCTCCGCAGCGCTAACTCTGGCTCGTCGTCAAGGTCTCCTCGCTTCCTGTAGTTGGGGTGAACAGTTTACATCTCCACTCTACACAGCCCCGTGGTCTTCGCCATCTATCTTCGATGGAGGAATAGATAAAGTCTCTAAAGAAGTCACCAAGGATTCAAGGGAAGTCCTTATGATAAAGTCGATGGACACGCTAGCTAGCGTCATCAGGCAGACATCACAGAGATATTCAGGAAGATCAAATTTTACTGGCTTACAGAAAGCACGGGACAGGAAGATGGCCACCTCAAGAGGAAAAGATTCTTTTCGCCGCCCATACGGCAACTACAGAGGAGGATCTGGAAGAGGCAGGGCACCCAGAGGCTCCCGCAACTATAAACGATGAAAGGCGGGTTCGGAACGACTGGAGTCTTCCACCCCAAGTCGTTCCAGTACAACTATCACAAGTGGGTGGACGCCTTCAACTGCACTGGGAGAACTGGGGAATTCTACAAGACCCATATGTCTCCAACATCCTACAACACGGATATCGAATCCAACTACAGGCCACGTCTCCGCTTACAGTCAACCCTCACAAGTTCGACTTTCAGGCGCAACAACTACCAAAGTTACGAGAAGCTGTTTCATCTCTCCTAACCAAGCAGGCCATAGAAGTACTGGATCAAGTAAACATCGAACCAGGCTTCTACTCCCCAGTTTTCCTAGTGCCCAAGAAAAACTCCAAGGAAAAGTTCAGACTCATCTACAACATGAGCACGTTCAACGGAGATTATCTACGCAAACCGCCAACGTTTCGCATGATACATCTACCTCAACTACGGCACCTAGTTCGTCCCATGGACTACATGGCCAGTATAGATCTGCAGGATGCTTATCTACATATCCTGATACATCCCGAATCCAGGAAATACCTACGGTTTACACTAGACGGGCTGCATTATCAATGGAGAGTACTCCCATTTGGAATATCATCGGCCCCCTGGTTATTCACAAGAGTAACGAAACCCATCGTCACTTACCTACATCGTCTAGGGCTACGCAGTGCGTTCTACCTCGACGACGGGATTCAAGTAGATCAAGATCCACAGCGTCTCAAACTACAGTTAAACTTCATCATCAAGCTACTAACACAGCTAGGATGGTTAGTAAATCTACTCAAGTCGGACCTAGAACCTACGCAAGATCTGCAATTTCTAGGCATTCGATTTTTTATATTTTATACTTATCCTGACTCATGAGGTAAGCCCTCCCATCCTCCCCACATAACACTTTGGATTTCCCTGTAAATTCAAGTGTTGGGCTCGCTAAATCAGGAGAGAGTGAAGCATGAGGGAAGAGGTGGCGCCTCCTTTCCTGTGCATTTTGGAAGAGGGAGGCAACTCTTGGTGAGTACTAATTAGTGATTTTACATTGAAGGGAGCTTCAATTAGGGAGATACAAGTGTTCCACTATGTTCGCAAGAAGAAGAAGACAAGCAAAAGAGCATGAGTCAGGATAAGTATAAAATATCAATTTTATTCAGAAAATTACATTTCTGATGCCGACCCTTTTTTTTTAAGCGATATGAATAAGAATAAGCTTTCAGATACCATTGTTTTTTCCTGGCACCAACGGACACCGGTCATTCTGATAAAGAAAGTCGACTTGATGGCACAAGCTTGATTGAATAAACAATTACACATTGATAAATGTGTTATTAGTTCATACTTTACTTCTAAAATAATAAAGTAAAAAGCATATACTACCTACCTACCCTAAATTTTAAAGAGGTGTAATCGGAACCACAACATTTTTTTGTTTGGCTTGAGTCCCATTCAAAAGCTTGGAAACACTTGCACTGCATGTACCATGCTTGTTGTTATTGTCCACATGACCCCTGAAGATCTGGACTAGAATTGATCTTCAGTTACCCATACTTGTCATTATTGTTCACATGACCCATGAAGATCTGGACTAGAATTGATCTTCAGTTACCCATACTTGTCGTTATTTTTCACATGACCCATGAAGATCTGGACTAGAATTGATCTTCAGTTACCCATACTTGTCGTTATTGTTCACATGACCCATGAAGATCTGGACTAGAATTGATCTTCAGTTACCCATACTTGTCGTTATTGTTCATATGACCCATGAAGATCTGGACTAGAATTGATCTTCAGTTACCCATACTTGTCGTTATTGTTCACATGACCCATGAAGATCTGGACTAGAATTGATCTTCAGTTACCCATACTTGTCATTATTGTTCATATGACCCCTGAAGATCTGGACTAGAATTGATCTTCAGTTACCCATACTTGTCATTATTGTTCACATGACCCATGAAGATCTGGACTAGAATTGATCTTCAGTTACCCATACTTGTCGTAAGAGGCGACTGACGGGATCAGGTGGTCAGGCTCGCTGACTTGGTTGACACACGTCATCCTATCCCAATTGTGTAGATCGATGATCACTGTTGATCACAGGATTGTCTGGTCCAGACTCAATTATTTACAGACTGCTGTCAGTGCCATATAGCTGGAATACTGCGGAATGTGGCGTAAAACTAAACTCACTCACTATTGTTCATATGTAATGAAACATCTGCTATAACTGTTTCAGGCTGTTGGGTTTGTGTGGGGGTACATCTGCCAGCAGTTCTCACAGACGATGTACATTCTCCTGGCTGGATTTGCCCTGTCCTGCCTTGTAAGTTAACCCTCATGCCCACATGTGTCTACCCGTGGGGATTTAAATAGCCCTCCAGTAACTCCTTCAGTTGGAATACATTGCAGTACCCCATGCATAAACAAACCTGATAACTGATTCAGTAGATGTGAACCTGTAGAGATCCGGGTTAGAACATATATTCAGCAACCCATGCTTGCCATAAGAGGTGACTAAAGAGGTTGGGTGGTCAGGCTCGCTGACTTGGTTGATATGTGTCATCGTATCCCAATTGCGTAGATTGATGCTCATGCTGTTGATCACAGGAACGTCTGGTGCAGCTTGATTATTTACAGACCACTGCCACATAGCTGGAATATTGCTGAGTGTGGTGTTAAATAACAAACAAAATCGGTGTGTGGTACAATAAATCTTTTGTCCATCATTCATTTCACCCTTAACTATCACTCTTGTCTTTACATATTGTTCAATTTGTATTGGTGAAAAAATATCACACTTTTGCACACACATTGAGGGTGGGGAGGGGTGTAGATTCAGTAATCAATTTGTTTTTCAAATGTCACCTGCATTACGTGACTGTTGCAGCTCACCCTGCCCCCCTGGCCTATGTACCGACGTAAGCCCCTCCAGTGGCAGAAGCCCCGCCCCAAGGCTGATGGGGATGGTGCCAACACACAACAAAAATCAAAGAAGAAGAATAAGTAAATTCCAAATGGCGAGATTGTGTCATTTCTTCGTATTTGTGAATGTGTGCTTTGTCAATGTACCTCTTTTGAATGTGGATGAAAGGTTCTCGGATGCCTCATTAAATATTGTTTCGTTATACAGTGTTTTGTTGTGACTGCTTGCAGGAAATGATGTAAAAGAGAGGTCAAGTTTGATCAGTTAGCCTTTCCAGCAAATATCTGTCACAGGGATAGACGTAAGAAACCACTCAAGTGTGATTATGGGCACCCCTGATTATATTCAGCCGTGTTCTTTCAGGTGAAAATGTAAAACATAGAACAGTAACAATGAACAGTTTCAGGCTAGTTGCATTCTTGTGAAAGATTGTATTTCGACACAGTTTGTACAATACAACTTCTTCATTCAACATCCAGCCATCCCTGTTACATCTTCACAACCCAATCAGATCTCCAAGAAAACAATTGATCACCTTTGCTAGTATTTAGAGTTATCTCCCTTGTATCATAAGGGCTTGTCACCAACATGTGCTTCCCTTGAATCTTAGAAAAGATACCCAAGACAGATTAGGTACATTTGAGCTCCATTCGAAATGCAAAATGCTAAAAATATTTGCCTTGTGAAAATATACTAATGAAAGAGAGATAGTTTGCACTGAGATAGTTTTGAGATTGAAACTATTTCCAGAACAAAACTATGGTGGCACTTGAATCCAATATGACAGACAAACAACACCCTGGATAAACAAGGATGGTCCATGTGTAGACCATTAACATTTGTCAAAGTATGACACCTCTTTGTAATTGGAACTCATAGCTGGTCACAAACATACTTTCATTTCTTAGTCCATGTAAGTGGGACACATGGGTCATACTTTACAGATACATACAGAAAGTGAGTGAGTTTAGTTTTAGCAATATTCCAGCAATATCACAGCACAGGACACCAGAAATGGGCTTCACACATTGTACCAATGTGGGGAATTGAACCTGGGTTTTTGGCATGACGAGGTGAAGTCTTTAACCACTTGGGTACCCCATCGCCCCCATACATAAAGAAGCTCCTGTGAATCAGTGAGTGAGTTTAGTTTTACGCCACTTTTAGCAATATTCCAGCAATATCACAGCAGGGGACACCAGAAATGGGCTTCACACATTGTACCAATGTGGGGAATTGAACCTGGGTTTTTGGCATGACGAGGTGAAGTCTTTAACCACTTGGGTACCCCATCGCCCCCATACATAAAGAAGCTCCTGTGAATCAGTGAGTGAGTTTAGTTTTACGCCTCACTCAGCAATATTACAGCTATATGGCGGTTGTCTGAAGTAATTGTGTCTGGACCAGACAATCCAGTGATCAACAGCATGAGCATCGATCTGTGCAATTTGGAGCCGATGATGTGTCAACCACGTCAGCGAGCCTGACCACCCGATCCCGTTAGTCGCCGCTTACGACAAGCATGGGTTACTGAAGGTTCTCCAGTGAATGAGTGAGTGAATGTTGTTTAATGAAATATTCTACCTGTAAATCTGCAAATGTACATCTGGTCCAGTGTGGTATCTCGTTGGACAACAGTCATACAAACACTTGCACACACACCATGAAAGTGAAATATTTTTGACAACAGTAAGCATCTCTTGTGACACAAAAAAGACAAAAACCAAGGTAGCTAATATGTTCTGTTTATTTAATACTCTCTGGTTGTCTCCAGTGGTGTAAAATCAAGTAGGCATTATATACAAGAGTGAAAACTGAATACAACTTATCTAACACAAAAACCTGTAGTGTTATATAGGAATGATGTATATATGAGGAATCCTGGGTTGCTGTTTGCCATAAGTAGATGCCACTGTCAATGTTCATTAAATTGGACAAACCACTGTACGAATCATAGCACAAAGTCATCATAAAGTTATCATCTCTTCATAGTTCTTCCTGAATCTGCCTGTATTGTGAATGAGGTGACAGTGAGTGCATTTGGTCTAAAACTGCTTTGAATAGTATTCCTGTTCTGTCACATGTTTGTTTCATGAAGCAGGAAAGCACTAAGTGATAAAGATCTTGGACGTTTACCACTTCTGTGAAACCAATAATTACATATATGGTGCCCCGAACCTTGAAACATAATCAGGGTGAACCTGGATTCGAACCCGGGATGACTATGCCAGCCATGCCCTTGAATATTTGAAGTTTCAAAGTTTTAAAATTTAAAAATCAATACATCTTCATTTTGTCTTTAATTTTGAAACATTATGAAAATGTGTCCATAAACCAAAAATCTCATAGGTATTGTATTCTGGAATGTATTGTACAAGACCTGTCAGTGTCTCTCATGATTTCATGCCATGTTCAAACAGTACAAGTGTTATTTATTGTGATAATGGTCTCTCACAATGACAGATGACTATTACAAATCAATATCTTCACCGATATTACACATCCGAATGTCAGTTTGTATATTATAACTGTTTTGTCCCTAAAACGTGATAACAAGTGGTGAAACCATTTGATAGTTCAGACCACAGAAGCAGTTTGGATATGTTTGGATGGAAGTGAAACTCGGAAAACATCTCATAAGGCGATCTAGGATCATAACCGACTGGGAATGTTCTTGTCTAATCTGAAAGTAATTGTTCTCCACACCAACTGACACTGACAAAGTCACTCCCAACTGGTTACCGTTGAAATGTCCCCCTGGTACAAAACAACATATTGAGTTGGACCCAAATTTGTATTGCCATATAATTTTTGTGGCCAGACAGTAAGAGTACCCAGATTTTGTTCTCATTTAGCAGCATGATACATTCATGACATCAACCCACTTTGCAGAACAAGAGGAGATAACTTTTCACAAAATGGACTTCAACTCAAGGTCCCGTTTATCAATAGTCATGATATGGCTGAAATACTGCCGATATGACTTTAAATTTTAACTCACTCACTCACCTTTTTGACAATATAGGCTTGAAAAAAAGTACCAGGAAGTTCTGAGGGAATTGCGGCATGACAGTGATGGTGACATAAACTGATCATGGACCATTTACAACAGGGACTATTGCAAAGTAATCTGGGTACAACTTGATATTTTGTTTTGATCGCAGTGTACATTTTAAAGGTAAACTCATCAAGGGTGACCTTATCAGCCCAACTGACTTCATTGTTGATAACGTGTGCTGGCCACGATAACACATATTGTTAACTAACACTGAGACACATCTGAGCACACAATTGTAAAACATGAAGTACAGACAGGAAAAGTCCTCAAAAATTCATTACAAAATACTGTCTCCACATGCATGATAAAATGGTTTAATTTTTTCGTTGAAAGAATTCAACACACAACCATGACACAACCCAACTGGCTACGATTAGCAGTAGGAAACTAGTTTCGCTGACAATTTCACAAATGGTATTCGTTGCACTGGGTAAAAGCACTCGAGGCACCACACATTCTAACTCTACAAATCCAGTAGCAGGAAAATGATGTAATTCTTATCTCAAGACTAGAAACGTATAACTACATTCTGTAGAAGTCAAATCACTAGGAAAATGTCACAATAATATAATACACATTGGGAATGTTCTGCAAAGAGTCTGTTGACACTGTACTCCCTGCCATTACGGTATCTTGCCAGGTTTGTTACTTTATCGAACTCCCCCAACAACTGAAATCCTAAACACATGTTCTTGGAATATAATCTTACAGAAAATATTTGCATACAAACAGAAAAGATATTCATGATATAAGGAATTCTTTTCAAGAACCTTCATGAGCAGTTTAGTTTTCGATTAAGAAAATTACAAAAAAAATTCAATAAATATTTCCATAAACAAAATATTGGATAATAGACATGTAGTCATGTTATCAGAAAATAAAACATAAACTAAAGGCCCATGCTTTGTGACCAAGCTGTGGATAGCTGCATGCAGACACCACTGTTGGCAGGATATATCACACAAGTAGGATGACTTTAAGACAATGCTGAATCCATGTGTAGTTCATATGTCATATATACAGTTAACAAGAAAATGAAGAGCTCTCCAAACTACAGCACTAAATGATCTAAGTACATGTATGTGTATTTTGCAATAAGCAAACATGTAAAACTATTTCAAATTTAATTAAGAAAAGCCATTGTTAAGTAAAAGCCATACGATTGTACAAAGAAAAAAAAAGAAATAAACTGTAAATTATTTCATAAGGAAATAACAACTTATTTCAATGCAAAGAAAAAACATTTTCTATATAAAGGTACTAGGAATTATTTTCTCCTACAAAAATTACAGAGAAAAACAAGAATAGTATATGGTTTTAAAAATAAATACCAAATTGTCACTTCCAACAATACAGTTTATAGTGTATTGTGAGTTCTCTGAAACTAGCTGAATTAAGGGAGATTACAAAAAGAGAAATGTTTATTCAAGATTAACACTACCACACAACAATGTTTTCTATGCTCCACATCAAGACCTTGCGATAAGCATATCCCTGGGGACAATCAAACAGTGACATGTTGAAACCAGCTGTACATACAAAGTGGTGAGAAAGCCATCACTCATTAAGAAAACAAAATTTGGCACAAAAATTAAATTACATTTACAGAAACTAGGGACAAAACATAAATATTAGGCTAAAATTCCAGAGAAATTGTGAAAAAAAAATACAACAAAGAAAATGTTCAACAACAAATGTACTGATAAGCATAAATGACTTTGTTGATACAAGTATGAAATAAATAAAATAAATTACAGCTATTATATTGGTTAATTGTTGGACTGACTGACATGGAATGTATCACTAAAAAATGTTAGTTTCTGGATTAAGGTTTCATGTTTTCATCGATATCATGCATAAATTTTATTACAATATTCAACATAATCAATTTCATGGAGAACATTCTCCAAAGAAATAGACAACACTGTAGATATTATAAAATAGTTGTTATTATTCCAATTCATGTGATGAAAATAACTTCCTTATGGCTGTATTTTTTAAAAATCTGCTATGGGAGTTCACTTTATTTTTTCTGAACATACCTTAGATTTTATTTGATGGACAGTATCAATCATATGTTAAACATGTTTTATTAATCAATAGTGATTCAATGAAACAACACCCACAATCTATATGATCTTATAAGCACTGACATCAACAATTTCCCCACAGATAAACGAGACTAAATTATACTGACTACAGTTGGGTAGGAATGTTATTTGAGAATGGAATGAACTGGATTTATCGAACAAAGAACAGTATCTATTCTAACTGACATACTCATGATATATCTAGAAAATAGGATCGACAAGGATTTGTTTAGTTGAATATATAGACTTTGTTTTAAACTCTATTGTAATATATACATTAATATTGGAGTGCATTGGTGATGCTGGGATGAAGGTTAAGATGCCATAGGGATATTGAACAAGACACACACTGAGGGGCTCAACACTCAAACTCAAACTTGATTCTTGACGTAACATGATACAGCAAAGTCATGATATGATACGTATCGAACCATATCTAGGTCAAATCATGTGAAAAATTCCTGTCTATAAATAGTTCAGTGCAGTTTCGAAAGAGAAGCAACTTGTAGAAACAATCACAATGGCTATATTTCATAAGTAGTGACCTTGAAACACTGGTAATAACACAGTTTTCAAAACAACCGACATAAAAACTGGAGGGCCATTGTAAGAGTAGGAAGTAATTTATTTTAGAATTGTCAATTTTGATACAGAAAAAATGTATCTTGCATTGTATTGTCACATGAAAACTTGAATCGATATTCAACTTCATGTATCAAACCGCTTAATCATAGTTCCAAACCTCCCATTTCATGCAGTATCAAAGGCTGGTATTTGAGATGAAACTATCAAAAGCTTTAGAATTTCAAGAAATGAAGTCTGAGCAAATCGGAACTCACAGTGAAATATCTGCAAAAATCATGAAATGTCCCAGTATTTGAACAATACACAACATGATGAAATGCCAAAAAAATAATATTAATCATGCTCAAGGTATAATTCAGGTTTAAACAATGCTTTCTGTGACATGAAATACACAAATGATCTTGTCAGTTCAAAATGAGAATACTCTAGGTAAAGTTCATAATATGGTGCCATTATCGTGCCAAGTGTAATACTACTCAGTGTTAACTTGAAATTCTTTAAAAATCAAATTATTGAAAGTTCAAGGCAATCAGAGAGGTGACACCACACTACAGGGCCAATGAATAAAGTGCTTCTAATAGTACATCCAGTCAGAGCAAACCAAATCAGTTTCACTGAACATTTGTCTACTCTAAATTATAATTATTCTCTAAAACATGCTCATTGCTAAGTTTACTACCTGGTACAAATTAACTAGACATGGGTCCCGATCTACAAAGCATTTGTAGCGCTACGACATTCATAAGCCTATGATAAACTATAGAGTTACGACAGGTCGTAACGTTATGAATTCTTTGTGGATCTTCTCCCAGTGTGTATAGCATTACTGCAGTATTACAACCTATCATAACCAGATAGTCTGTCACAGGCTTACATATGCTGTAGTGCTACAAACACTTTGTGGCCCTGGGTCCCTTTCCACAAGACGATCTGGGCCTGTTTCATTATAAAGCGATCGTAGCGCTATGACTGTAGTAAGTCTAAGTCTGGGAGTTACGATCACCTTAGTACTAAGATCGACTTATGGATCGTGGCCCTGGGCTTTATGCTACTGCTAAACACACATATCCTCTGTATATCAAACCAACGGATGAGGGGGCCCCAAGACGGATTTGTGATTAAGACCTTGATGGTGAACTATTCAGCTAAAATGGTTGCATAGACAGGGTGGGGCCATCTGAGTGCTGCACAGAACTTGCAGTGACTCTTAGCGGTGATTTCAGATAGCTTGTCGCTGACTTCACTAAAGTAATGTTTTACGATCACAGTTTCAACAGTCCTCTGTATAGATTAAATACAATATAAACAGTCTCTTCATGCTGCTGTCCTCTCTATACAATTATACAGCCACATAGGTACATCTAAATAATAACTCCTGTAGATAAGTTAATGACTACAATGTAAATGTTCTGAAATATAACTCACCGACTATACACAAATATCTCGATACAAACTTCAGGGTTACAAAGGTACAACGACTACATGACTTGATAGGTACTGAGACAACAAAGGAATTCTGACATTAAGTAAACTGTGTTTGTATGACTCTGGGACATCTTGTGATCTGGTCACATGACTTGGTCAGGTGACCAAATCATGTGACATATTGCATGATCTGGCCTCCACACATACTGATGTACAGTTTTGGTGGAACACAAAACTATCACTGCTTAAAAGAAGTAACTCTTGGGACATGGAGTCACTTCACTTTGTACAAATACAGCACAGAGCGCTTGTGTTCAATAACATTCAAAGAACGATTCATTTTATTGCTCAGAGTATTAAATATGCAAACACTAGCAGAAAATCAGCAGATCATAAAGCATAATATAAACAGTTGGCTAAATCTGTAGTATATCTTGAACTATCCACAGATATCAGAGAATATACATTGATTTGAAGAAAATATATCACAGAAACTAAGCTCTGAAATTACAAGTTTTATGGCCTCCTTCATAGAGACTTTCGTACCACTGGCCATTATTGCAGTGTAAGTAGCAGTAAAGTCAACATGGCTGATTGTTACTCAACCAATAATATATCAGCATTTTCTTTTCAACAAGTGATTGACAGGCCAACTGCCAATGGAAACTCCTGCAGCCATCATTACAGCAGTATTTGCATGGTATCAGCAGTATTTTCTTGATGCATCACATGTACAATGATTTTAATATTACATCAATAATTATATAAATATTAAGATATATAATGGACAGGAGACAGTATAAGCCATTTGCTGCAGCAGTACAGAAAATGTTTGTTAGATATAACCTATGTATGTGTGGAGGCAAGATTGTTTGCTTCCCTGTGGGAATGGCCGGCTGGACCGGAATACTGGTCACATTACATATATAACTATACATATACATGTAGGTACAAAATAGCAAAATATCGTACACATATGGATAATTATAGTCACACTGAGAATTTCTTTCTGCGTGACTTCATGAAAGAAACTTAACAAAACAAGAAACATGAACAACTGTTTCTGCTGCCCTGGAAATTAGATTCCTTGATGGTTGCCACAGAAGCAGATCCCATGAAACGGTTGCCATGGAAACAGATCCACGAAAAGGTTGTTCTTCAGCAGAGTAGGACGTCACTGTTTGTAAACAGATGCAGCAGTTGTGATCAAAGTCAAAACAAATCAACAATAAACTTAACAAGGGAATGTGAATAGTTCATGGGTATTATCAGCAGTGATGGTGTTGCAAAAAATATACGTCAGCTCTTCTGCAACAGCGTTGCATATTGTAGTGTCAGCAGCGTCGCAGTGACAAATTAACATTGTATCAATGGTTCCCATGTTATAACAATGCTGTGTAAAGTGTAACATTGTTCATCACAATCTCTTCAGTTGAGCTCTTCCTGAGGATGTTTCATCTTGTGGGCTGCCATCTGTGCCGGTCCGAGGACAGCATGGTGACACGACGGGAATGTGCAGTGGTAGTGAGTCTGCTTTTTGTAGTAGGAACACATGGCATTCCTGCAGTCCTCACTGCCAGTGAATTTCTTAAAGCCATTGGAAGCAATACTGTCCATCTTGCTATGATATTTACGGTGAGCTTGAACTTTGCTGGAATCAGCACAGGCAAATGGGCACTTCAGACAGTGAAAGTGTGATGACTTTACAGAGAGTTCGCAACCCTCGCTTCCGCACGCCACAGACGGCGAAAGTGGTAGAACTCTCCATCCATTATGTTATCAAGTCTTTCATGACGTAGCACATGCTGGATGAAGCGTGTTCTATCACTGAAACCGTACCCACAGTCCTCCCTCATACAGTGATAATGTGTGGAGCTCTGGCGGTAGGTGCAGGAGGTATATCCGCAATCATCACCAGATCGATGTTTGGTGAACCCCTCCGGGATGACAATTTGTTCTTTAGAGCTCTGTGGACTTGACAATTTCCTCTGTTTGGCCATCACCATATCACTGTCAATGAAATCTTCATGTCTTGTAGCTATTCGTTTTCGTCCTGAACGACGGGACAAGGACAGATTGAGCCCAACCTCTGATTCCTCCTCCTCATCATTACCAGCATCTGACCCTCGTCCTTCATCAACCACCAGAGGACCATCTTCATAGCTGTCATAACTGTAGTTGTAGGAGTCGCTTCCATTAGTAGCCTCTTCTACCAGAGCCCCATCCATACTGTTCCCATTTATATCTTCATCATCTTCATCCTCATCCTCCAGATCCTCACTGCTGTTGTCTGATCCAAGAGTCTGTCTGCTTTGCAGCATGTTTGCAAAGGCTTCAGGATTGAGGTTGAGAGATGATGAAGCTGATAGCCCATAGTTGCCATCTTGCTGCTCATCCTCCTCAGCATTCTCCTCCTCCTCTTCTTCTTCCTCCTCATCCACTTCCTCCTCAATGGGCAGTGCAGTGTTGGAGAGGTCCAGACCCTTCATTGGATCAGGTTTGGGCATAAGGTGAACATGTTTGCCTGCTCTCCCTCCAGACTCAGATCTCCGGAATCGAAGTCCATGTTTACCCATGTGACAGCGCAGCCTGGCTGGGTCGGAGAAGGCTTGGTTACACTCCAGACAGTGATAATGATCCTTCTTCTTCAGCTTGCAGAACGGCCGTCCACAATTGGAGTTTAGAGCATAATGCATCTTGCTTCTCATCTGACCCCAGTTTGGTTGGGGAGGGGTGAGCCCTTTTTGTTGTAGCAGCACTGTGAGGGGCATGGCGTTGGCCATGGGAAGCTGCAACTGTCCTGCCATGAATAAAGTCGACATGTTATTGGGCAGACCAGGGATGGTTGACGGTAGGGGTTGTGCCACCATGGACTGGGTGTTGAGGGTATTGGCCATTGCAGACAGGGACTGGGTTGTGAGATTGCTAGCCATGGTCAAGGACATAGGTTGGCTGAAGACTGTTCCAGGGACTGTACTGCGTACGTCAGTCAGGGGAGACATAGGGTAGAAGGTGCCAGCTGCCTTAACAACGTTCTTGTTCTTCGGATCCAGCTGTAATCCTGGCATTGCAGGGACGATGGGGATGAAATTGGTCACTTCTTTCTTAGCTGAGGCTGGGACTGGAGCAATTTTGGGAACTGGTGGCATCTTGTGTTTTCTGTCATGCTGAACCATCGTGCTGTGACGGACAAATGAATAGTCACATTTGGGCTTCAGGCAATGGAAATGTCGATTAGCACGGTTGTTGTGACAGTGAGGACGTCTGCAGTCAATATTTCGGTCAAAGAACTCAAAGCCTTCTAAGATGTTGACAAAGTTATGAAAGTCTTTAGCATGAAGGTTGAGGACATCCATCCTGTCAGTGGCATGATGACATCGAGGTCGAGCACAGTGGAAATGATCCTTCATGTAATACATGCATTGTGTGTCCGGACAGGGTTCATCTGCGGCGAAGTGCTTGAATCCATTAATGACCTCAGCCGCTGGGTCAAACTTTCCCTCTGAGTACAGCTTCACCGATTCCTGGATCACCGATTCTGGCAGTTCCACTTTCGGAACATTTGGAATTTCAGTCCTGGGATACTTGGGAGGGCGACCTCGTCTTCGCTTTGAGAATTCGTCATCCTTGGAATTTCCAAACTTGCCTTTTCCGCCTGATGCCTTGGCATACTCATGGATGCGGTAATGTTCAAGTCGGGCAAATGCTGGTCCGGTGTGGGGAATAGCGTGGGAACAGCCAGTCTGAAAACAGAGTGATTGTTGTGAATATTCTTTTTTTTTCATTTCACTGTTGTTTCATTTCTTCTACCTCAAATATTGAATCACATTCATTTGATGGAAATCACATGAAGAAAACATCAAATACATGTCCTTTTGTTTGGCTACAGGTTTCTATTGGAAATATCATTTATGAATCTATTAACCAAGCTTCATTGTTTTACTCCTCCATTCAACACTGACATGTGGTATGTACGTACCCAGTTGCAGTGGTAGTGCTTCTGTTTAAGGTTGAACTGGCAGCTATCTGGACACGCCTGAAGCTCTTCGTACATCAGATACACCAGAGGTGTGATACGGTCCTGGATTTCATGGAACCTACAACACAGACAACACATCAGCACATTTGATGGAAAACAGCTGATAAGGCAAGCATCATCAGAGATAACTGTCATGAAAAGAGATATCAGGATGTCACTGATTGAGTACAGTTTTATGACCTGTTCTTTGAGGTGAACCCCGAAGACACGGGTTCGATTCCCCACATGGGTACAATGTGTGAAGAACATTTCTGGTGTATCCTGCCATGATATTAATGGAATATTGCTAAAGGCAGCGTAAAACCAAACTCACTCATTCACTCACTCTTTGGGTTGATAAGTGACTGCTACCTCACCATCCTTTCATGTGTTGTTTTCTTATGAATGAGTATTAAACTGGGATTTAAGTCACTTTATCAAGACATGTCAGCTCAGCGTGTAGAAAGTAATGTAAAACATTTTCCATTTCGGTTAAGCTAACAAGACCTGTTAAATCTGGTGGATTTTGATCAAAGAACCAGCCATACTATAGGAATTCAACTGCCTGGAGTATGTAGACAGGTGTAAAAACATCAGGTTGACTAAACAAGGCACTCACTTGGCATGTTCTCGCACTCCGTCCTTGGATCGGAAAAGAACCTGACATCCATCCACCCTGCAGTGGTAGTGGTCCTTGTACAGATACTGGCAGCGGGAGTTGCACGGGTCGTTTGCTGTGTACCTGACATACACAACACATCAGTGTTAACAGTAAATCACTCTTGATTTTACACACTAGTCTCAGCATGTTTACTACTCTTTGCATATATTACAAAAATATTAATTGCAATCATTGGCAGTGAAGCACTTCACACATTGTAATCAAGTGGGATCTAAACCAGATTTTAACACCTATTACCTACTTGGCTACACAAAACACCTCTACTTGTCTAAAGCTCATTTGTAAAATATCCATCCATACCAGGACTGACTGTCATCAACATTCTTTGAGAACAAGATGTTTTCATTTTTCAGCTTAATGAATTTATGAACAGATTCATTGAAATTACTTTCATCAAACATTCAAAATGCTTTAGTCACATGATATTTGAATGAAGGAACTCATATCAAAAGACCTGAATGCAGAAATTGAATGCAGTCTACAGAACATAATGAATGGACGGTGGATCTTGCAGTACAAATTGAACCTACCTGATGAGATACGCCTTCCAGGACTCATCTTTCTCCCTCTTCTCTGGAGATGGTCGTACCATTTCAACGCCATGGGATGGTGTGTTCTCACCAGATGATGGGGGATTGGAGTGATCCTTCTGGGGACTAATGGCAGATGGGATTGGCAAGGTCAGAGAATCATTCAGCTTTTCCTCTGAGACAATGGCCACATGATTCAACAGACCTGAACTCTGGTCAGTGGGCTCAGTTGGCTCAAGCTTGACCTTGACATTCCTCTCCATGATTGGAGGAGACATGCTGTTACTGTTCCCGCTGTCGGACCTTCTCCCTTTGGGTGATTCCATTTCCGTCTTGATTTTAACAGGCAAGGACATAGAGGGCACTACCTGAGGGGTCAAGTTTGTCCCAACTGGAAGGGGCACCTGTGCAAGAATCTGCCCAGCTCCCGACAGAGCAGAGACCCCTTGTAAGGAGCCCATTACCTGTTGGGCAGGGCGAGGCTGTGAGGGTGATCCCTTCTGGACCTGCCGGTAGGTGCGGTAGGCATTCTCGAAGTCTCGTCGTTCATGCTTACGCTTGTGCGAATACAGCTGAGCAGTTGAGTGTAGCACATAGTTGCAACCTGCAAGTCAGAAATGAATGTAAGCATGGGCCACGGTAGATAAATATTCAGGCAGCGAATCATTATCAACTTTGCAGTCTGTATTGAGATCTATTGATAAAACTTGAAAAATAATGAAGCTCAAATATGTTAGTGAGTAAAAACATATTGTTTTAAACAAAAGTAAAGCAGTATATGATGGTAATGAGACAACAGAACTGATAGTGGCCCGTCGTTAAGGTTGAGCGGTCCAATATCATTTGCAGCGGACCGCAAATTTCTGATAATGGGAGGGCCGTTTCATGATAATTCCATGTATTTTAGCTATAATAACATCTCACTCATCAAAATTACAGCTACATCATGGTGGACAGTAAATTATCAAAGTATATACCAGATATCATGGTGGGGGACACCAGAAATGGGCTTCACACATTGTACCCATGTGGGGATTCGAACCCGGGTCTTCGACGTGACGAGCCAACGCTTTAACCACTAGGCTACCCCACCGCCCCGAGAGGAGAATGAAATTTGAGGGCATACCGATCCACTGATGGGGTAATAATTTTGTATAGCACTCAAAGCATGCACTTGTGTATTGAACTAAAGGCATTACTATTGTCACTATCATTATTACAGCCATACAAGCATTAGATGCTTGGGACATATTCTGTTACAGGATCACATAGCCATCAACCATCTGTTTCTGATAAACGAGTAAGCAAAACAGACTCACCTGGTCTGATGCAGTGAATATGGTTGCTGATTTTGGAAAACCTGCAGGCCTTGTAGGAACAGTGCTCATACTTCATAAATTTCTTGAATCCATCCCGCCCCAGGATCTCATCCTTCTGATGGTAGCTCTTGTGCTTCTCTGTAACACAGGCAGTCACATACATGAGTTGACTTCACTCACACAATGTGTCTATCCTCCACCACCATTTGGTGGTCAATTCTACTTTTGTAAATGCTGTGGACCCATTGGCATCATAGCGTTCTCTTGAGCCTGATTCAAATGGGACACTTCTAAAAATAGTCATCCAATCAAATCACCCTCATGAGCATGAGGATGCATGTGTTAAGTTTGACAGGTTAACATAACTTCCAATACAAATGGGTACAGGGAATTTATTGTAACAGAATGGAGACATCCAAAATACATATAAGTCCTCAACTAGTCACAGAGCATTTTCATATGAATATTCTGTAATTAATACCAAAGATTCTAAAGAAACAACCAGGCACCACATGGCTCTTACGATGTATATAAAATTGTATCAGTTTATGGACAGATTTGACCAGACAGTGGAAAGGAGAATAAAGGGAGTTAACTCTGTCATACCCATGTCAGCTTTGTTCTTGAAAGTAAATTTGCAGCTTGTTCGTCGACAATGGAAATGTGTTGTGCGTTGACCATAGAATTGACATGAGGGTGTCCCACAATCCTCTGTGGCCCGGAATCGTTGAAAACCTTCCATGATGATAGCGGAGTCCTTGCGATGGTAGTTAGCATGCATCTGCACATCCGATGTGCTGATGTAGACCTTGTCACAGCCAGGCTGTAGGAAATAAATACTCCCTTATAGAGCTGAAGATCAAACACAGGTCTGCATGCAAAAAGTAAATATGGAAGTCATGACTTTCCAATTTACTGTCAGTTACTTCCGTGTAATTACTATGAACTGTTTCACTACTTATTTTCAACAGAGTGTCTTACTTATCTCCACAGTGAAATTTTCAAACTTAATATCATTTTTTTTAAACACCCAATTCTTTCATATGAGTTTAGTAAATCTGTCATGTCATAACAATAACTACAGTAATTTGTACAGGGGTGTTTTTATCTTTGTTTGAGTGAAAGATTTCAAATGTATGATTCCTGACGATTATCAATTGTCTGACCTGTAGACAGTGGTAGTGGGTCTGGCGTCCATTGTGCGTACACGTCCCAAACTTCTGGCTGCAGTCATCCATGGGGCTGAACCGGAGGAAGCCATGTTGGAGGGAATCATCTCGCTTCTTGTGCCATTTGAAATGACGGACCATTTCCTCCTTCTTGACAAACACCTTGAAGCTGCAGTCCATGCAGTGGTAGTGTTCCCTGTAGCCCAAGTCCTTGCAGTGGGTTCCGCCACAGTCCTCGCCATTGTGAAATCTGAAGTAAGCAGAGAGACCATGTGAACCAGCCCGAAACTTTTCAAGCACAACATGTCTCTCAAATTTCCCTATCCTTCATCCTTCTTGACAGATTTAACCCATGAATTGTTATGTAATCTACGCTTTGGTAACAGGATCAATGAGTGAGGAAATACCAGCACATGTAAGAAAGGACCCAAATAAAAATCACAACAAACAGTCATTAAAGTTTCATTACTTCCTGGTTCACTGCCAAACACTCTCACTTAAATTTATGGCCACCATGTACCTACTAATGAAAGAGACGGATACAAATGCCTCCTATCCTTACAGTATTCCCTAAAAATACTATATAAATGATCCTTGTCAACAGTCTTCCTTCATGGTAATCACATCAGTCCATCATGTACACAGAAGACGTTCAAAACAGAACATTCAAACTGGATTGAATAAGAAAATCTGTAATTTTATGATAAAACTGATATTTTATACTTATCCTGACTCATGATCCAAACCACTTTTCGAAAACATTTGGATGAAATCTAATAATTGATATAATGTGGCATAAAACACAGGTATAAAAATTAGCATCGATTCAGATTTATTTTCAGGGGGTGTCACTTTACAGACAGTGATATACGGTATGTGAGCATTGATACCGTTCCAAATGAGGACTAAAGGGGATGTTAGGCTAGAATTACTCCCCAGCACTGATTCTTGTTGTGAAAGGGGACAAAATCAGATCAGGTGGTCAGCATGAAACCATGTCAACAGTGGATCGTTGCTCATAATATCAATCACTGGTTTGACTGGAAATAAATTACAGGTTACTTTGGAATAATACTCATTGTGCCATTAAACACTGATAAGCTACTGCACAGCTGGAGTATTACCCAGTATGGCATGGGATAATGAGTGAGTGTGAGTGAGTTTAGCTTTATACCGCTTTTAGCAATATTCCAGCAATATCACAGCAGGGGAGACCAGAAAAGGGCTTCACACCATGGAATAATGACAAAAAATATGAAAACAAATGGCAGCGTACCGCTTGAGATACTTGGTGTAGTCGGGGTTGAAAGCTTTCCCTGAGGAGGAGCTGGTGTGAGACAGTTTGTGCCCAACTGGGGTCAGGCGGAACTTGGAAAACTCCCCACCAACGTTCGACTTACTGGATGATGGACTTGACTTCAAACCTGAAACAGATATGTTTCACATTAACAGGATATGGTGGTGAATAACATGGGATGGTGATGAATAACATGGGATGGTGAATAACATGGGATAGTGGTGAATAACATGGGATGGTGAATAACATGGGATGGTGGTGAATAACATGGGATGGTGAATAACATGGGATGGTGGTGAATAACATGGGATGGTAAATAACATGGGATGGTGGTGAATAACAGGGGATGGTGATGGAACATGGTGGTGAATAACATGGGATGGTGAAATAACATGGGATGGTGAATAACATGGGATGGTGATGAATAACATGGGATGGTAAATAACACGGGATGGTGGTGAATAACATGGGATGGTGATGAATAACATGGGATGGTGGTGAATAACATGGGATGGTGGTGAATAACATGGGATGGTGAATAACATGGGATGGTGGTGAATAACATGGGATGGTGATGAATAACATGGGATGGTGGTGAATAACATGGGATGGTGAATAACATGGGATGGTGATGAATAACATGGGATGGTGAATAACATGGGATGGTGGTGAATAACATGGGATGGTGGTGAATAACATGGGATGGTGAATAATAACATGGGATGATGGTGAATAACATGGGAATAACATGGGATGGTGGTGAATAACATGGGATGGTGGTGAATAACATGGGATGGTGATGAATAACATGGGATGGTGGTGAATAACATGGGATGGTGAATAACATGGGATGGTGGTGAATAACATGGGATGGTGGTGAATAACATGGGATGGTGGTGAATAACATGGGATGGTGGTGAATAACATGGGATGGTGATGAATAACATGGGATGGTGGTGAATAACATGGGATGGTGAATAACATGGGATGGTGGTGAATAACATGGGATGGTGGTGAATAACATGGGATGGTGAATAACATGGGATGGTGGTGAATAACATGGGATGGTAGTGAATAACATGGGATGGTGATGAATAACATGGGATGGTGGTGAATAACATGGGATGGTGGTGTAATGGCAGTGAGGAGTTTAAATTCGCATTCGTCATTATTGCTCTAATATAGTTTATGTGCCTGTATTAGTCAAAAACTCGAGACCATAGGACAGGTTTTTATATATAAGCCACCCCCAGCCAATATACTGACTCTACCTTGTTTATCTCCATAATTCTGAGCACCAGGTAGGGTAACATTGAGTCCTATCTCTTAACATCTTTTTGGTCCGAGGGGAAGGGAATCAAACCACCCTTTGCTCTTCAGGCAGACGCTCGATCCACTAGACCACAGAGGCAATCTTTGACTGTGTTTATTGTTATACCTCTTGAGAATCTTTCAGTTCCATCGGGTAATCTATACTACTTGACAAAACACTTTTTAACATAGATTCCCAAATCAAGTGACTTGGATATTGTCTCGTCACATGAACAGTATTGACCTGTCACATTATGAATAATGACTCGTCTGCTATAAAACAAGATGGTGTCTGTTAATGAAAATTTCATGATTACTGTAATAAGGACAGTTCAAGGGTTTCATACACTAAAAGGTAAACTGTGGTATAACAAAACAAATGATTTCTCTTCATTCAGTCAAAATGCGAAAATAAGAACCCCTTCAGCAGTCGAACCATCAGTGGTCGGGTCCTCAAGTCCTTGTTTTCAAATATTAACCTCATCAAGAGTAATTACTTGTATAATCTAACTTAGATAAATTTCAGGATCAATAATCTTTAGGCCGTTTTCATTAAACCTGTGATTTGGCTTCCTTTTCCATTTTTGATAGGTGCTAATTTTGATAAGTGATAATTTTTGCCATTGATCTGAAATTCCTTTCTTCACAACTTAATACTAATGTCAAGAGTTAAAATTCACTTTTTTCCATCAAAAAGACTGTATATTTGACATGGGGTAAGAATAACATAGATAGCCCAAATCATGTGTAATTTCTGACAGCATGCAAACCCTCAATAAAGAGAGAGATATTACACACATAGCCATAAGCATGAAATGAGAGTAATGAGCAAGCCTACATTTTAATGAGCATTTCATAAGAAACCGGTTAACTCATGACTATACATGTCATGCATTGGTTACCCGACTACACTGAAGGCTCTGACCTGATACATACTGAAAGACGATCTATTCCCATATACTTGATATATAATCTCCTAGACAACCAACAGGCAGGCTGGCCCCCTTTCAGAGTCCGGCAATAGCAGTCTCATAAAACTGACTTGCATAAAGCTCACATTTACTGACGAAAACTTAATTTCAATCGAACAATTCTCACGTTGCTTTGCGTAAATACTGAAATTTGCATAGAACACAATGCAGTATAAAGCATTTGAAAATGTTCGGGAGAATGCTGAGTTGAGAAATGTGAGAAGCATGTCATCGTTGAGAGTGACTTTGAGAGAAATATTGTGGGAGTCATTATATACAGCTGGCTATTAGCCTACTTTGGTACACATTCGTACATCTTATCATGTCCATGAATATCCCCTGTCCCTGCTTGTTGGGTATCATAGAAACACGGTCATTGCCTGTACACCATTTAGAAAGCAACAAAATCATATCAAGCTTGCTTAATCAAGGAACTATGGTCTTGGATAAAGTGCAAGTTCAGCATTATATTGTATACATTATAACACTTAAGAAATTATTATAAGTGTTCAAGATTGTGAATATAGTCATGGGGTCTTTGTTATGTTAAAACAAAATCTAGAAAGAATTCACCTATGTTAGAATACTGCAACAGAACTCCCAACTTGTAACACTATGAGTATAGGCAACAGAAATTACTTCAAAAGTCTGGGGATAAGGGCTTGACATATTTATTTGTCAATGCAATCATAAAGTGGTATTGATTAATTTTTATGTGTAAACAGGAAAATGCCAACATTTTGTAACTTTCATACAATTTTGTGACAACTATAATTACATAATCAATAAAGTTAGATGATAAATGGCAACAGCTGATCACCCGGTACAGAATCTACCTCTTGTACATTGAATCACAATTTGAAATTTTGAACACTTCACACCAAGATACCTCAAGCTCTCCATTCAAACTTACATCATGAAAACTGAGTTCAATGTTCCAAATATAGCAGGCACATATTGTGTAATATAAATGTCAAACAGGAATGTGGGAAATATAGGTTGAAAGGAACAATAATCATTTAACATCCTCCAAATTTTTCACGAAATGTGAATGACTGGACTTGAGTTTAATTGGTGGCACTAACCCAGTGAACTGTCGGAGGTATGGGGGGGGAGGTACTTGAACCACTCGCACACCACTTGATGCTGAGGGCCTTATACACACACAGCATGCTGCAATGCATGTGCATTGTGTGAGACACAGGCCACAAGATGCTTATCATGAATCTAGTTCAACAGCTCTGTGTCTTACAGTCTTGGTTGCATCAGTGACGTAGAATCACATCATCATTGAACAGACACCCTATCCTGTGATGCATGTGCATTGTGTGAGACACAGGCCACAAGATGCTTATCATGAATCTAGTTAAACAGCTCTGTGTCTTACAGTCTAGGTTGCATCAGTGACGTAGAATCACATCATCATTGAACAGACACCCTATCCTGTGATGCATGTGCATTGTGTGAGACACAGGCCACAAGATGCTTATCATGAATCTAGTTAAACAGCTCTGTGTCTTACAGTCTAGGTTGCATCAGTGACGTAGAATCACATCATCATTGAACAGACACCCTATCCTGTGATGCATGTGCATTGTGTGAGACACAGGCCACAAGATGCTTATCATGAATCTAGTTGAACAGCTCTGTGTCTTACAGTCTAGGTTGCATCAGTGACGTAGAATCACATCATCATTGAACAGACACCCTATCCTGTGATGCATGTGCATTGTGTGAGACACAGGCCACAAGATGCTTATCATGAATCTAGTTGAACAGCTCTGTGTCTTACAGTCTAGGTTGCATCAGTGAAGTAGAATCACATCGTCATCAAACACTTGCTATCCTGTGATGCATGTGCATGGGGTCATGAAACACCTATTCAGTGTTTGAACTGAGGCCATCCATACTTTTTATGTGTTTCTCATCTCTATCCTAAACCAGCAAGACAGCAGACGAGTGAAATAAAAAATCTAAAATACCGAAAGAATTGTTTATCACTAATTATGTAAGGTTTTGCATGAAATTTTAATATTTACAACACAACAGTTTAGAGTAAAGAATGAAGTAGATCGTTATATACATAGTTTACTGTACAGATGAAGAAAACTCAAGCTGACCTGTGTTTTAATGAGTGCAAGGGTAGGAATTTTGTTTAATTACATCAAGGCATAAATTTCCACAATTCCAGAAAATTGTGATATGAAAACATTATTATTTCACGTTGGAATGAAAAATCAGGCCAGGCGGGACAGGAAACAAAAACTGAGAGAGAGACAGCCTAACGGGGGAACTGAGGTCCTTGAGGTTTGTCCCCGTAGTATTTCAGTTTTAGACCTCCTAAATCTTCACTTTGAACTTTTTAACTTCAGGCCAATGGAAAGGACTCTCCTGCTCATGTTTTCTCACTGTGTATATATGGAGGATGATGATCTATGGAAGTCTTCCATTATGTACCTGACAGTCTCATTTGTAGCACTGATGTACAATTACAGGGTGCAAAATGACCACAAGTATGCAGGTCCAAGGCTTGTCCTCTAGTCCATGTCTAAGACGTCAAACATACAGGATGTTATCTCTGCCATGACACCACCTCATTTACATTTTCATGGTTCAATCACCTTCTCCGTTTAGTAACTTCCCCCTTGGACACCATTCACTGTCTTTTGGGTACTTTCGTTATAAGACAGTTACCATATTAACCATAATAGCTACAGACTGACTGACTGAGTTTGGTTTTACGCCGCTTTTAGCAATATTCCAGCAATATCACGGCGGGGAACACCAGAAATGGGCTTCACTCATTGTACCCATGTGGGGATTCTTCGGCGTGACGAGCCAACGCTTTAACCACTAGGCCACCCCACCGCCCCTAATAGCTACAGAAGGCACTTAGAAAATTGACAAATGAGGTGCTTATAAAAATCATGTACAATTGGCATATCTGTTTTTGAAGATAGGTTGTTAGAGAACAATCTTGATTTAAATGTCGATGAAATATTTTTAATGATAGTTACTAGGTATATTCCTCAGACAATGTTGTCTTTTCTGAAAAAAACACTGCCAATAACAAGAAAATCATTATTGTCCTGCAAACTTTAGAGCTTAGTTTTGGGAGTTAAAGTCATGCAGAATTACACACAGAATGTTGTTGAAGCCTGTTAGGGGGACATCTTGGAGTGAGGCACCTAATGCTGCAAATACTGTAATGTATGTCTTTGGGTATTCCATAGTGAAATATTCTACATATTGGACATATACCTCAGGTGTGAGATTCCACTACAGCTTAAAATCTAACTTGGATCTGTATGCAATGCTTAAGTTAGAATTATTCTATCGATCTCATTATGGTTTTGAATTTTCATCAAAGTGTGTGTGTGTGTTGTTTTACGATGCTTTTAGCAATATTCCAGCAGTATTCCAGCAATATCACGGCAGGGGATACCAGAAATGGGCTTCACACATTATGCCCTTGTGGGGAATTGAACCCAGTTCTTCTGCGTGAAGAGCAAACGCTTAACCACTAGGCTACCCCACTGCCCCTTTCATCAAAGCATCAGAGAATAACCAATGTGCTACAAGGAATTACTGATTATCTGTTCCAGCTGAAAGAATGGTGTCAATCCCAAGCTTTCAGCGAGGGACTTAGAGCATTCATTCCAGAGGGACAGACAATCTGTGATTCTTTGTCGGTTGTTGTTATTCTATATATTACTGAATGACATTTTGATGGAGAGGCTGAAATAAAGTCAACATTCCAGAGAAACTACATTAAAGGCAGCCAATTGTCCAGATGAAGTTATATAATTGATTTCTGAAGTCATATAGACCCGTGAAGATCCGGGGTAGAATAGGTCTTCAGCAACCCATACTTGCCACAAAAGGCGACTATGCTTGTCGTAAGAGGTGACTAACAGGATCGGGTGGTCAGACTCGCTGACTTGGTTGACATGTCATCGGTTCCCAATTGCGCAGATCGATGCTCATGCTGTTGATCACTGGATTGTCTGGTCCAGACTCGAATATTTACAGACCGCCGCCATATAGCTGGAATATTGCTGAGTGCGCGTGAAACTAAACTCACTCACTCACTGAAGTCATATCATGGTTTTCTTAACAATATACACATTGTGATGTCACATGACTTCATCTGACCAATCAGCATTCAAAATCGCTAAAGCGCACATATACAAATATAGTAGTTATCACATGTTCATACCAGCCTGACATTCTAAAAACAGAAATGACAAATAGTTGAAAAGATACATGTCTATTTATGCAAAGCGGAATGCAACAGTGTGATAAATGCAAGACAAAAGCAACAAGAGTGAAACACTAAGCCAAGGGAAGCAACTCACCTGCATGGTGCTGGGTGGCAGATGAGGAAGACTGGGTGAGCGGAGGGCTGAGTTTGATGCTGGGTGTGATGGGTTTGAAGATTGTAGCAGGGTTGGAAGAGGGGGAAGGGGTGCTATGTGGGTGACCTGAGAGACAGAGAAAGATGCAACAGCTAATTACACAGAAAACATTCCATTCATAAACATAGACAAAACTTGTGAAAGTATTGCAGATCAATATGATTTGTTTGTTGCATAAAGGTACAGTCAGCAATATTTATGGCCACCTGTAATTCAGGTCTATCCCTGACAGGCAGTGGCTGATATTATGGAAACCACAATGGCTCATTCCAGTGAAGGCAACAAGCCTGATGACCTGATTCAATTCAGCTGCCATCTTCATGGGGTACAAATTTGCATGAATGTTAAATTTTAGAAGGAAATATGGGAGAGTCCTCCTGTGTGACGCCTTTACATGCAAGACATTCTGTACTTTGGAGGGCGACTTAGTCAAGTTTTACACTGCTTTCAGCAATATTCCAGCAATATCATGGCAGGTTCTATCAGAAATTGGCTTCACGCATTGCATCCCAGAATAGGGAATCAACCCGGGCTTTCAGAGTGACATACATGTGAAAGCTTTAACCACTGGGCTACACAATCACCCTGTACATCTGTGACCTATATGAGACACTTATTTACATCTATGATCTATATGAGTGAGTTTGGTTTAACACTGTTTTTAGCAATATTCCAGCAATATCACGGCAGGGGCCACCAGAAAATGGTCTTCACACATTGTACCCACGTGGGAAATCGAACCCAGGTCTCCGGCGTGACGAGTGAACGCTTTAACCATTAAATTATAGGAGATGCTCATAGTACATCTGATATCTGTGATACATTTCCCTACATCTGTGATCTATATGTGGTATTTCTGTACAGATCATGTGATCTATTGTTTGAATGTCTGATGCTGTAGAGCCTCAAGTCAATTTGTCAACATTTACAGGTGATTTCACAAGGGAACAAAACAAAATATTTGAAAGATGTCATTTTTACTGTCTGTAGGGCGAAACAATCTGAACAATTCTGTCATTTTGGGAGATTAAAATACGTTTCACATTGTACACATTAGTAATATTTACTGTAACCTGAATAAATCAGTTAATACAAAGTCTACATTCTCCACATGTACTATTGTAAATAATCTACATCCATGTCATAAACAGTGAAAACATCTTTAATGATGCTGCTTGTCATGCTCAGAAGACTCTTGATACAGATGTAACCACACAAACTCAAGCTACACTCGACGAAACACAATATGCACCACACTGAAATCATACACTTTCAAAATATTTGACTCAAAGTTCGGTCTCCACACACCACAAAAACCCCAGGAGGTAGAATTTCACACTGTGTTTTATATAGTGTACAGTATCTCAACAAACAGCCTGTTATATTTGTACAGATTTCCACACGATATGTTAAAGTTGCAGTCCAAAAGAGGCAGGATAGGAGAAGAAATGAAAGATGATGTTTCACATTTCCAGAAAGAGGGAAGTATCGTGTGTCGGAGACCACATGTCCAGGCTACAAAGTCACACATGAAACCCAAAACTGTATTTTTGATTCAAAACCTTTGTTTTCAGATAACAGGGCAATTATGGTCTTATCAGACGACAGGGTAAAGTGACACAGCGACCTAAGCCTGGGCAATTTAGGAACAAAAAAAATCTCTTTCCACACGTGGTATGATCAAATATGTAAAATTATCTAGGACATGAAGATATCTCTACTTTACCACCATAATTTCCCTTTCAAGTTGAGCTAATGACTTTTATGTTTGTGCTTTCTACACCATGGTTCTTCAATGTGGCATCCTATCAGTTACGTTTCATAATGCAAGTGAGTGAGTGAGTGAGTGAGTGAGTGAGTGAGTGAGTGAGTGAGTGAGTGAGTGAGTGAGTGAGTGAGTGAGTGAGTGAGAGGAGTGAGTGAGTGAGTGAGTGAGTGAGTGAGTGAGTGAGTGAGGTGGAGTGAGTGGTGAGTGAGTGAGTGAGTGAGTGAGTGAGTGAGTGAGTGAGTGAGTGAGAGTGGGTGGGTGGGTGGTTGAGCGAGTCATTTACTCCATATAACATTCTTGGAGAAACAAAATTACATTCAAATTTGAATTCATTCTGGAACTGGAACATGAAACACGAAAAAAGATGAATGCAACACTGATACTAGTTAAACAACATAAACGACTTTAAGGTTAAACAAAACATAGTTTGTGCTGAAACATTTGATTAAGATTGTTTGCCTGAAGTCTTTAAGCATCATTGTCAGCTGAGTTTTGTCTTGTCATATGGACTTTTATAAGCTAATACTACCAGATTAGAGAAACTTTAGACAACTCTGACTTCACCCTAATGACTAAAGTCGAGGATTTGATACACATGGGATCCATGTCAATGATTTTCCATAAAGATGTCCAATGTTTTGAATTTATTCAGGCCCATTCTGTAATAAATCTTATAATGCAAACAAGAGTTTTAATGCTCCATAAATTAAAAAACAACACACCAAAATAAAATAAAATCCAGATCTAGTATTAAGAACTGGAAAAATCATAAAAGATGTGTCCATATATAATGTATTCATAAAAGATTTTAATAAAAAAATATATTTCAATAACTAGAGCCTTCCTCCAGTGAACATCAATGTACCAATATGTACAAATGGCTGTCTTTCTGGGTAAGAGTATTGATCAACTTTAAGGACATATAAACGGATGTCATATACATTCCCGACAACTATTCACACACTTTACAGTGTTGTACACTATAAGATGGTATACAGTACACAGCCCACCACTGATTTCTATACCTGTAAACATACAACAGTGTATTGCCAGGAAACCACAGGTTACAACTTGTATGTAACTTACACAATCAAATGCACATTTATATGCTCGTGTAACGCTGACTGCAGTCGATGGTTTTACTTCACTAAATAGCTTTTGTGGAATTTCTTAGCTGACAGATACGTCTTTACAAATTAGGTGATTGGGACTATATGCACCGACTATGGAAACGCTAACCATTTATAAAACGTGTTAACACAAACACCCTAAGTGGAAAGAAGATAGAGCAATATGACGCAAGTGTTCATTCACTGCAAAAGATTTTGTCCTCAATATCAAAGCCAGTCTTTTCATGATTGTAAAATATGGCCTTTTTGGAACTTGTGAGTAAAATTACCTTTTCAGAAAAAAATGTTTTGGCTTTGCTCCAGGACTGTTGAAGAAGAGTTGGTGGGACAAAAGGGACGACAGCATTCCTCGCAAGTGCACAAATAACATATTGAATTGTCACAAAACAAATCTCGCAGCTTTGGTTTGGTCTTGATATATTTACATTTCATTTCTCTCAAACTTGTAGGCCCAAAACCATAAACTCTGTGCAAAATATGCGTGGTTAGCCGAGGTGACATTTTGCGAAATGTATACTTGTGATCTGGACTAGATTTGGGTGTTAGCTGTTTAACTGTCAATTCAAAATATGTACGTCACAAATAAAGCTTGATCACAGCATTCACTTTGAACTCGACAGAAAAATACATTCCTGTCTAGATATTTTCTCAATGCAAAAAATAAATATGTATCCAGTGTGTAGCATAAAGACAAAAGTTACATGGATTAAGATTTGAACAGCGTCAGGTTTGGGAATTGCTGGAGCTGGGATAAATTGGCTGGGAATTTCTCTGTTGGGTGAGACAGAGCCTTGAGAAGACAAAAGTTTTGGGAAGTGTGTACCAGAGATCTTAAAGAGGAGTTTAATAGTTGGGATAGCTGGCTGAGAAAATTTTGAGATTTTCACAAGAAAATAAGATCCTGCTGAGGAAAAAAAAGAGATATTTTTTATTAAGTTTTAAGAAGCTTCCCTGGAAATACGACAACAATCCTCTTGTATAGAATGACACACAAGTCATGATTTAGGGATGGGTTAAAATGAATTATGCACTCTCTGGGAACAATGGACACAAGTAGTACAGTCACAGTGGTTACCCTGATATGAAATATGAATGTATTGTTAAGGTAAGGAACAGCTTGGTATGGCTGCACACCTTTACATCAGACCTGTAGGCCAGGCTGGGAGAGGCAAACCATGGAGTAAGTGAGTGAGTATGGTTTTATGCCGTTTTTAGCAATATTCCAGCAATATCACGGCGGGGGACACCTGAAATGGGCATCAAGCATTGTACCCATGTGGGGAATCGAACCCGGGTTTTCAGCATGGTGAGCTAACGCTTTAACCACTAGGCTACCCCACCGCCCGCAAACCATGGAGAAAAACTCAGGAAAGCAGAGACAGAGTCAACCATTATCTACTTGCCCGCATATTAGTGGTGCTGTTTAAAAGACATGATTTAAGTCATGTTAACAATTTGAATGTATGTATTCATTATCATGACAAGTCAATCAGTAAATAGCCACAAAAATGGAAGTGGAGGTGGAGAATGGAGATAAGGAATTAGGGATTAACGATGAAATGGGGAAGCAGGGAGGTTGGGGTGAAGACTGAAAGACAGTGTGGATTGAACAGATGTCATAAATATATAAATAAATATCCTAATTTAGATGTTTGTAAATGACTAAATGTCACATTTTTCTCACATTTCCCTATTCTAAAATAATAATCTGTTAAGTGTCAAGACTTTGCTCGCCCTCTGGTGTCTGGTCATCTTCCTCAGTATGGATAGATATGTGAGGTATGGACAGTTAGTGAGATGTGGCGTGTATAATATGTCAACACAGCCGCCCTCTGCCCTCCCTCCCTCCCTCATCTGATACAACTGTAGACAGATAAACAGCCATATTTGGGGATTCCAAATTAAGACTTTAAAAAATGCCATGAATTTGAAGTAATTACACTGATGCATTCCCAGAGAAGCATGACAAGCACACAAAACCTTGTCAGCAATTAGGCCCAGTAACATTAAATATTAACAAGCAACCCACCAAGTTATCTAAAATATATGTTTTGAAATACTTTGCAAGGATTTTTTAAAATGAAAAATGAATGTTTTTCCGCAAGTCATTGTTCAAGATTGTAACTTAAAAGAATTGTAACTCAGAAAGTCTTAGTGAAGCCCATTTC